CAAAGTAACTTTCGTTTACAGTACTGACTTGTTCCTGTGATTTGTCTAAGGACAAAAGGAGTTGCAAGGAAACCTTGAACTTAGTAAGTTTGTTGTTGCTAGTGATATTGGTGTAGCAACTCCAGAAATTATCTTGTCTGTATTACACAGTAGAGCAAAGGAGCAAACATATTGTAATTGTTGGGAAGCAGGGTTCTCACTGTGAGAAAAGAGAACATAAAATATGGAAAGGGAAAGATGAGAAAATCTGTTGTGTTCAAATTGGAGATAAGTGTGAAGTCAGAATTCATAGTAAGTATTTTCTATCTCTGTCCATTGAGTCTTAGCAGCCAGTTGTTTCAAAACACATTTCTTTCTAAAAGGAACCAGGATGCCTTAGAGAAGTATTTGATGATAGGTCTGGCAGAAGGAAAGTACAAGGTGAGCCTGAGGTATCTTTTTGTGCCAGAAAGCAAGGACTTGATCAAAGACAGATGGTAATAAATTAAAAGGACACAGATGCTGGCTTACAGAAGATCCCCTGGCCAAATTGGGACATTTGAACCTTCTTCCTTTAAAAAAAAAAAAAAAAAAAAAAAGATTTGAGAGAGATAACACAGGGAAGGACAGATAGAACTACCATCTGCTGGTTCATTCTCCCAAATGCCTACCACAGCTGAGAGGGCCAAAGCCAGGTCCTGGGAACTCAATCCAGGTCTCCCATTTGAGTGGCAGGAACCCAATCATTTCAGCCATCATCACTGCCTCCGAAGGTCTGCATTAGCAGGAAGCTGGAATCAGGCCTCAAACCAGTCTCTCTAATATGGGTTGCAGACATCCTAACATGGTTCAACTGGTAGGCCAAACACCTGCTCTTAACTTTTTTAAAAAAATAATCAACTATACTACAGTACTTTGATGGGAAAAGAGACTGAGTTCGTAACACTACTCAAAAAAGGGATGAGATGACTTCTCTTTACAAAAGAATACCTGCAGATAGATTTAGAAGGAATGATGGAATTAGCAGATTTCCATTTGCAATCATCAGTGCAGAGGGTAGTCCAGGCAAGGATCAGCAGTGCATATTGAAACTACTGAGTTGGAGAAGAGGATATTCATACAGTCTCAAAATACCACCCCACAGATTTTCATTAATTCAAATGGGAAAATAGCATTAAGAAGAATTCTCAGGATCACCACCTAAGTAATCAATCCTAGCATCATCATCACAGGGCAGCTAGACATACCACTTATATAAGTCTTTTAAAATGTTCCACCTGGTAGCTGGTGCTGTGGCATAGTGAGCTAAGCTTCTGCCTGTGGCACCAGAATCCCATATGGGTGCCAGTTCAAGTCCCGGCTGCTCCACTTCCAACCCAGCTTTCTGCTATGGCCTGGGAAAGCATTTGAAGATGGCCCAAGTGCCTGGGCCCCTGAACCCATGTGGGAGACCTGGAAAAACCTCCTGACTCCAAGCTTCGGATCAGCTCAACTCCGGCCGTTGCGGCCATCTGGGGAGTGAACCAGAGGATGTAAGAGTTCTTTCTGTCTCTCCCTCTCTCTGTAACTCTACCTTTCAAATAAATAAGTAAAAAGAAAAAAAATATTTAAAATGTTCCACCTGAATCTCTCATTGTGATGAAACGTCAGATTCAGAGTATAGACCATTGAACAAGACAACTGTCAGTTGAATGTCAGTGTTGTGAGAGACCAAAAAGAGTGACATGACAGAAATACAATTTGAGATCTTTGACCTTGATTGGGACCTGGGTTGAGGCATTTGGGGAACAGATAAAAAGAATATTAAGAAGACAGCTGGGGAAATTTGAATATGTGCTGCATATGAGATAATATTTTTTCAAGGTGAAACTCACTAGAGATTTTGAAGGTTTCACCAGACTATAACGATAAATGATGTGGAATATATGCTAATTACCCTTATTTGAACATTACACAATGTATACATGGGAGTGAAAAAAAATCACATTGTGTATCCCATAAGCTTAGACAATTATGTGTCAAAAATAAAACTAATAAAGTTAAGCTCATTGGGCGTGTTAATGGCCTTATGGTTATCTAAGAGAATTTCATGGTCCTTAGGTGATATATGCTAAAGTGTTTAGGGGTAGAATGTCATGATGTTTGTCACTTTCAAAGGAGAACAAAATGTGTACACAAAGACGAAACAAAGCTGTCAGTGTTAATTGGTGAGTCTGGATCAAGGGTGTGTGGATGCTTCTCATGCTGCTCCTTCAACTTTGGTGGTTTGAAATTTTTCCAAATAAAATGCTGGGGTAAGTGAAATGTAGGCTGCAGTGTCCAGGGGTAGCTTCATGGAGTCAGTGCCAGGTCATGTGACCAGGACCTTGAAAAAGGAATAAGAGATGGATAGAGAGGAAAGGGGATGGAGGCCAGCACAAGTCAGGCAGGAATGAGCGAAGCATCTCTTAGGATCCAGTAGAGGTTGGTAAAAGCAGATACAGTCTAAGCGGTATCTTTGAATCCATATGGTGAAAGGTCTTTAACATTGAGCTATTGCCTGCACATCTGATTGTATAGATAATAAGGAGAGAAATAGGAGTTTTTAGAGGGTAAGTGATGGGGAGTAATATTCAGAGAAATTATCCTGTGGGGTAGCATGCTGGACAGACTGGAGAATGGAACTGTATTTTTCAGTGGTCCTTGAGATCCCCAGCTAAAAGTGATGGGTGTCAACGTAAGGAAAGGAGGAGCCTGGGAAAGATTACCAGGGACCAACAGTCTCTTTAACTATGTGGATAGGGGAGATAACCAAGAGATTGAATCAGAAGGTCTGTCTCAGTGGAGTCATTTAGAAAGCACAAATTCAGGAGGGAAGTGCTCCACTCTCCAGAGCCGAGCCCCCAGGTTAGGCTGAGTGGAATCTGAACCCTGCTAACAAATCTTGATGGAAAGTAGGCGGGGCCACCATTAAAGTCTTTCCCTGACTGCCTGCTCCACTCCCTGCCAGACTGCCTTCCTCTCTCCTTTCTCCTCCCTGTCTCTCAGATTTTAACCTTCCAAGGTATTCCTCCCAGCTCAAAAATCCAGTGACTCAGTACTCTGTCCATTTTTCCCATGCCTTTTTTTTTTTTTTTTTTTTTTTGTGACAGGCAGAGTGGACAGTGAGAGAGACAGAGAGAAAGGTCTTCCTTTGCCATCGGTTCACCCTCCAATGGCTGCCTGCAGCCGGCGCATTGTGCTGATCCAATGGCAGGAGCCAGGTGCTTCTCCTGGTCTCCCATGGGGTACAGGGCCCAAGTACTTGGGCCATCCTCCACTGCACTCCCTGGCCACAGCAGAGAGCTGGCCTGGAAGAGGGGCAACTGGGACAGAATCCGGCGCTCCGACCAGGACTAGAACCCGGTGTGCTGGCGCCGCAAGGTGGAGGATTAGCCTATTGAGCCACGGCGCCGGCCTCCCATGCCTTCTTGTAGGTATTTCTTCTTCCTCTGGTTCTATGAGTTTTTTTTTTTTTTCTTTAAGCTCTCAGAAAAATTTTTTCCTTTAAGTGCTCAGAGAGAAAAATTTTTGAATCTGTTTCAGTTAATTCTGTTTCAGTTTGTTTGTTCCCCGTCATCCCTGCCTAGTCCTGTATTTTTTTTTAAGAGGAATTTTCAGCAGCCAATGAAATGATGTTTGTCCATGATCCTAACAGTCCTCTCAGTTAGGTACAGGACCTTTGCTTCATTTGCCATTGGTTGTGTGGAACTGCCTACATCCCAGCTCAGATGCAAACCCAACCTGGTTAAGAGTTAACCTGGTTAAGAATGCACCTTCTAGGCTTTAATATGGGGTCAGCTTCCTGCCAGGGTCAAGAAGAAGGCGACAGAAGCCCGAGGTACCCCCAGTTACAGTGGGCTTTCTCTTGAGGTAGTATAGAGGGAGAGTTCAGTATGAACGTGGGTTTCCCCGGTGACAGGGTGTTGTAGATACAACCAAAGACAGCACTTGAGAGTTGGAACAAAAGGCCTGTGAGGGCCCCTGCTGTGAATCCCTCCCTGACCTGGAGGGTTGTTGCCACTAAGTGTTTATGCAAACATCTGTGTTTCCCTCATTCATCAGCTGCACAGTGTATAGTGCATTTCTATCTCCCTTATGCCTGACAGTGGCCAAAGTAGCACTGCCCTGTAGGACTTTCTGCAGTGATGGAAGTGCCCTGTTTGGCACTAGGCACTAGCCATAGGCACCTGCTAAGCACTTGAGATATGACTGGTATGACTAAGAAACTGAAGTTTAAATTGTGCAGAAGTTTTTTAATGTATGTATGAGCACAGGTCTAGATTCTAGAATGTAAGTTATTAAAAGGTGAATTAAGCAGAATCTTTACCCTGAGTGGGGAAGAGGGAAGTAAACAGGTGATTTCTCAATAGGACAATTTGAAGAAAGCCAGAAGTTGTCACTTCTGGAAGTTTACTTTCTCCTCTGGCTTATAGGTGCAGTAATAGGCAATAGAATGGGAAGAACATCTACAGTAAAGTAGTGTAGGCAAAGGCACAGCCAGAAACTGTAGCAAGTGAAAGGAGAGCAGTAGAAAGCAAAGACCAATAACAGCACTGAGTACCTGCTATTTGGGACTCTGGGAACAAGGACCAGAAAGCCCATCCCTGCCTTCCTGGCAGCTTTACAGATATGTGAACAAAGAGTGCCACTGAGTATTCGTGCTGCAGGAAAGCTAAGTCCTGGGAGCTGTGGAGGACCTCAGAGGGGCACTTAGTTAAAGGCTGAGCTTGAAGACAGGGCACCTAAAAGGTTGTAAGCAGTGAAGTGACCTGGGTATGTTTGCACTTTGGTAAGCTGCCTGCAGTGCTGTGGCCAGTTTCCACCTCTGGGTCCTTCATAGCTCTGCTGTGGTTTTTCTTTTGAACCAACCATCTCCAGTGTCTTGTCTGGTTTATGTCGTGTTTTGTTTTTCTTTCCTTTTCTTCCTCCTTCCCTGCACCGCTTTCTCCTGGGCCCTACGTTCTCTTCTTCCTTGATGTCCTTCTCTGTCTGACCCAAAGATCAGCCAGTAAAAAGCAGACTCACCTGTCCAGGTAAGAGGAGTGCCACAGTGAAGGGGGAAGATGACCCCTTTCTTTACATTTCAAAGTTATTTCTCTGTTCTTTGAGTTGATGGTACCTATATGTGTCTCAGAATTTAAGGAGTGCAAAAGAGAATGTAGCGAAAGTCTCCATGTCTCAGCCACTCTGTCACCCTCCTCAGAGATACCAACATTAGGTGTTTATTTTATGCCCTTCCAGAGATACTGTAGGTGTTTTTCATGCATAAACAAATATATAGCATGTATATCATAAATAATTCCTTCTGTCTTTTACCTTTATTTCCCCTTTACTTGCCCACGTAATTCTGTGTCTTGCTTCTTTTAATTAATAACATTTGGACTTTATTCCTTATTGTATATAAAAAGCCTCCTCGTTCTTTTATAGCACCATGTTCTGTGTCATTATATTGATAGACAGTAATTGATTTAGCCAATCTCCCACTGGGAACACTTGCATTTTTTCTAATATTTTGCCATTATGCACAGTGCTTCCATGACTACTGCTTAGTCATTTGCAGGAGACAGGAGAGGAATTGTCCCTTTCTGAGGGGCAGCAGCTGTTGATTGGGGAACTGGCATCTTGTATGATTTTCTAAAAAGGAAGGCCATAGCAGTAATTTGTATTTCTTCTGTTCTCATGCAGATCTCAGTTAAAGATGGGGCAAGCAATGAATCTTGGGATGGGTAATCAATGGTACTTTGAGGTTTTAGGATCTCTAGTTGCTTTTTTTTTTTTTAATTTTTTTTGTAAGATTGATTTATTTATTTGAAAGAGTGGCAGAGAGAGAAGGAGAGACAGAGAAAGATCTTTCATCCTCTGGTTCACTCTCTAAATGGCCACAGCCACCTAGGCTGGATCAGGCCAAAGGCAGGGACCCAAAGACCTGGGCCATCCTCTGCTGCTTTCCAAGGCACATTAGCAGGGAGCTGAATCAGAAGTGGAACAGCCAGGACTCGAACCAGAACTCATTAGATGCCGATGTTGCAGGCCATGGCTTTAACCCGCTGCACACAGCACCAGCCCCTCTTTCTATTTTTGTTTTACGATTTATTTATTTATTTATTTGAAAGGCAGAGTTACAGAGAGGCAGAGAGAGAGAAAGAAAGATCTTCTACCAGCTGTTCACTCCCCAAATGGCTGCAATGGCCGGAGCTAGGCCAGTCTAAAGCCAAGATCCTGGTCTCCCACGTGGGTGCAGGGGCGCAAGCACTTAGGCCATCCTCTGCTGCTTCCCCAGGCCATTAGCAGGGAGCTGGATGGAAAGTAGAACAGCCGGGACTCAAACCAGAGCGCATGTGGGATGCTGGCATAGCCGACAGCGGCTTTATCTGCTGTGCCACAGTGCCAACCCCTACTGGTTCACTCTTTTTTTTTTTTTTTTTTTTTTTTTTTTTGACAGGCAGAGTGGACAGTGAGAGAGAGAGAGACAGAGAGAGAAAGGTCTTCCTTTGCCGTTGGTTCACCCTCCAATGGCCGCCGCTGCAGCCGGCGCACCGCGCTGATCCTGGCAGGAGCCAGGAGCCAGGTGCTTTTCCTGGTCTCCCATGGGGTGCAGGGCCCAAGCACCTGGGCCATCCTCCACTGCACTCCCTGGCCATAGCAGAGAGCTGGCCTGGAAGAGGGGCAACCGGGACAGAATCCGGCGCCCCAACCGGGACTAGAACCCGGTGTGCCGGCGCCGCAAGGTGGAGGATTAGCCTATTGAGCCACGGCGCCGGCTGGTTCACTCTTGAAATGGCTACAATGACCAGGGCTGGGCCAGACTGAAGCCAGGAGCCAGAGCTTCTTCCGAGTCTCCCACATAGGTGCAGGGATCCAGGGACCTGGGCCATAATCTGCTGCTCTTCCTGGCACATTAGCAGGGAGCTGGATCAGAAGTGGAGCAGCCAGGACTGAAACCATCCCTCATATGGGATACTGGTGCTGCAAACCATGACTTTAACCCACTGTGCCACAAAACTGGCCCTCTTTTTCTTTTTTTAAGATTTATTTATTTGAAAGGCAGAGTTACAGAGAGAGGGGGAGAGAGGGAGAGAGATCTTCCATATGCTGGTTTGCTCTCACAATGGCCAGGGCTGGGCCAGGCTGAAACCAGGAGCCCACAGCTCTTTCCATGTCTCCCACATGAGTGCTGGGACCCAAGCACTCGGACCATCCTCCACTGCTTTCCCAGGCACATTGGCAGGGCACTGGATCAGAAGTGGAGCAACAGGGCCTCAAACCAGCACCCATATGAAATACTGGCATAGCTGGAGACTTTACCCACTACATACCAATGCTGGCCTGAGGATCTCTAGTTTCTAAGCAAGACACCTCAACTGACTGTGGGAATGGGGCTGAATATGGAGTTGGGGCACCAGCGCCATGGCTCACTTGGTTTATCTTCCGCCTGCAGGTGCTGGCATCCCATGTGGGCACCGGTTCTAGTCTCGGTTGTTCCTCTTCCAGTCCAGCTTTCTGCTGTGGCCCAGGAAGGCAGTGGAGGATGGCCCAAGTGCTTGGGCCCCTGCACCCGCATGGGAGACCAGGAGGAAGCACCTGGCTACTGGCTTTAGATCGGTGCAGTGCCAGCCGTGGCGGCCATTTGGGGGGTGAACCAACGGAAGGAAGACCTTTCTCTCTGTCTCTCTATCACTGTCTAACTCTGCCTGTCAAATAAAATATATATATAATAAAAAAATATGGAGTTGGAATACCATACCCAAAGAGACCAGATGCCTGTTCCCCCTTGGCACCCAAAAATAAATGGAACTTTCAGGGACTTGAGCCATTGCCCTGTTATTTCTTTCTAGAAAAGTATATAAGTTGCCAGTTACCCAGCAGGTTAGTACTAGATGCCCAGTTACACTCCTGGAGAACACTGTTTTGGAAAGGTAGAGCTTTGGAGGGCCAATGAGGTAAAAATGGGGCGCTTTTCTCTGCCATAGCCACTGCAGTCCTCTGCTGTGTGCACGCAAGCTTCTTGTATGTGTTTGACCCACCATGTCCTTCCCTCCAGTATCCTCTTGCTTTGCAACTCATCACCTAAAACTAACTAGCTGTTTTTTCCCTGTCTTTTTCTTGCATTCATTTATCTGCTGCTCGTCTGTTCCATCAGCCCCCTTGCAACCTGGTAAGAGCCAACAAGCCTGTATATACTGCACATCCCCTTCTTGCTGTTGTTTCTTTGTTGCCTGACTCCGGGAAGGGCTATTTCCCGTCACATCCTGCTGGCTATTAAACTAATCATGCTTGCTCTGCCAGCGAGGTAGTATTGCCAGTAGTGTAGACATGGCTAGTCTGCCCCAGATTAAGAAGTTACAGGGTGGGGGAATCAAACTCAAGGCCCCTTTTGACAGAGCCTCTTCACACTACAAGGCTGTTCCCTCCCTGCTCAGCTCATCGACGTGCTTTCCTTCCCCAGGTTAAGTAGCCTGTCTTCTCTGGGAGATTCTGCACCTGAACGCAAGTCCCCTTCCCACCATCGCCAGCCCTCCGACACCTCTGAGACAACAGGTAACCTTGAGCATTCACACATGAGGTCAGATCTGTAGATACCCCAAATGTAAAATCGCTTAGCCTTTATGTTGAGCACATGTGTTACAAGTTTTATATAAACTGCATCCTTATATCAAGTGTAGGCAGTATGTTTTGTGATCCTTATTTTACAGACGAGGAACCTGAGGCATAGAGGGCTAAGTAACTTGGCCAAGTGCACAGGTTTGTCAGGCACAGAATCAGGACTTTAAACCAGTTGAGTGATGCATGCTGTAACCACTGCAGGATGCAGCTGCACAGCCTCACACACACACACAGTGTTGGGGGGAAGAGGGGGGGGCCTCATAGTCTACATTTTTTAAAGACCTGGGTATGGATGTTCATATGAGTAAAAAGGTTTTCTCTAGTCGTTTATCATTTTTTTGATTTGGCAAGGATCAAGCTCTTAGTCACTCTGTGGGAGTTATCCAGCTCTACAAGAAAGAGTCAGCAAACGTTACTGCCTTTCTTGTCGCATTCGTTAGCTGTAACTTGGCCTAAAGCTTTCAATCGCATTTGGGCTTCAGTCTCAGGGCTAACTTACCTGTAATGCAAGTATTAGCCTTCAGAACGTAGCTAAATTTGGCCTTGCCTTTTCCTAGACCAATCTCATCCAAACCAACCAAAAAGGGCAAACATACATAAGAGAAACAAGCGTCTCAGCATCTCAGGGAAGGGTCGTTTCCTGTATAGAGTACAAAGTAGGTTGCAGGTTTTTGCCAGCCACTGAGGTAGTCAGGTCACTGCAGTACTGTGCTTGAACAGGAAAAGCATGGGAGCTTTGGTTAGTCTGGAAATGCTTCTTGAGGAAGAAGCTGACTTGGGGCTTTCCTGGGTTGGTCTTGGCTTATATGCACTGACTGTCCAGTGACTCTGCCTACTGAACGTGCTTCTTTGTTTCTCACCTCCTGCCAGGTCTTGTCCAACGCTGTGTCATCATCCAAAAGGACCAGCATGGCTTCGGCTTCACTGTCAGTGGGGATCGCATCGTTCTGGTGCAGTCTGTGCGGCCTGGTGAGTGCTGCCTGCCTCCGGCCTGCCCTGCGCTTACGTGGTAGTGCTGCGTGACTTGGAGACTGCTTTCCTAGAGCTCCTGGGGAGTTCTTGGCAGGATGAAAGAACTACTGTAGGACTGGTTCCCACAGACATCTGGGGAAAGCTTGTCAATGCAAAGTCACTAGGCCAGGTTTCTGGGGACCACACTACATGCTGGCTTCCATAGTTGGTAAGCATAAAACTGGCAGAACAGCTCTCGGATCACTGGGCAGGGGCCTGACTGCTGTGGAAGGAAGCACTTGCAGACTGGGTTAGAAGGTGCTGGGTAGGATTCTGGGATGCTGGGTATAAAGGTAGGTCTTCGTGCCTACCTTCGTGGTGCCTGGCTAGTGCACAGGCGTCCACTTTGTGCAGAGTTCTACAGTTGAGACAGGCACAGTGGCCCGAATGGTTCTAGAACACATTTGCAGATGCAAGTAACACTAATAAACTACCAAAAGATAAATTGCATGTGTCAGACATTACTTTGGAGGCAATGGTGTTTTGAAGTTTGTTTGAGTGGTTTGTTATTTGCCTTCCAGTCAGTTTGGGAAGCCCCTTAGAAGAAATAGAACTTTGGAAACAGCTTGAAGGATAGAAATTAAACACAGATCAACAAGTTAGAATTGGTGGGGAGAGAGTGAAGAGGGGGAAGGTTTCACAAGCAGGTCCATCCAGTGACGAGTTGTGTGTGGAAGAGCTGTGCACAGTCAGCTCTGTCACATGCTACCTGGGAGGGTCATGGTTAGTGACCCAGGCTGAAGAAGACAATGAGGGAGATAGAGTGCAAGCAAGTGTAATAGAAATGCACAGGGAGTACGTCAGTGTAGCAAATGGGCTTGGGCCAGCAGCATGGAACATCATAAGCCTGGGTTGTTGGAGAACACGAGAAACTAGGGGGCAGGCTGGTGTTTCACACGAGGGATAAAAGAGAAAGGAAAATATACTTGCAATAATTTTGGAGAAAAAGCTAGGATGTTTGTAGGAAAAGTGAAAGAATTTTAAAATTGTGACCAAAACGAGATGTATGTATCATACAAGGATATACATAATTATTGCTTCATATGTTTCAGAGTTAATTTTTATCAATGTGAAGAGTTTGTCTTTCAAATCCTAGGGTAAGGCTCTGAAAAGCTGAAAAGACGGGTTTTTTTTTAAGAGTTAGTTATTTATTGTTTGAAAGGCAGAGTTACAGAGAGGCAGAGGCAGAGAGAGAGAATCTTCCATCTGCTGGTTCACTCCCCAAATGACCACAACAACTGGAGGTGGGCCAATCAGGAGCCAGGAACTTCTTCCAGGTCTCCCATGTGGGTACAGGGGCCCAAGGACTTGGGCCATCTTCTAATGCTTTTCCAGGCCATAGCAGAAAGCTGGATTGGAAGTGGAGCAGCCAGGACTTATACCAGCGCCCATAAGGGATGTCAGCACCATAGGCAGCGGCTTTAGCTACTATGCCACGGTGCCGGCCCCCAAGATTTATTTATTTATTTAAAAGGCAGAAGTACACAGAGAAGGGAGAGAGGGAGTGGGGGAGAGAGAGATCTTCCATCCACTGTTTCACTCCCCAAATGACCATAACGGCTGGGGCTGAGTCAGGCCGGAGCCAAGAGCTTTCTCCAGGTCTCCCACATGGGTGGGTGCAGGGCTCAAGCACTTGGGCCATCCTCCACTGCTTTCCCAGGCACATTGGCAGGGAGCTGGATCGGAACTGGAGCAGCCAGGTCTCTAACCAGCACCCATATGGGATGCCAGCATTGCAGGTAGCAGCTTAATCTGCTATACCACAACGTCAGCCCTCTGCTTTAGTTTCTAGGTGGCTGTGTAACAAATTGCCAAGCTATTTGCAAGTATTCTTCCATAAACAACACTGTATTTTAGATGAGGGTAGTCTTGAGTCTTTGTAATGAAAAGCCAAAATGTAATGTAGTTATCAGTGTATTTTTTCTTTTAGACTAGAAACATCTAGATAGGCTTTATGGGAGTTTTGTTTTGATCAGATAAATACAACCTAACAAATTTAATGATTATCTCGGGTCATATTTACAAAATGTAATTGTTACGCTTTTCTAACTTGTTTCAGCTGTAGTGTTTCGTGTGCTTCTTGGTTGTAAATTAAATTAGGAATACAAGTCATTTAAAGCTGTACAGTGGGGGCCCATGTTGTGGCTCAGCAGGTTAAGCTGCCACTTGTGATACCAGCATCCTGTAGCAGAGTGCCAGTTCACTACTGTTATTTCCAATCCACCTCCCTCCCAATGACCTGGGAAAGCAGCAGATGATGGCCCAAGTGCTTGGGTCCCTACCACCCATGTGGGAGACCAGGATGAAATTTCTAGCTCCTGGCTTTTACCTTGCTGAGACCTGGCTGTTACACCCATTTTGGGAGATCCATCTCTTGCTTCCCCCAACCCCTACTCTGCCTTTCAAATAAATCAGTATTTTTTTTTTTTAAGTAACTTTACTATGGTCAAAACCACTGCAGCCTCCAGGTGAGTGGTGGCCTGAAAAAGTTGAAAGCATATTGTTTTGAGTACCTCATACTAAGTTTTCGTCAGAAGCTCTTAACAGTCTGTTTTAAAAGAAAAAATTGCAAATCATTTTAAAACATTTTTTAACAGAAAATAAAATTTGTTGTTAGCTTTAAATTTATTTGTTTATTTGATAGGCAGAGTTAGAAAGTGACAAAAGGAGAGAGAGAGATCTTCCATCCGCTGGTTCACTCCCCAAATGGCTGCAGTGACCAGGGCTGGGCCAGGCCAAAGCCAGGAGCCAAGAGCTTCTTCCAGGTCTCCCACGTGGGCGGCAGGGGCCCAGGGACTTGGGCCATCTGCTGCTTTCCCAGATGCATTCGCTGGGAGCTGGATGGGAAGTAGAGTAGTCAGAACTTGAACTGGCACCCATATAGGATGCTGGCACTGCAGGCCACAGCTTAACCCACTGCACCACAGCACCAGCACCCCCAGAACATCTTTATAAACCTCTGAAGGCATAGGAACCACCATTTTGAAACTCTGGTTTCAATCATTTGTTCCATATATCTCTTAATGATTATTATGACTTTAATAATTATATTTAATACAGTAAACTCATTTTCCCACTGGATAATAAAAAATAACTTTTATCTGACCTTGGAACATATCCAGACACAATGCAAATAAACCACATATACTCTTCCCAGAGCCTGGCCCTGCCTGTCTCCTGCCTTGGCCTTTGATTATCAGAAGCCTGGCATGTGAGCTAGGTGGAGGGAAGAGCAGCTGTGACCTTGTGTGCTCCACTCTGGCTCAAAAGTCGTTGTGCCACTGTCACAGAATAGGTTGCACACCCAGCATTTGAGTTATATAATACAGAAAATGAGATGAAATCTCTGAGAGAGGAAATATCTTAGTCTGTGTGAGGCTATTATACCAGAATACGCCAGACTGGGTGATTTATAAAGAGCAGAGACTTGCTTCTTAGAGTCCTGGAGGCTGGGAATCCATGATCAAGGTGCTGTCATCGACAAGGGCCTTCTTGCTGCGTCATCCCGTGGCAGAAGGACAACAGAGGACAAGAAGGCAGACTTGGCAGCAACAAACCTTTTTGTAATCAGCATTAAGCCATTCTTTAAAAAAAAAAAAAAAAAAAATTGAAAGGCAGAGTTACAGAGAGGGAGAAGCAGAGAGAGAGAGAAAGAGAAGGATCTTCCATCCACTGGTTAACTCTCCAAATGTCTGCAACAGCCAGGGCTGGGCCAGGCTGAAGCCAGGAGCCAAGAACTTCATCCTGGTCTCCCACGTGTGTGTAGGGGCCCAAGTACTTGAGCCATCTTTCGCTGCTTTCCCAAGTGCATTAGCAGAGAGCTGGATTGGATGTAAAACAACTGGGACTGGAGCCTTTGCCCATATGGGATCCCGGCACTGCAGGCCATGGCTTTACCCGGTACGCCACAGCGCTGGCCCCAGAATTAAGCCATTCTTCAGGGCAGAGCCTTGGTGATCTAACACCTCCTCTTAGGCCACATTCCCCAAGACACCTGCCTTGGGGGTTTAGTTTCCAGCATGTGACTCTTAGCAGGCACTTTCAAACCATAGCAGGAGATGATCTGACAACGGCCTTGATGTACATTCAGTGACTCTGGGGGAGGTTGTTGGGCTCTGCTGACCAGGCCTTCTCCTTCCAGGAGGTGCAGCCATGAAAGCTGGTGTGAAAGAGGGCGACCGGATCATTAAAGTGAGTGACCCCAACACGACCATCCCCTCCACCCAGGAGAGGACAGAGGTGTGCAGGGACACTTCTGGCCTCAGTCCCTCCTGCTTACTGCCATTTGCATACCAACTCTCAGTCAGCTGCTGAATTGGGTGGCACTGTGAAAGGGAGCACAGTTGTGCAGTCTGAGAGAGAGTGGGGATGAAGACTGCTGCATTCTGTCCTCTAGGCCCTTGACTCTAAAGCAGGCAAGCTTCTAAAACAGGCTTCATTATTCGCATTTCACTAGATGCCAGAAATAAGGTTAAGAGGGCAGAACTGTGACTAGTGAAGGGCCCAGATTCTCAGGCTGATGTTTGTCTTCCATCAGTGCTGACCCGAGAACCTTGCCAGTTCTAAAACAGTTGTGATCTGCCCTGCCCACTCAAGTTTGTCTGCTGCAGAGTGCAGTCTTAGAAGCAGCAGGGAAATGCTAGGTGTAGGAACTTGCAGCCCTCTGGTAAAGAAGCACGCTGGGTCAGAGGTCACGCACTTGTGTGCAAGGCAAGTAGCTGGAAAAGTGTTCACCAAAATGAATAAAGGGGTAGGTGAATCAGCAAACAAAGACACAGATCTCACCCTTGAAAACCTAAGGGTTAGCCAGGGAGACAGAACACATAGAAGATGTGAGCAGAAATATGTTTGTAACATGAATTTGAGTAAGCATTACCAGATGTGGCTAAAGAACGTTGGAAAATGGCGTCCTAAAGTGTGCCATTTTAAACTTGAAGGGTCCCCTAGGTTTCCCTCACCGTTACTCAGAATTTATTATTTGTCCCTCCAACAGGTCAACGGCACCATGGTGACCAATAGCTCACACCTGGAAGTGGTGAAGCTTATCAAATGTGAGTTGGGAGAGAGGTGACAGCTGAAGCGAACAGGGGAGCAGGTGGGCTCAGGGGAGGGAGGAAGGAGAGAACAAGCTACTGAGCCAGGAGTCTTCCTCTGCGGATTGTGAGGTAGCCGAAATGATATCTTTAATCTTGACGTGGAGTAATCTGCTTGGACAGCCACAATTCCCTGTTATTTCAGATGGAGACATGATTAGTCTCTCATCAGATATCTTCACTTTTACTCACACCCATCATTGCCTTTCCCAGCTACACCATATCCTACTGACACGCTTCACTCATACCCTTCAGTCCCCTCTCCCTTCACAGACTTTTCCCATTTGTTCCATATTTTGGAGGGTGAAGATATTCTGTTTGTAGCCAGAAGAAAACAATAATTGAATCTGCACAGGTAATCAAATAGAAGCAATAAATGTTAAGGAGAGAAGTGAAGGATGTGGGCAGTTTGGGCAGCATGGGATAGAATTTGAATGTCTCCTGTGTGCCAGAAGGCAGGGTGCCAGAGGCTCTACATGGGCCATTTAATTCGCTGAGCTGCAGGAGGAAACGGGACTGATGAGGCAACCCATGGGGAGTGTTCCTGGTATTTGTGGATGGGATCTGGGTTGAGGTCTCTCCGTGAAGGAAGGGAAGGAAGTGGTACTTGGGTTAATGCAGCAGGGGAAGACGGGAATGAGAGAATGAGGCGGTGCATTGAAAGTGAGGAGAACTTAATCTGCAGCATCAGGAGCTTAATGAAGGGAAGAGGGAGGAAAATCCTCTCTGTAGCTTGAAAGTCTGCTCTCCAGAACAGTACCACCCAACAAGCCTGTCTTGTTTTCCTCCAGCTGGCGCCTATGTTGCACTGACGCTCCTAGGCTCTTCTCCTTCGTCTGTTGGTGTCTCTGGGCTCCAGCAAGACCCATCCCCAGCAGGAGCTCCCCGAGTCACCCCTATGATCCCCCCACCACCACCTCCTCCACCTCTACCACCTCCACAACGCATCACAGGACCCAAACCTCTGCAGGTACTGGTCCTCCTGGCTTCCCCCTACCCTAACTCTGTTGTCCCTTTGAAGAGCTCCCCATTGGGAAAGAAAGCAGTTAGATTGAATGAAGCTTTGGTAATCAGAGACCAGCCCAAAGACACATGAATGACCATCAGAGGCAAACAAAAATGCAGTCTCCCTGAGAGGGGCTGTCCTATGTCTTGGGGCTCTCCTGCCACGTGAGTGTGTAAGGGTTGTATCAGACTTGCAGCATTTGGGATGCAAATGTGTGGAAGACTCTCAAGAGGTCCACTGAGAGTGCTCCTTCTCATCAGGGAGAGGGCACACCTTCAGGCAAGAGCAGAAAGAAAGTACCTGTTAGAGATTTGCCAGTCAGTGTAAGACATGTATGGTTTAAAAATCAAGAAGTAGGTGAAGGCTTCCTTGACTAGAAAAAAGACTGCTTAGAGGAGCAGAATAGGAAGCCCAGTTGGTACAGGACAAAGATAAGTAGAGAACTGTAGCGTGAAGGAAAACTTGTGAGAGTTAAGAGGACAAGGTGCTAGTAGGTATAGGGAATAGGGATTTTTCCATTTGAAAAGAAGATTGAGCCAGTGCGTCTCGAGAAACCTTAGAGAGCAATTTGATACTAAAGGTGATTATAGCCACGGTTTCTAGGAAGTTCAAGAGTGAAATTAAAATACTAGTTCATGTTAACTGGCATTCTAGCCAGGTACCAAGTGTTACGCAACACATTCTTACAACCCAGGCTCTTCTCATATCTTTCCTTCCCCAAGAATCATCAAGTAGAAGAGCCTTAAGCTATTGAGCTAGTCCCCAAATCTCACCACTGTCATATTTTCTATTCCTAGGATCCCGAAGTTCAAAAACATGCTACCCAGATCCTCAGAAATATGCTGAGGCAGGAGGAAAAAGAGTTACAGGTAAGGTCACTGCTGGGGACAAACTTATCATTGCCTTTACTTTATCAGAGCAATCTGCCAGTGTGTTCAACTTGATTTATAGGCCATATCCTATTACAGTAAGGCTTTTAAATTTAAAACTTCAGGACCACTTCAGAATTGTCATTGGAGAGTAGAATTTGTTCAAACAGAATTTAACTAATAGAGTGAGTGTGGTAACCGCTCCATGGATAATAGACGAAGATAATGAATATGTAGACAAAATGTACATATATGACAAGACAGATAGACTAAATTGAGGGGACATTAGAACTGAGGAAATTCAGGGTCAGCTGAAATTGATCTCAGGGGTTTCTGAAGAAGGGAAGAGGAAAAGGCCAGGCTGGTGGTAATGGTAGGTGGAATCGGATGCTGGCCAGACTGATAGAAGTGGGAGCACTTTTGGTGGAGGAGATAGAGATTTCCAGGCCTAGAAAATGATACACACAAGAACAATAAAAAAATGATAATTTTTCCAGAGTGGAATAACCAAATTTTTGTTATAGCTGTGGCATATAGCTGTCTCTTCACCCCTACATTTCAGTTCAGCACATTTCTGTAAGAGCATACTATGTGTAAAACATTCAGTTCCTGTGGTATACAGAAATGAAAAAGATGACATAGTTCTTGCCCACAAGACATTATGGTACTGCCATAAAGATGTGTTCAAGATAGTGGAGGTAATTCACGTGACAGCAGGAGGGAGAGTGGAAGGAACAGTGAGCTTGCAATAAGAGAACCAAGAAGAGAGTAGTTAATTAATAATGGGAAATGTGGGAAAAGGCTTTGCAAAGGGAATAGTATTTCAGCTGTGCCTTAAAGAGTGGGACTGTGGTAGGTAGAGAGGAGGGAACACTAGTGAATGGACAGCATAAGTCAAAGGCATTCACTTATTTAACTAGCATTAACTTCTTGCTGTACACTAGGTACTGTGTGTGTGTTAGTACTATGGATGGGAATAATATTAGGAGTAGGAGTTGGAATCATTACAACGAAAGATAGATTAACCTTTCCTTTAAGGAGTTGGTAATCCCATGGAAATGTGTGGCTGAATAAAGATACACTACATTGTCAGTGCTGATGCTTATATACTGACAGATGCCATAAAATAATCATGACAGTATTGACTGGTATAAGGCTAGACCTATGTAGATCAGTGGAATAGAATTCAGAGTCCAGAAATTAACCAGTGCATTATGGTAAATTGATTTCCAACAAAGGTGCCAAGACAATTCAATGGAGAAAGAATAGTCTTTTCAACAATGGTGCTGGGACAACTGGATATCTACATGCAAAGAATGAATTTGGACCCTTACCTCACACAATAAACAAAATTTAATTCAAAATGGATCAAAGACTTAAATGTAAGAGCTAAAACTCTTTTTAAAGGCTGTAAAACTCTTAGAAGAAAATAGGTGTAAATCCTCCTTACTTTGTATTAGGCAGTCAGGTTTGATACCAAAAAAGCATGAACAGTAAAAAAAAAAAAAAATAAAATAAATAAAAAAAATAAATTGGATTTTGTCAAAATTAAAAGCTTTTTTTAAAAAAAATTTTTTTTGTTTTTATTTGTTTGAAAGGCAGAGTTACAGAGGCAGAGGCAGACGCAGAGAAAGAGAGGTCTTCCATCCACTGGTTCACTCCCCAGATGGCTGCAACCACCAGACCTGTGCCCATCCAAAGCCAAGAACCAGGAGATTCTTCCAGGTCTCCTACATGGGTGCATGGGCCCAAGGACTTGGGCCATCTTCCACTGCTTTCCTAGGCCATAGCAGAGAGTTGGATCAGAAGTAGAGCAGCCAGGACTCAAACCCACACCCATATAGGATGCCAACACTGCAGACGGCGGCTATACCCGCTACGCCACAGCGCTGGCTCCAAGCTTTTATTTTTAATTGAAAGGATACTATTGAGAAAGTAAACAGACAACCCACGGAGTAGAAGAAAAGTTGGCAAATCATATATCTGAATATATCTGATAAGGGATGTACAACCAGAATATATAAAAGAACTCTTACAGATCAGTAATAAAAAGAGAACTCAATGTTTTAAAAGGCAAAGTATTTGAATATAGTTTCTAAAAAAGACATTCAGATGGCCAGTGAGCACATTGCCAAGATACTCAACCCTGTTAGTGATTGGGAGGTGCTAATCAAAATGACAGTGAGATACACTTCACACCTGGTTAGGATGGCTGTAACCAAAATAACAGGATATGGAGAAGTCTCAGTAATGCTTTCTTATATTGCATCTACATTTTCACTGTGCTAATCTATTCCCACCGTTGCTGTGGGAAAGTAAGAGAGTACAGCAGCTCTGGAATAAAGTACTGATACATGCTATAATACAGAAGAACCCTGAAACATTCGGCAAAATGAATTAAACCAGACACAAAGGTCGGTGTACTTTATGATTGCATTAATAGAGAATGTCCAGAATAGGCAAATCCATAGAGAGAATAGATTAGTGATTGCCTGAGGATGGACGAAGGGGAAATTGGGAGGGACTGCTGACAGGTACCAGTTTTCTTGTAGGAATGGTGGAGGTGTTTTGGATTTAGATAGTGCAAATGGTTGTATAACTCTGTGGATTTACTGAAAACCACTGAATTGAACACTTTAAAGTGGCGAAGTTTACTTTCCAGGAACTATACCTCAATAGCAACGTAAAAAAATTTTAAATGCCATGAGAGCCTGTCGCCTCAAAAAAATAAATAAATAAATAAATAAGTATGCAATAATAAGAAGGCATCATGAGTTGGATTCAGTCTGCTGTGACCAGAGGCTTGAAAATGGCTTGGGGCTATGGGAGATTGAAAGTGTTTTGGGGCCTTGAATAACCTGGTGAGCTTGGAGTTTGCTCTGGAAGCAGTAGGAATTGATCAGAGGATTTTGAGCAGGGATCTGAGTGCATTTTCGAGTCAGTTTTCTTTAGAGAAGTGTGTTAAGTGGATTGATGTAAGGAAACCATAGGCAGTTGTGGTAGATAAGACATGATGACAGATTTAACAAGAACAGTAGGAGTAAGAACAGAAAGCAGAAGATAGCAATGGGAGGCATCTCAGAAGTCACATCAGTACAGCTAGTAAGAGTCAGCTGGAAGGAGAAGAAAGAATAAATGGTGGCCTGAAGTTTGGGTGCCTGGGTAGATGTGATGCCATTGATGGAGCGAAATGGAGGAAAAGATCAGAGCTTAGGGGACAGGACGGGTCAGCTTCGGGTGTACTGAGTTTAAGGTACCATGAGACATTCAGACAAAGACCATTCCCCAGGCATTTAGAGATAACACGGCTGACACATAGAAGAAAAGGCTGAGTTGGAATAGGTTGGGCATCTCAGTATGAAGGTGATAGTTGAGATTGGAGCTGGGTGAGATCCCCCAGGGCACCAGGGCAGAGAGGAGATGCTCCTACAGTACGCTTCGCCAGCCTCTAGTATTGCACCTCTTGTAATCATATTTGATCTTCTAGGCAGATGTTTGACATAATGGGGAAGAAACTAAAGTGTGCATGTTGCATGACTGGAGGCAAAGAAGTATGGGACTCCTAAGTGTAGACTACTGTTTTTAAACAACAACTGTGAAATGAAGGAGAAACAAAGTGGTGGGGCAGGTGCTTGAAATCAGAGTTAATGGGAAGGGTTTTGGTGGTTTTGTTTTTCTTTCAAGTCAGGAAACCTGAACAGTTTTGTAGGGTGAAGGCATTGGAAAAACGAGACTTTGAAGATAGGTGAATGATGGCCAAGAAGAGCCCCAGGCAGTGGCAGGATTAACTTCGTTAACGATTTAGACGTCACTTGTCCTTGATGCAGGAAGAAAGATGGCCGCAGATATTTTGAAGTGGAATAAAGTTGGGCCAGTCCATACCAGAATGGTGTCTGGTGAGAATGGGGAAGTGTTGGGGCCTTAAAGGTGTGGAGAAGATGAAGCACTAAATATGAGATTTGTGTCAAGGTTGTCAGGTAGCAGGGAAGCCCCAAATGACTTTAGAGAATCAGCGTAAAAAAAAGAGATAATTTATGTAAACCCGCAAGCTTTATTGAGAATCTCTATTTTAGTAAATTATGAATAGCTTCCATGTAGCCAGGCATGTGACTGTGCAGGGATACCCCGCTGAGCACTCTACACATAATCCCATTCAGATCTTAATAACCATTCCCTGAGGCAGGTCTTGTCATCTCCATTTTATCGATGAGGATGTACTCAAGCTTGCCCAAGTCTACACAGCCAGTAAGTGGAGATCCTGGAATTTAAAGCCAAGGCTCCCTGACTGAAGCCTCTAGACCTCTACCCTAAACCATGAGTGTTACCATGGTTCCTGCCCTCAGGGAGCTTCCGAATAATGGGCAGGGGAGATGCTGGCTGCTCTGGTCAAGCTTCTTCCTCTTCCCTCCTGTGGGTCTCGTTGTATGTTCTGATGTGGACAGTCACAGAAATATTTCACACTTGAGTGCTGGTAGTCAAGGAAGACCTCAGCTAAGATGGGGGACTTAACTCAGGCCTTGGAAACTGGGTGAGGTTAGGACAGGCCTTTGTGTTTTGTCTTCTTTTCTCCATTTGCGTCATGTGTTCTGTTTCTCATCACTTACACCGTTTTCTGTGCCTAAATGATGGCAAATTAACGTGCACCTAGCGAAGGCAGAGATCCCTCCTCTCTCCTCTTTGATTTGGATAGCTGCCCATTCTCCCCACTGGTGAGTCGTCCATTCTCTACTAACCGCCCCTCTACCTTCTCCCCTCCTCCTTGTCCTCACCCTCCCCAGCGTATCTGTGAGGTGTATAGCCGGAACCCCGCCAGCCTGCTAGAAGAGCAGATCGAAGGTGCCCGGCGGCGAGTCACTCAGTTACAGCTGAAGATCCAGCAGGAGACTGGTGGCTTAGTGGTGAGTGATGGTAGGCATAGCCCTAGGAAAGGCACCATGTGGTTGACCGGGGCTAGAGTGAAGGAGAGAGCAGGGACAAAAGGCTTCCTGGGCTGTGCCAGGACCTCAAGGCTCACCTAGTGTTTAGTGTTTTACAAAGAAACAAGTTAGCAGTTCTTCATCCAGCACCAGTGGCCAAGCTCTATAACATTTGGGATATCATAAAAAGAAAATGTTTTTTTATTTTTCATTTTATTTGAAAGGCAGAGAAATGGAGAAAGTCAAAGATAAATAGACCTCTGTGACCACTGGTTCACTCTACAAATGCCCATAACAGCCGGGGCTTGGCCAGGCCAAAGCTGGGAGCCAGAACTCAGTTCAGGTCTCCCATGTAGGTGGTAAGGACCCAAGTACTTGAGCCAGTACACACACCTTCTAGTGTCTGTGTTAGTAGGAAGTTAGAATTGGAAGCGGAGCTAGGACTTGAACCCTGGCACTCCAATATGAGATGGGGACATACCAAGCAGTCTCTTAACTGCTGAACCAAATGGCCACTGGAAAAAAAGAAACATAAATCAGACTGTCAACTTGAGTCTCTTAAATATCCTTCCTTTCTGTGTAGTTTCCTTGTAGTTGACATATTCCTACCCTGGTTTTACTCAGTGTTCATCTGGCAGCTTTTAAAGTCAGCCAACGTAAAGGATCCCTGGTCAGTTGAGAGGGATCTGTGTCAGCAGCTAACCACCCTTTATGGAAAATTCTAGAGAGAAGATGGTTCTTCATTCAAGTCAGGGACTTTACTGTTACTGTTAATTAGCTTCATTCTTCAGGTAAATAAGAAATAACTCTCCAAAAACTTTAAGGTTTCCAAGAATAATATTTACTGATGCTAGTAGAAATTATTTAAGGATTATCCACTTTCCCTATTGGAGCAACCAGATGAGAAAAGTTTGGGAAACACAGGCAAATGAATTTGAGCTATTTTGTTTGCTAAAGAACTCCTCCTGTTGTATGGTTTATAGGAGCTCAGGTGTGGAGGTAGACCTTGAGGATTCAATTCCCAGCTCCAGTTCTTACAAGCTTTAGGACTCTTGGGCAGGTTACCTAGTCCCTCGGAGCCCTCAGTTTCCTCATTTATAAAATGGAGATCACCATAGTAGCCACCTGATAGGGTGTTGTCAGAAGGGAAGCATGCCCTTGCATGGGGCCAGCCTGTGGCCACTGCCACTGCCCTGGTGTCAGTGTGCCCGTGTGTGCTGCGAAGGGGTGCATCGGAGACTTGCCTCAGAGACTGCAGTCTGAGGCTCTGAGCTCTGACTTGGCGTTCGAGTTGACCTGCTGTGTGGCTTGAACAAGGTACTTAAGATCTGTGAGCTTCCGTTTGCTCATTTATAACATGGGAGTAGTGTGCCTCACTCAGAGTCATTGCAAGATTCAATGCGACCTAGGAAAGTGCTGTGTAAACAATTAAACCTTGCAGCATCCTTCCCTCCACTCTGGCTGGGGCAGTCAGGCCCAGGCCAAAGCCTGTTAGTCTTCAGAGATCTCTCGAGGTAAACTTTTCATACTTTCCCTCAGTCAACCTGCTTGAGCTTTTTGTACTCCTTGATAGGAAGTTTGTTCTTGTATCCAAACCACATAAGGTGGTAGGTGCTTTGAGGCCCAGGGTGATAAAGTGAGAATTTAGTTTTATGCATAGTAAAGCTTCCTTACTACCAATAGGGGTCACCATCCTCCCCAAATGGTGCAAATAAAACCCTGTTTCTTCCAGCTGGGCCTTTTGAGGCGGTGAAGCAGAAGTGGCTACTGACTGTTAGCAAATAAAATCCTGGTTGGAGGAAGCAAACAGTAGGGAGAGAGGTTTACAGAATTTGCCCACCCTCTGGGCCTTTCTTTTTTAGGACATACTTCCACTGTATGGTGACACCAGCCAGAGGCCATCAGAAGGTAAGTCCCCTCGTCACTTCTTTGTTCTGTGGCGTATCTGTGTCCAGGTTTCTTATCCATTGTTTCTTCTCTGTAAGGCAGATTCTGAGAAAGAGAATATTTAGTACCTGCCCTCTAAGAAGAAAGGATAAATGTACAAATACACAGCGGAACTGGACTACTTAGGCAGTAGAAATGAACATATTACCCAAAGCATTGGATAGAGGGGGCCAGGGAGATAGTGGTATAATTATGGTCCAGACAACAGCTTGCCTAACAGAGCTGGCACACACTTGTTACAAGAGGCAGACAGTAACCGGTTGGGAGTGAGTTGAGGGGTAGGACTAGCCCTGGGAAAGCTGCACTGTATTACTCAGGAGGTAACATGGCCTTTGCATAGATGCTGAGGTAAGTGAAAGGTGTGATAAGAGCAGAGAACAGGTGTGCCAGCAAAGTCTGGGGTTCATGAGATGAGAGAACCAAAAGGAAACTCATAGAAGAAAGAAAGGTGGCAGCTGCCTCTCCCCTGTGCACAGGTGCCCAGAATAAAGGGTGGGCTTTTTTTTTTCCCCTTTCAGGCCACAGCTACTTTCTTTTAATAAACACTGTGTTCTTCTTAGGACGTCTCTCTCTGGATTCCCAGGAGGGGGACAGCGGCTTGGACTCTGGAACAGAACGCTTTCCTTCTCTCAGTGAGGTAGGTGCCCGCGGAGATGAGGCCAGTTTAAGGCAGTATGTTTGTGGGCAAGCGTTTGGCCCAGCAGTTAAGAGGCCTTCATCCCATCTCAGAATCCCCAGGTTCCGCCCACCTCACGCTCCTGACTCCAGCCTCCTGCTAATGCAGACCCTGGGAGGCAGTGGTGATGGCCCATGTAGCTAGGTTCCTGCCACCTGCAGGGGAGACCTGGATTACGTTCCCAGCTCCCAGCTCTGGTCCTAGCCCTGGCCCCAGCCACAGCCATCATGGGCATCCAGGGAGTGAACCAGTAGATGGGTGCACCCCACCACCACCACCACCACCACCACCTCGTATTCTCGCTCTTTGTCTTTGTGCTTTTCAACTTAAAAATGAAAAGACTAAAGCAAACTGTCTACATGTTTTTTTAAAAAATGGTCTGTACATTTGGTGTCCCTTTCCTGGGCACCTAAAGGCTCTGCTGCCACCTGGCCACAGTAAGGCCTCCAGCTGTCATCTGTGCCTTTCCTCTCTGGCTCCAGCCCCTAGGGTTTTAGTCACTGTACTCTAGGTTCCAATAAAAGGGTCATCTGGCTTCCTTGTTATCATTGTCAATTCTGCTACAAAAGAGCAGAGTGGAGAGAGAGACCATACCATTAGCAGGCCTCTGAGAATGAGAGAGCAGCACATAGATTGGCAGAGACAGTGACTTGATTGAAGACACATTTCTACCTGGCTGGGATGAAATCATCTTAGAGTACTACAATGGACCTGGCCTAACCAGAAACGATCCTTTTTTTCTTTACCACAAATCTTTTCCTACTTGATTGGCTCATTTTTTTTTTCTGTAGCAGTCAAATAGTTTCAGATTTTTGACTGAAGTGATCTCTTCCAGGTGTTCGCAGTTTGCATATGTAGACTAAATAAATATATGCTTACAATATAAAAGTGTAGAAGAAGGAATAATGATAATATCTACTTAGCTAGATAAATTAAACATGTGAATGATTAGTTGAAAACACATTAAGGCCGGCGCCATGGCTCACTTAGCTAATCCTCCACCTGCGGCGCTGGCACCCCGGATTCTAGTCCCAGTTAGGGCGCCGGATTCTGTCCCGGTTACCCCTCTTCCAGGCCAGCTCTCTGCTGTGGCCTGGGAAGGCAGTGGAGGATGGCCCAAGTACTTGGGCCCTGCACCCGCATGGGAGACCAGGAGGACCTGGCTCCTGGCTTCGGATTGGCGCAACGCACCGGCCGTAGCGGCCATTTTGGAGGTGAACCAACGGAAGGAAGACCTTTCTCTCTGTCTCTCTCTTACTGTCAAACTCTGCCTGTCAAAAAAAAAAAAAAAAAAGAAAGAAAACACATTATAAAGCCTAATTTTAGATAGCTGTTACTGCTCCTGTTTGTGGGAAGCTGATTATATGTGAAAAGATCAGTAAGTTTCAAATGTCAGAGTATTTCATATTTTTTCGGATTTCTGGATTATGCATGTTCAGCCTTCTGAAGTCTGTGCAAATGTTCCCAAATCTGGAAAACTCCAATATCTGAGAAACACTTCTGGTCCCAAGCATTTTGGATAAAGGGTACTCAGCCTATATCTAGGGGGTAGCAGGGCTGGTGATGAATAGTGGGGCTGTGGGTTGAGACTGCCTGGGTTGAATCCAGGGAACACCTCATTGCTTCCCCTTTGACCTTCAGCAAATCTCATAACCTCTGAAGTCCTGGTTTCTTCGTGTGAAAAGGGACAGGAATAACAGGCTCTTCCTCAAAGGGCTGTTGTGTGAATAGGGTGAGGTAAAAATAAGCAGGAGTGCAGTGCTAGGCACAGAGTTAAGAACTGAATGCCTCTCTTTTTTTAAAGATTCATTTATTTATTTGAAAGGTAGAGAGATCTTTCATCTTCTGGTTAACTCCCCAAATGGCTGCAGCAGCCAGGTCTTGGCCAAGCTGGGTATGGTTATCACCACCAAATGAGCTGAGCCCCAAGGGCCTCCCAAACAGGGTTCCTTCTCACAGAATTCTCTGTTCCTCTAGTCATTGATGAATCGGAACTCGGTACTGTCAGACCCTGGACTAGACAGCCCTCGAACGTCCCCTGTGATCATGACCAGGGTGGCCCAGCACCACAGGCGGCAGGGCTCAGACGCAACAGTCCCCTCCACCAGCGACCAGGTGAGTGACCTAAGCCATCCACACACTTCCTTTCCCTTTTTTCATAACAGATCTGGAGCCTGTTATAAGTGTTACCAATACATAGTCTTGAATAATCATACTGAATTGCATCAGCAACCCACAATTTGAGATAATCACTTAAGGAACAAATAATAAGAAAGATCATGATATAAAAAGAAACACGGAAGTAAGGTAATCGGATTCTGTGTAAAGGGTCAGCATCTTAGGGAGGTGACGGCTGAGGAACAGATAGCTGGTCTGTCTTTGAACACCTGTAGAGAATAGGAAATAGGTTTGTTCAGTGTTCCTCCACAATACAACTTTGAATTTTCTCTCCTTAGCAAAATGAACTCTTAGTATATAGAGCCGAGTCTAGAATAATAAGCTCAGCTCTTCTGGGACCTTTCCTGATCAACTCCGTCCCTCCCTCTCGGGTGTTCTTCCATGGAGCCCCGAGGTTCTGCAGAACCTGGTTGAAGCCCCTGCTCTCAAGGGCAGACCTAGTCCAGGGCAGATTTCAGAAGACTGGTTTTGGCTCAGTACCACAGTGTGTGAAGAATCTGGGCTGTGTGGCAGTGGAACGGGCTGAGCCAGAAAATTGTTTGTCATGGTTCAGGCTGCAGCTGGGCCTCTACTTCTTAGAGACACTGAGAAGAGGTCTCCTAGTTTTGTAAACCAGCACTTTAAAATATATATATATATATATATACACACACACACACATATATATATATTGAGTCAGAGTTACAAAGAGAGAAATCCTCTACCACTGGTTCACCCCCTAGATGATCACAACAGCCAGTGCTGGGCCAGGCCAAAGCCAAGAACCAGAAGCAGCTTCTGGATCTCCCATGTGGGTGACAAGGGCCCGGGTACTTGGGCCACTTTCTGCTGCTCTACTAGACCACTAGCAGGGAGCTGGTTTTGAAGTGGAGCAGCCAGGACATGAAGTGACGCCCATATGGGATGCCAGTGCCACAAGCAGAGACCTTCCCCATCATGCCATGGTGCCAGCCCCAACAGGTTTTGTTTTGTTTTGTTTTTTAAGATTTATTTATTTATTTGAAAGAGTTACAGAGAGGGGCCAGTGCTGTGGCACAGCAAGTTAAAGCCCTGGCCTGAAGCACCGGCATCCCATATGGGCGCCAGTTCTAGTCCCAGTTGTTGCTCCTCTTCCGATCCAGCTCTCCTGGGAAGGCAGTGGAAGACGGCCCAAGTCCTTGGGCCCCTGGGCCCACGTGAAAGACCCGGAAGAAGCTCCTGGCTCCTGGCTTCAGATCAGTGCAGCTCCAGCTGTCGCGGCCATCTGGGGAGTGAGGCAGCGGATGGAAGACCTCTCTCTCTGTCTCTCTCTCTCTCTCTCTCTCTCTCTACCTCTCTCTGTAACTCTGTCTTTCAAATAAATAAAAATTCTTTTAAAAAAGAGAGAGTTACAGAGAAAGAGAGATCTTCCATCCACTGGTTCACTTCTCAAACGGCTGCAACAGCTGTGGCTGGGCCAGGCCAAGGCCAGGAACCTGGAACTCACAGGGGCCCAAACACCTGGGCTGTCCTCTGCTGCTTTCCCAGGTGCATTAGCAGGGAGCTGGATTAGGAGTGGAGCAACCAGAACTCAAACTGGAACTTAAGGTGGGATTCCAGCATTGCAGGTGGCAGCTTAACCTGCTGCACCATGCACTGGCTCCAAAACAGCACTTCTTGAAATTCAGTGATCTACCACCATAATGATTTTTTTCATCTCCACAGTCAAAATGTATCATTTACTTAACATTTTTCTTCAAGCTAACTCACTTTTTTTTTTTTTTTTTTTTGGACAGGCAGAGTTAGTGAGAGAGACAGAGAGAAAGGTCTTCCAGTCTTCCTTCCATTGGTTCACCCCCGAAATGGCCGCCACGGCCGGCGCACTGCGCCAATGCAAAGCCAGGAGCCAGGTGCTTCCTCCCGGTCTCCCATGTGGGTGCAGGGCCCAAGCACTTGGGCCATCCTCCACTGCCTTCCCAGGCCATAGCAGAGAGCTGGACTGGTAGAGGAGTAACCGGGACAGAACCAGCGCCCCAACCGGGACTAGAATCCGGGGTGCTGGCGCCGCAGACAGGATTAGCCTAGTGAGCCGCGGCACTGGCCGCTAACTCACTTTTTAAAGCTTAACTTCATTTTAAAGGAAATATGCCATTGCCTTAAATTAAAAACAGTATTATAAGTCACTAGTAATCTAGTTAGCTAAATCTAGTTCTTGATTGTCCCTAGAATCCTGGAATTTAGGTCTAAATGTTTGTCTTTTCCTCCCTTCCATGAACAAAACTGGGCCTTCCTTTGTCCTGTGACAAACAGACCAAGTAGGTCTCCCAGAGGAGTAGTTTGTGAGCTCATGGTAGCCAGCCCAGTTCCTGCTCATGAAGGCCTTTCATGCCTGGACTTCAGGGAGTAACTGCAGCCAGTAGGGTTTTAGTTTCCTGCTTGCTGTCTTTCCTGTCTCTGCCCCCATCCCAGCTCTGCCTCCCCCCCCCCCCCACATACACACATCTCACTGTGTTCTCTTTGATGGTGTTGTCATTCTAATAAATTTGTCTTCTTTTTTCTGATCCAGCATTTATCACTCTGCTGTATTTCTATGTTTACAAGTATAATTTCTCACTAGACTTAATTCATCTTCGAATCCTGGGTACCTAGCGTGGTGTCAGGCACAGAGTAGGCACTTTACAGTGTTGAATGAATGAATGAATGAGTCGATACTTGGGCATGAAATTCATCAAAATTGTCTTCTGGGAGGGGAAGACTTCTCCGGGACACAAAGCTTCCTGAACTTCTCTAAACTGAGGTTCCACAGTGTGGGCTGCAGACAGGACTGCAACCTAGGTGAATCTTTTTCTTAAATCCAGAGTTATATACAGTCATCAAAAGAAAGTTCTAATCAAGAGCTACTGTGCAAAAGAACACATTTGATACTCTATGTGTACCCATTGGATAGAGGGGAAGGTGGAGAGGTGGATCCAAGGTGTATTAAAAGGTATAATGTATCAGCAGCTGTACTGGATCTCACTTAATCCTCACAATCAGTAAAGGAGATGACTGTTAGAATCTTCATGTAACAGAGAAAACTTAGGCAAAGAAAGGTTAAGGGACTGGTCAAGGACTCTGTTGCTGGAAGAGTCACAACTAGAACTTAGTTCTCCTGAGCCCCAACATAGGGCTGTTTTTCCCCTCCTGGCTGTTCTGTGATTGTCCATTCCTGCTCCTCCCTCTGCAGAATGGCAGGACCAAGGTCAGGTTGTTGAAGGATGTCAGGCAGGTTGCTGAGGGGGTCAGGCGTCCATCTTGTTCATAGAGGAGGTTTCCCTTTAGATAGTTAATAGGAGCAGGTGTGGAGTAAGCGGCCTTGGAGTTCTTTTTACCCTGTGAATTTGTCAATCTTCTAAAAAACTTAAATAGCTGTTTTTGAATGATAAGATTAAGTATAGTGTAGTTCCAGTTTCTTAATATGTATTGAGTAGGAAAAAGCCTATATATCCATGAAACTGTCAGCAGCAAGGGTAGAAGTGTAACGATCACTTTTTGTTGTATAATTCTATAATATTTGATTCTTTGATGATAAGCATATTCTGCCTTTACAATCAGAAAATAAAAATATGAAGACTTAGAAAAATTCTCCCTGCAAATAAGCAAAAGCCTAGTTTACTGGCCAGCCAAGTAGAACCAGAAGTACTCACCCACCTCTTGGAGGTCCTGGAATATTAGATATTACAGAAAAGGCCACTGCTTAGGATGTGTCTGAGAAATACAAACACAGCACGTCAGACTTGGCTCTGCAACTTGGGGCACATGGTCAGTCTCTCCGGGGCTCACATTTTTTATTACAGATGGGTGTAGACTCTTGTGGGGAGCAATCCGGACTGGACTAAGTTACTGGAATTAAGACTTATTCTATGCATCTGCTCTCCCACAATATGGCGCTGGGAGAGGAGAAAACAGCTTCTACACAGCTGCCTCCAGTTCAGCCAATAAACTGTAGGACTTGCTCCTGATTGGAGGAGAGCAGCGTACTCGGCGTGTGGGCAGCCGAGTTAGGATTGGCGGAGGAGGACTATAAAGGAGGAGAGAGACGGCATGCACCAGGAACATCTAAGGGGAACATCTAAGGGGAACACCTGTGCAGCCCCCGAGAGAGCCAGCCGGCGGTGTGCCGCTCCCCTGCGGAAGTGGGGAAAGTGGCCAGGGGGAACCGCCCTTCCACGGAGGTGGAAGGGACGGCAGCCAACCCGGGAAGAACCAGCAGCAAACCCGGGGAGGGCCGAGCAGACGAAAGAACAGCGCAGGGTCCTGTGTCGTTCCTCCATGAAGAGGGGGAGCGACAGACTCTGAGCTCTGAGAAAGGTGTTCACATGCTGTAACTCTGTCGTTCTGGGCATAGAGTCTGCAAATATGTGGGAGAACAGAAAAGGAGAGAGGAACATCAGGAAGGGACTGTCAGAAAAAGCCACTTCAGGGGCCAGCGCTGTGGCATAGTGGGTGAAAGCCACCGCCTGTGGTGCCAGCATCCCATATGGGTGTCAGTTCGAGTCCTGGCTGCTCCACTTCTAATCCAGCTCTCTGCCATAGCCTGGGAAAGCAGTAGAAGATGGCCTAGGTCCTTGGGCCCCTGTACCTGCGAGGGAGAGCCGGAAGAAGCTCCAGGCTCCTGGCTTTGCATTGGTGCAGCTCCAGCTGTTGCAGCCATTTGGAGAGTGAAACAGCAAATGAAGACTTCTCTCTGCCTCCCCCCGCCCCGCTTCTGCCTTTGTAACTCTGCCTTTCAAATAATAAATAAATCTTAAAAAAAAGAAAAGAAATTTATACTTTAAAAAAAAAATAAAAGAATAAGCCACTTGCCAAAGTGGGTGAGGAGGGTGTCTTCTCCCTGGTGAGAATAAGCAGGGGTAAGCCAGATGGGTTCCAGAAGCAATATCTTTGTTGGGGAATCACCACAAATGAGGGAGATTAAACTGAATGAAAAATACAATTGGTAGAAGAGCTTTGAAAGCTCAAGGAACTTTTAGGAGAAAAATTTGTCCAGTGAGGCATCTGAAAAGTCTATGCAACATGAACTGCCTCTCATGTATCTCACCAATGCATATCAATCAGGATTAGATTTATATTAAGATGTGCATAGGGTAGAAAGAAAAGCCAGGGCAAGTAGTTTGGATTTTAGATAGGTAACAGGGATTCTATGCTGGATTCTTGCGCAAGGAAATAATGCAAATGGCGTTTGAGAAAGATCAGCCCATCCCTTTTTGCTCAGCAGGCAGAGACCCACCACTAGGCTCTGACAGTTGCTAAGCCAGTGGGACTTACTAGTACACAGCAGCTGTTCTCAGCACTGTAGTGGACGCTGGGTTTGGAGGGTGTGTGTTTGGGCTTTAGGGTCACTGTTTAATCTGTTTAGGAAAACAGCCCCCAGCCCAACCATCCCACAGGAGCTGCAGGCCCTTATTTTGTTGGCCAACCATCCCTTCCACCCCCTCAGATCTTTTGAAAACAGGAAGAGAGCGTTTTCTCTTACTTCCCATCTTCATATGTCATGTGACCAGGCTGCTGTGAGTCTGCTCTGCCCCACCCAGCAGCCGTTGACTTCCTGCAAGTGGAAATCATTTCATCTGTGCTCTGAGATTTGCGGGTGGTAGGGAGAGGCCAGCGTTTACCTGCTCAGTGGCTGTCTTAGTGAGTGCTGTGCTGTAACCAAACAGACTTCGCTGAGGGAGTTGAATGCGCCGTCCTCTGTAACTTCTCATCTCTACAACTTGAATCTCTCCCCCAGGGTGTAGATCAAAGCCCAAAGCCTTTAATTATTGGCCCAGAGGAAGATTATGACCCGGGCTATTTCAACAACGAGGTAACAGTTTCCTGGTTCTTATTTTCATCATTCTCCTGTCCTACAAGCTGCTCTTGGCCTGAAGCAGTGGGACTAGTAGCAGCTGGGGGAGGGAGCCTCCACGTATCAACCCTGGAAGGTGGATAGCATGGAGGCTAAGCGGGAACAGGCTGTGCTTCTGTGGCCTGCCTCCATGCCTCCCAGCCCACAGGTACCCTTCTGCCTTCCAGAGCGATATCATATTCCAGGACCTTGAGAAACTGAAGTCACGTCCAGCTCACCTGGGGGTTTTTCTACGTTACATCTTCTCTCAGGCGGACCCTAGTCCACTGGTAAGTTGGAAGTGTCGTTCTGGCCCTGGCCCTGCTTGATGTTACAGATCTGAACCCTGGGCGTAGGCGGGCATCTCAAGAACAGCGACAAAATAGGAAAGAGGACAGACCCCAGGCCTGGAGGCTTCTTCACTGGGTGTGACACGGTCCACTCCGGTCAGTAGCCAGAAGGGAGAAAGAGCTAGGCCAGAAACACTGCCATCCTCGGTCAGCTTAGGCCATTGTTGCGAAGAAGAGGATCTTTTCTGGGGGTTTTCGAATGAAGGTGGCTGCAGAATGGGGAGTTGGCCCTTGCACATACACAGTGTTACTGCAGGAAGGCTTGGCAGAGAGCAAGATTATACGAGGTCTTCAGTCTCAAGGTGATGACAGGAAAGAATGTGGGGGGTGGAACCCAGAGTGCCCTGGGCAGTGCTCAGAGCCAACAGCTGTACAGTGTCTCTCATTCTGCTTGGCTGCTTAAAAAGGAATGGGGTATAGGAGAGAGGCTGGTGGTGTAGTCTTCAGAATGAACTTGCCCCAGGCTTGCGTTGCTGTTTCGTGTTTCTGGGAATACCACTGTGGGAAGCCAGAATGAGCACTGATTTGCTCATTATTCATTGAACACCTGGGTTTTAAGTCCCAAGTGCTAGGATCTCAGAAACATTCCTGAATAAAAAATGACAAAGAAAACTAAAACATGAATCCTTGGGAAACAATAAATGAACAAGTCAGTGGTGAGATAGCAAATGTGGAAGAGACGGAGTCAAGGGGCAGTGGTTGGGTGGCTGGGATGCAGCAGGGGCGGGGCCAGGGCCTCTTTTGCCACGGGTGTCTGGTATGTTCCAGCCACCCTTTCTCAGCCTCAGCACTGTTAACATTTTGCACTGGATTATTCTGTTGTGGTGGACTCGGCTGTGCATTTTGGGGTCTCGAGCTGCATCAGTGAACTCTGTCCACCAAATGCCAGGAGGAGACTTCACTCCTTAGTAACCATAATGACTAAAAAGTGTCTCCTCAGGGACAAAATCATCCCTGGTTGAGAACCACTGCTCTAACCAGGTGCTCTCTCCCCCTAGCTTTTTTACTTGTGTGCAGAAGTTTATCAGCAGACAAACCCCAAGGACTCCCGAAGCTTGGGAAAAGACATCTGGAATATTTTCCTAGAGAAAAATGCGGTAAGGCAGTCATGGATTGAATTACAATTTTACTATACTCTTTGGACCACTCAGAGACAGAGAAAAAACTAAACAAAACATTGAGGCCAAATGGAGAAGAGAAGTCTTGGTTCAGGGATTAGGATTTCCGGATTGCATTCCTGGCTCTGCTCTAATAGATTCATCTTCTTTCTATACTTCTTTTGTTCCGTGTGTAGAATACACATTGCCTCTCTTCAGAATAGGGAGAGAGTCTAATTGCTCTCCCTTGAATCAGTGCCCTGCTTTCCACAGCCCTCCCTGCCTTGCCCTCCATATGATGAAGAAACAGGGTGTAGATCAGTGGGCACAGGGGGAGCCCAGGTTTCTGCAGCTCTGCCTGACTTCAGCATTATTGCCCGGAGGCAGGAGTCAGAGGTGAGAAGGCCCTGCAGTGCCTGGGACAGGTGCACACTCAGTGTGTCTGGACGCGGGTCCCAAGTGTTTCCAGAATCTTGCTGAGCAAAAGCACTTCTGCGTGCAGAGGCAGTTCCCATCCTCAACGTCCCAATCTGATCAACTAAACTAATCCCAAGATGGCTTTATGTTTCTGGTGATGAGCTTGAAGACAGCGGATTTTCCTCAAGACTTTACTCTCCCCTTTAAATGGGGCTTGAGTAAAGAGATAGAGCTGCCAGTTCTCTTTTATGGAACCACCCCCGTATCCAGGGGTCAGGGACTTAAAAAGCAAAAGCGGGAACACCAAGCTAATTGTGAGACTAGGTGACGTAGAGCCAACTCTCCTTTGGGAGTGAAGAGGAGGGGAAGCCCATCAGATAGCCTGGTAAAGGTTTCTCCCTTCCTGCTAAATTATCACCAGTCCACTTTTTGAAACAACATTTCTGTTCCATAAACTCTAATGACCTGAAAATAAAGAGTGGAAAAACTGCACATCCACTCTTAGAATATAGTCTCGACTTTCCCTGTAAGCCTCAAATTTTATTTCCCATAAACCTTGGTCTAGAGTTTAGGTATACACTGAGAGATGAAAGGAGGGTGGGTAGATGTTGGCAAAAAAGGAGAGAAGGCAGTGGCTGCCAAGCCTGTTCCCTATCTGTCTCCCTGGCGAGTACACCCTCACCATTTCTGCCCCACTTTTGTGTCTCCTAGCCTCTGAGAGTGAAGATCCCTGAGATGTTACAGGCTGAAATTGGTAAGTTGGCTCATTGGCCAGTAAGTATTCTGATGCTGCCCTTCTTATCTTCAGTTCTTGGAAGCCTCTAGACGACAGCCACTGTCCTTGGGCAGCTGTCCTCCGTAGGACAGTTCCTCCAGAATACTGCATAATAGCTTATATGCGGGCACAATCAGGGCACAGCCTGACCAGGAAGTCACTCTGCCTGGTGGCATTTGTCACAGGAAGACCCTGTCTGTTGCATGAGGAGGCCTGGGCTCATTTCCACAACCTTCCACATGACCCTTCCGGGCCTCAGTTGGGTCATCTGTCCAAGAGAAAATTGGAGTCAATCAGGGATTGCTAAGCCAGATCAACCATTAGATTCCCTTGGGAAGCTCTCATAGATGTAGAAACCAGGGCCTCACGCCATCCCGCCTCAATTCAGACTCCCTGGAGTGTTACAGGGTGGGGATGGGGCTATGAATTCCTTAACTGACACTGATAGCAGCTGGTCTGGAGTAAGGATCCAGTAAACTGGATGATTTCTGAGCCCCTAATCCTAATCAAGACAGAGGAATGGGGTGGGCGGGGGCGGCACACAGAGGGTGGCCGCCAGAGGGGCTGTGCAGGAGCTTGTCCGAGGCTTCTCAGGCAGGAGAACTGAAGGGCACAGGCGGTCAGGTGAACAGAGCTTGTGCTCCCAGCAGCTCAGCCTCACCTGGGTGGAGCAGATGCTGACCGAAGGATTACACCTTTTACTTTAGCTGGGGAGTTGGTGTTTCATGGAACGTGAAGTGCTTGCTTTTTCATCCTTGTGAGCTGGCCACGGGCAGTGCAGGGGAGTGAGCATCTCCCTGGGAGGGCTGCACTGTGGTGTCACAGGACAGCATGGGAACATATCTGATGAAAGGGGTTTTAGCACTTCACATACTGGAGCATGGAACATCCAGAAAGTGTTTTTTGTCGTTGACACGGACCTTGGACATGAGGTGTCCAGTTCTGAATTCGGGAATGATCTGTGAGGCGGAGGCCTTCACTTCATTTAGACTAACGGGGCAGAAAGCCAGCCTGTCCTCCCTGGGCACCCCGCCCATGTTGCTTTCCCTGGGTTCCCACTACAGACCTGCGCCTGCGCAACAGTGAGGATGTCCGCAGTGCACTCAGTGAGGCCCAGGGGGCTGCCATGCCAGAGATCCAGGAACAGATCCACGACTACAGGTTTGCCAGGGTCCTTGCCCTCCTGCACTACCTCCTAGCACCTCTGCCTCTTGGCCCTTCCCTCGCTCTGTGTGTGTGTATTTATGTTTGCCTCACTCCTGGGTGTGCATCTAAGGAGTGTTTGTACATTTGTTCCTTGCTGTGTATCTCTCTGGCTTAGAACAAAACGCACTCTGGGGCTGGGCAGCCTGTATGGTGAAAATGACCTGCTGGACCTGGATGGGGACCTTCTCCGAGAGCGCCAAGTGGCCGAGAAGCAGCTGGCTGCCCTTGGAGATATTCTGTGAGTCTTTAGATCTCCTCCCACCCCCCACCCTCACCAAATATGCCCAACAGGTTGACAGGTTTTAGGGGTTTCTTTTCCAGCTTCCCTCTAGCTATTCTTGCCTGGTTGTCCTTCCCCTGAAGTGCAGGGCGAGCTGGGTTTCTTAGGCAGAGGGCTGCCCTCGTGCATGGGGGTTGCTGAACCTTGGGGCTCCCTGTTGTAATATGGTGGTCATGACAGGCACTGGGCTCCAGGAATGTGGTGAGCTTTCTGCTTCTCCTTTCTAGCCCTCTTCCTAAACTTCCTCCCTTCCTGCCTCTAAGACCATGTCTGACACAGCGTGAGCCCAGCGCTGCGAGTCTCTGATAGATAAAGCTTCTGCAGAACTTCATTAAGGGAAATGGAATCACTTTTACTAATTATCGCAGAAATCTGAAGTTACCTGATTCAGGAGCTGCTGGCACACCTGCTATGCTCTTTTAGAGACATTTTCTAAATGTCAGGGGTGCCTGTGATATGAGTCCCAACGTGACAGGCTTTGTGGGAACATTTCCAGGCTTAGCAGTTTTTTGCCCCAGTACTGCTTCTCACTAAGTAAACGCATGACCTTGGCCAAGCCATTTTATCTCGCTGGGCCCCACGTACAGAATGATCAGAGTTGGACTGGATGATCTCCATAGCCTCTGGGAATGCTGCTGTTTCAATTTCATGGCTCTCCTGTACCAAATGTGGTTCTGCCTCCGGCATTCCTGGGATGCAGTAGTGAACAAAGCAGCCCTACCTCTCCAGAGCTTACATCGTAATGGGAAGAGCCATTAGTGCTTAACAAAGAAGTAATGGGGTAGTATGTTACAAAGAAGTGCTGGAGGAGAAAGTAGAGCAGGCTGGGGAGGACCAGGAGAACTAGAGCCCGTGGGTTGCGAGTCTAACCTGGACAGTCGGACAAGCCACAGGGCAAGGGAACCTGATAAAGCCAGAGGGGACAGGAGGGGTGGCCGTGCAGAGCCTTGTGGACAACCACACCCACTCTGGGTTTTTCTCTGAGTGAGAGCCACTGGAGCTGTGCGAGACTAGATGGGGCCCAGGACAGGAGAGCTGGGGAAGGCTCTGCCGAGGGTTCTGTAGGACAGCGTGTGGCAGCCAGCCAACCAGACTGGGAGAAATGGTGGAGGCTGTGAAAAGAGGTCCCCTCTAGGTGTATGTTGATGCTAGAGCCACCATGACTGCGGGGAGTGAGGAAAGAGAAGCACCAAGGAAGACCCTCAGGATTTCTCTTTCTGTCTGAGCTACTGAAAGGGCGAAGGTACCAGCAGTCAGAATAGGGACAGTTACAGGGGAGCAGTTTTGAGATAGAAAATGAGGACATGTTAAACAGTACCGGGTAGGCGTTCCATACACAAATCCGGCATTTGAGGAGGTCTGGCCAGGGATGAGATGGATGAGATCACACAGAGCAGGAATGCTTTGCAGACTTGACCGTCTGACCCTCAGCCAAGCCCTGAATCTTTCTGAGCCTTGGTTTCCTAGCAGTCAGATGGCACTAAACCAGCTCAGCCAGCTCCAGGATGGAGGCAGGACTGACCGAGCCTATTTGGACATTAGATGGGTTAGTATGTACAGACAGCTTAGCATGATGCCTGGCCCGTGGGGAACACTCAGATGCTGCTGTTTCCATTTATGTCTTCTAAAAAGATTTGTTTGGATCCAGTCTCAAGGTATTGTTGCTTCCTTCTCATCTTCTGTCCTCCTGCCTCAGTGATGCCCCAACCCTTCTTTTTAATTTTTTTTAAGATTTACTTATTTATTTGAAAGGCATAGGGGCCAGCGCTGTGGCCCAGTGGGTTAATGTCCTGGCCTGAAGCACCAGCATCCCATATGGGCACCGGTTCGAGTCCTGGCTGCTCCACTTCCTATCCAGCCCTCTGCTATGGCCTGGGAAAGCAGTAGAAGATGACCCAAGTCCTTGGGCCCCTGCATCCACATGGGAGACCCAGAAGAAGCTCCTGGCTCCTGGCTTCAGCCAATTAGGGAGTGAACCATCGGATAGAAGTCCTCTCCCCCACCACCTCCTCTCCTCTCCTCTCCTCTCCTCCTCTCCTCCTCTCCTCCTCTCCTGTCCTCTGCATAACTCTGATTTTCAAATAAATAAAAAATCTTAAAAAGAAAGGCATAGTGACAGAATAAGAAACTGAGGAAGAAGGAGAGAGAAAGAAAGAGGGACATCTTCCATCCCCTGATTCACTCCACGAATGCCTCCAACAGTAAAGGCTGGGCCAGGCTAAAGCCAGGAGCCATGAACTCCATCCAAGTCTCCTGGGCAGGTGGCAGGGACTCGAGTACTTGAGCCATTATCTGCTGCTTCCCAGGTACATTAGCAGGAATCATTCAAAAGCAGAGTAGTCGGGACTTGAACCAGGCCCTCCAATACAGAATGGAGACTTAACCTACTGCTCCACAATGCCCAGCCCTCACCTCTGCCCTTCTAACTCAGTCCTAGGTGGGTACAAAAAGGAGCCTCTTTCTGTATAACTTCAGACACCAAAAACATAGCAAGCGAGAAGCTTGTGTTTACCACATTGCCCTTCCATTTCACTAGAAAGACATTGTCGTCATCATCATTGTCATCATCATCACTCTGCCATTAGAGTCCCTTGAGGGAAGAACTCTCACCTACTGAGCCCCAAGCTGGCTCTAGAGCTGTGACCAAGAGTCTGGCCTTTCATCATACTCCTCCCTTCTCCCCACCAACCCGCCCTTCCTCTGAGAAAGAGCTTACCCTCCTCCCAGCCTCTGCCCAGGCGACAAGCCTCTGTCTTTGCTGTGTGAGTCATCTGTTCTTTTCTTTTGTTCCAGGTCCAAATACGAGGAAGATAGGAGGTGAGTCCATGATGTGGTTCATTTGCAGCTTTCAAGGTGGGAAGGTGTGGGGCTGATCTGTGCTTTGCATTTTTGCTCATTACAGGGAGCCCCTAGCTTTGTAAGACCACGTAAGAGCCTGGTCTGCAAGTTTCATTCCCTGATGACTGTAATTGTAACACGTGGGGGTCATGAGATGGTCCAGGCCCCTAATGCTCAAGGATCACCACCTGAGGGTGTGAGTGGCTCCTAATACCTGCTTCCTCCTCTCCACCCAAATCAGCCCTGTGGCTTCCTTCCCACCTCTTTCCCTTCATCCACTTAAAAAAGCAGCAGTGGTGGTTTTATCAGCCTGGATTAGGGGCACCTGCACAGGGGAGTTGGGGTATAACATGTTTAATCTCTTGGCATGTGTTGTATTTTTTTCAGTAGCCTATAAACAGGGATGCTTCAGAAAGCTCATGAGAAAATGGAATTAAAAGGCAAATTTATTTTGCTGCAAAAAATGCTGAGATCCATACATAATTTCTGATGAATTTTTTAAGACCCCAATGCATGAATTTTAAACATTTTTGTACAAAAGTAAGCTTACCTTTAAATTGTGTTTCCCACAGACTTTTTGAAGTATCCTTTTTATGTCATTGTTTCTCATCAGCCAATGTCAAAATGACTCTGCATTCCCTGAACACACACACACACACACACACACGTAGTAAGAGAGAAAAGATGGCAGTAGAAGTCCATTTAAAAAGGCAGTAAAGCCAAGGCTGGTTGAAGATTCGATGCTCTGAATCCATGAAGTAGATAATCCGTCTACCAAATTGCAGGCCAAATACATTTCTAAACATAGAGCTCTGGACAGTTTCATTTGTGGCAATTGGAAGCTACTTGACAGCTCCTTTCCATCTCTCTTTGTACTTGGGGAAGGGAGGGTGGTGAAGGCAGGGTACCTTGACAGAGGATGAGTGACAGTTCTCCCTTCCCTTTGCACCCCACCCCCACATCCATGCTGAGAGCAGCTGCAGACCTCAGCCGGCCCTCCAGGTCTGCCCATGCCCTGGCTAGCAGGGAGTTGTTTGCTTGTCTTTTAGGGAATTGGCCTGTTTTTCCACTGACCAGCATGCCCTCACTGGGAAGGTTCTGCTTAGGGAAAGAATAAGATGTCTCCCGGGAGTCTTGCCAGTCAGCTTCTGCCTGCTGTCCCATTTGATTATTGCAGACTTCCCTGTGAATACCTCACTCCGTTACTACCCCTGCCCCGCTTCACTGGATGTCTGTGGGGAGATTGTCTAGAGCAGAGATTTGCCCTTCTGCCTGTGGGTAGGAAGCAGAACTTGAGCCTTCTGATCCGTGACACGGTTCTTCTCTTGCAGTGCCCCCATGGACTTTGCCCTCAACACCTACATGAGCCATGCTGGAATCCGTCTCCGAGAGGCCCGGCCCTCCAGCACGGCAGAAAAGGCCCAGGCTGCTCCTGACAAGGACAAGTGGCTGCCCTTCTTCCCTAAGACCAAGAAGGTGACAGCTACCCTAAAACTCAGCTGTTCTCATGCCGTCCTCTGTGCTGAGGTAGACTAGGAAAGCCATTTTGCAGCCAGTAGCGCTGTCACTCCACCTTTGGACGTGCAGTCAGTGAGAATCCCGGGACTAGAGCAGCCGTGTCTGTTCTTCTAAACCCGGCCTGGGTAAATTGTGCTTGGCAGGCTTTGAACGTGAGGCATCTTTCTGGTTTGGTGGCAGTGACAGAGTGATTAGCAACCACATCGGGGCTGGGACATTGGAGTCTCCTTCAAACCCCAGTGTCTCTTGTCTCAGCAGAGCAGCAATTCCAAGAAAGAAAAGGATGCCTTGGAAGACAAGAAGCGAAACCCCATCCTCAAATACATTGGGAAACCCAAAAGCTCTTCTCAGAGCAGTGAGTATTTGGGGAGCAGCAGCCTTGGACATACCAGTGTGTTTGTTGGTGGAGGGCCTTCCTGTGCTTCCGGGAGCCATGGGCCCCAACTCTGAGACTGCAGCTTCCTCTCACCACTGCCCCTCTCTGTCCCCCATATCTAGTGCAGGCTCTGGGTTACAGGTCAGTGTTTGAGCCAGAAAGGTCTCGCCAGTCACTGGGTCTTAGTCTAGGAACTCAGAGCCAAGGAACTGTAGCCACTGAACAGCCAAGCAAAGGAACATTTCCCCCTTGGCAATGAAAGATTGTCCCCTTGAGAGTAAATGCCCTCTTCACCCTCGTCCATAGCATTCGTGCGTAGGCCTGCAGTCCATGTGTTGGGAGCAATTCTGGGCCCTGGGTGGGGGATGCGAGTGCGTATCAAGTAGAAGTGGGGGAGGATGGGAAGTTTGGGAGCCAGCAGTTCCCCTAGTGTCATCTGTAACCCCAAAACTGACTTGAGCTTCTCACTGATCTCTTCCCAGCTGAGTCAAGTGTCTACAAATGACTGGCCCTCCCAGTCAATGTATTAAGTCCTTGGTCTCAGGGGCAATCTGTGCTGTGGAGAGCCTAGGGCGGGCAGGCTGACTTGTCTGAAATGGCTGCCACAAGGGAGGCGGTAGGGAGGGACTCTGCTACCACCTTGATTTTTGCCACTACCTTTTCATTTTCCAGATTAATGTAATTTTTATTTTGACTCTTGAAACGTTAATTTGACTTTTCATGGTTTACTTTTGTTTTTGTTTGTTTTTCTTTTAGCATTTCATATTCCTTTGTCCCCTGTGGAAGGTAAAAGGACCATTTTCTTTGGATTTGTCTTTGCATTAGCATTGATTTTCCATCTCCAAATCTTACCTTCCCTTTCCCTTCATCTTCTCCTGCCCTATCCCTCTTTTCTCCCTCCCTCTCCGTATGTTCCTCCTTGTTGCAAAAACTGCTCTGTGTCACAAACCCATGTCCAAGGGGGCTTCTGCCCTCATGCTGGGTATAAGACTTGCCTTCCTAACCCAGGGTTTGAAGGGGCAGGGACCTGCTTCCCCCAGGTAGAGAGCCTCCTTGTGGGTCTGGCAAGGGCCAGCCTTCTAAGCCCTAGCAGTTGTTTTTGTTTTCTTAACAGCCTGAGGCCTTTTCTCCTTGATTCTCTGGCCTCTCCAAAGAAGAGGTTTCAGAGTCCAGGGTTCTATACTGATGAAGGAGCCCCTCACAGACTGACGTGTCGATAGTGAAGCAGAAGTACCTAGGATTTTTGTTTTCAGTTGAGATTAGTTTTGGAGATAATTTTTCTTTTAGTAAATTATGGTTCTCACAATTTTTGTTTGGGGTATTTTTATTTGTATCATCTGCTTGCTAAAGCCCCTGGATGTGGCTCACTGATTGCCGACACAGTATCACTGCAACAGTTAACAGAGAATTACCTAAAGTACTGTAAGAACCTAATACTTTCCCGAATGTATGGATTCAAAAAATTAATATGGTGTCCACTGAGCCACAGGAAGCTGGGACCCTAGTTTGAAATGCCCCAGAATTGGGAAGTTCATTTCCCATCAGTGAGTTCATATATACATGTAATTGAGTGAGTGATATTTTTTAGGATTTCTGATAAATACAGAGAGAGCAGTGGGATGCAATAGGAAATTATTCTGTTGCTAGAATTCATTTTATGTAAAAATGGCAATACTCCTAGACTCATTATGCCATTTAAAAAAATGAATTATTGAAAAGAATATTTTAAGAAGAGTGGCCTCCATTCCAGAATCCCTAATTCTTAGCAGATACTTCTTGTCCACCCTGCCAGGAAGGCCTGTGGCCCCCGCAGGCTCCCAAGGCTGGTCGGCTCTGCCTAAGCAGCTTGCTTGGCATCAGCTTGCGAGAGCCAGGAACACCCAGGGTGCAGCTGCGGTTGCTGAGTCCAGGGCGTGCTGAGGATGCCAGGGCCAGCAGCTCTTCAAGTCAGAGCTTTCCATTGGGATTTCCTGGTTTGGCTTGGTGTTCTCAACTGCCCAGGACAGTAGACAAATCCATATCTAAAGACCAGACACCTGCCAAAGCTGGAAAGCCTCAACAGTGAAACTTTTGCCTTTCAGGATCATCAACTATTACCCGTTTATTAGTGAAGTATCTGTTAATAACATATAATTCACTTTTATTTAGTTCCGTTATCATTCAGGGGCTAGAGAAAGGAGGAAAAGACTGGTAGTAAAACTTCACTGTTTTAAAAAATGTGTTCCTTTCTACCTGTTTTCCCCATTACCATGGGTCATTCTATTTAGACTAGATCTTAGTGCTAGACCTGTTTCTTCCCGAATGTTCCACATGGCTGATAGAAGAGGAGCAGTGGACTCAGCGTGGTGACATTCCACAGAAGGATGCTCCCAGGCTCCCGTATAGTCACCCAGTCAGGGTGGCTCCGAGTTGTGGCTGCCCGGCTGACCCTGGTGTCCAGCAGCTCCAAGACACAGAGGCACATTCAGTACGGGCCAGCAGATCTAGTCCTAATCTCATCCAGAATGAAAGTGATGGTAGCCCCAACACCGGAAACGTACACAGAGCCTCTGGTGCAGTTTTAGAAAAAAGTTACCCTAGCCACTTGCCTCAAAGACGTGGAATTGTAGGCTTTGAAGAGAGCAGATAATGTCTTTCTGTTCTCTCTAGCTTAGCACATTTTGAAAGGCAGGTTTTGAGACAGGGAAGTTGTGCGTTTGTGTGTGCAGATAGCAGTCTGTTGGTGTGGCTAGCATGAGGGCCTAGACTGCCTCCCCAGTTCCCGCTGGTCTCCTGCGGAGCAACCCCTCTGCCTCAGCCCCTGTTCTAACATCACTCACTCAGAGCTGAGCTAGGGGATTGGAGGTGGACTCCTCATCTCCCTGTCATGCAGAGAGCTGCCGAAGCCCCGGCTCGGGGTTATTTTCTCCAGGGTCTCTAAGCGGTATCTCCTATGCCTTTTTACTCTCTCTCCTGCCCTCTCTTTTTTTGAACAAGAAGAGTTGTGTTTTGTCTTCGTTTTTAAAAAGGGTCTGAAATTTGAATGCTGGAGAGTGACATCTCCTCTGTTCCCCTGGCTGGTAATAAAGGGTCCGATTCTTTACTTATGGACACCTGAGGGGACGGAAAGAACAGAAAGGAGAGTCAAGGAAAAACAGAACTAATGAACTCTAAGAATAATATAAACTTGAAAAATGTCTGATATGATTTGGCAGCACAGCCAGAGCACATGTAGGTGTTTTTCATCTTCCTGACTTTTTTTTAAACCTGTACATGGCTCTGTAAGAAAAACCTAGTCATGGTCTTCAAGTAGAAGTATCATTTAATAAAGACCATAAGATCCAAAAGAAAGCTCCATGGAAGATGGGCATGCAGATCCTTTCATTTAGCACATGAGGAAAGAGTGGACTCAGAATGGTAGAGTGGCCGCCCAGGGCCACACAGCATAGCCATAGAAGAGCCAGGACAGGACCAGATCCATGCCGCCTGATTCTTGGCCCTCTGCTGTTCTCATCCATGCTTGCTCATTGCTCTGTCTTCTGGGCTTGCGGGGACTGAGGGCTGGAGAAGTGATCCCGGAACAGAAAGCGTAGTACCCTTCATTTCCTTCTTGCCTCCAGTCAAACCAGGCAATGTGAGGAACATCATTCAGCACTTTGAGAACAGCCAGCAGTGTGACGCCCCAGAGCCCGGGACACAGCGACTCTCAACAGGAAGCTTTCCTGAGGACCTCCTGGAGAGTGACAGGTAGCAGTGACTGGGCAGGGCTGGCCAGCTGCCCAGGGAGGAGAGCACGGACAGGGTGTGCTGCTGGCTTAGCCTCTCCGCTAGGCGCTAAGGCTCCCACTACAGAACTCTCCCCAGCTCCCCAGCTCCCCATCCTTGATGTCTCAGAAGATACCCTGTGTGTTGCAAATCAGGCCAATGAAGAGCAAGAGGAGCTCCTGACCTCTGGCCCATGAACTGCAGGCTTTTACAGTTTCCTTTGGATTTAGCCCCTGACTACTTGGTAGCCTGTATCCCAAGATTGAGCTAGATTGTATTATAAAGCAGCTGATAAGGAAACCCTAAAGGACAAGGATTAAGGAGAGTCTAGAGGGGGACAGAGAGAAGTCCTGGAAAATAAAAAACCAGGGGCCAGTGTTGTGGTGTAGTAGGTTAAGTTTCTGCCTGCAATGCCGGCATCCTGTATGGACGCTGGTTCAAGTCTTGGCTGCTCCACATGGGATTCAGTTCCCTACTGCTGGCCTGGGAAAGCAGTGGAAGATGGCCCAAGTGCTTGGGCCCCTGCACCCACTTGGGAGAACTGGAAGAAGCTTTTGGCTCCTGCCTTCAGATTGGCCCAGCTCTGGCCATTGCAGCCATTTGAAGAATGAACCAGCAAATGGAAGACCTCTCTCTCTGTCTCTCAAATAAATAAATAAATATTTTTAAAAGAAAAGAAAAGCTGGAGATGAGGCAGTGCCAGGAATTTTAAAGGCGAAGTAGCTGGCTGTGAGCAGCAGGTGTCTACCCAGCAGAGAGATAGAAAATTGATGGGTTCAAAACCAACTGTTCTTCCCTTCTCAAGAAAAAACGGAAATTGAGCCTGTGGCATATCTCATGTCTGTCACTGGTCAGTTTTTGTTGTTGTTGTTTTTAAGATTTATTTATTTATTTGAAAAGCTGAGTTACAGAGATCGAGATCTTCCAGCCACTGGTTCAGTCCCCCAAATGACCACAATGGCCAAGGCTGGGCCAGGCTGAAACCAGGAGCATGCAACTCCATCTGGGTCTCCCATGTGGGTGGAAGGGCCCCAGATACTTGGGCCATCTTCTGCTGCTTTCCCAGGCACATTAGCAGGGAGTGGGATTGGAATTGGAAAAGCCAGGACCCAAACTGGTGCTCACATGGGATGCCAGCATCATAGGCAGTGGCTTAACCTGCTGTAACACAGCTGGCCCCAACTGGTCAGGTTCTTACTAGATTCCTTGTCTGATATTAAAATGCACTTTTGGACTTCCTTGCTTTTGACTGTGGCATGACAACAACCAAGTCATATCTCAAATTCTGTAGGCTACACTTAAAGCAAAGATTATTTATAGCTAGAAACATCCCTCAGGTCACCCTTAAGGAATAGTAATGTGGCGTTGTGCATAGGAAAATAATTTGTATGTACCCTGAAGTCCGAAAGCCCCTGAGCTGGGGTAGAGGCAGCACAAACAAAGGCAAGTCCATGTGTAGCAGTCTGGGTAGATGTTCCAGCCAGTTTGCCTTTGATAGAACTATCAAACTGTAAGTCAGATGCTCCTACTTGAATACATGTTTATACCTCTGTTTATATTAAGCCTTTATAAACTGGTAAAAGACCTGACCATAGTGAGAACTGACAGGTTTAAGGACAATAAAGTTAGATTTGAGCTGTGGGGAGAGGTTGAATTCTAACATCAGTGGGTAAATTCAATACACAAATCACATGATTGCTGCAGTAATCATGATCCTATAACAAATATTTAAAGATCATAAGATGACAACATTTTGAGAAAATATTTGAGACCGTTAACAAACTTGCATTCTTGGCATTGCAAGTTAGATTTGTACTAAGACATTCACCAGAATCCTAATGCTACTCCAAGCAGAAGGCTTGGATTTGATCATTATAAACTCATGAGCAATCTTGGGATAAATAGTATTAGCAGGGGCAAGTGTTGTGGCTCAGCAGGTTAAGCCACTGCTTGGGACTGCTGCATCCCACATCACAGTGCTGACTCAAGTCCCAGTGTGCCACTTCTGATCTAACTTCCTGTTTCTTCCTGGAAGGCAGCAGATGATGGTTCAAGTGCTTGAGCCCCTCCCATGCGTGTGGGAGACCCAGTTGGAGTTCTGTGCTCCTGGCTTTGGCCTAGCCCAGGCCTGGCTATAGCCAGCATTTGGGTAGTGAACCAGGAGAAGAAATCTCTCTGTCTCTCTCCCTCCCTCCCTCCTTCTCTCTGTCTCTCTTCCTCCCTCCCTCCCTCTCTCTCTCTCTTTCTGTCACTCTGCCTTTCAAGTAGATAATAAACTTTTTAAAATAATATTAGCAGTATGATAGGTCAGAGGTTGCAGATAATCAGCAGGTGTAAGAGGTTATCCTCAGTTCTAGAAGGCAGAACCCTGGGGATGTTTGGCTAGAGGTAGATCATATTCCTCACTTCTTGGTCGGAGTGTCACTCACTTCTGTGTACTTGGAGGAGAGTTCTGCAGCCCCAGTGACCCCACTGGATGAGGTTTGCCGTGGGGCTAAAGTGACACATTGCAGAAACTGCTCAAAGCCTGGGTTCACATTGTTGTAACAGATTCCCAAGCGATGAGTTCCGTAGGGGATCAGTTGACGTTATTCGTTCTAACCCTCTGGACAAACCCTCAGAACCCCGGGAGGTGAGCTGATTTTGCATCCTGCAGTTTGGAGAGAGGTGATGAATGGAAAGCAAGACGCTGGGCTCCCTCACTGCAGCAGTCGCTGTGCTGTTAGGAGCTCTCCAGACATCTGCAGGCCTTCTGTGGTCCCCGAAGCAGAGCAGGATGTAGATTAGTAATAATGTCAGCAAAGAACCAGCCCTGTAGGGCATGGCAGGGGAGAGAAGGGGGGCTGTCCTAGGGCAGCTAGAGGTCAGAGACGCCAGTTGTCTCGGGGCTGACGCACTGCAGGATGCAACAGAGCAACAGCAGTCGTCAGCAGCTCATCAAGCCCAGAGATGCTCAGTAATGGAGCATGGCAGAGCCAGGAGCAAATCTGTCCCCTTTAAGCTCCCTCCCAAGCCTGGCAGCTCCCTAGAGAGGAAATGAAAGCTGAGGAAGGGTGCTATTAAGAATGAAACATGCACATGGTGATGGGAGGAGTTGAAATCCAAGCACAAGTAGAACTTTTTTTCGAAAAAATTTATATATTTATTTGAAAGGCAGAGTTACAGAGAGGAAGAGACAGAAAGAGAGAGAGACCTTCAATCTCATGGTTCACTCCCCAGATGGCTGCAACAGCTGGCACTAGGCCAGACTGAAACAAGGAGCCAGGAGCTTCTTCCAGGTCTCCCATGTGGGTCCAGGAGTCCAAGGACTTGGGCCATTCTCTGCTGCTTTTCCGTGGCCATTAGTAGGCAGCTAGATTGGAAGTGGAGCAGCTGGGACATGAACCTGCGCCCATATGGGATGCCAGTGTCAAAGCAGAGGCTTCACCCACTATGCCACAGCGCCAGCCCCAGATAGAATTGTTTAGTAGCAGTGTATAGATCCTGGGTTGAGCATGTGGAAATAGGGACTGTACTTGCCTCTAGGAAGATCCTAAAAGGAAAAATCCACCTGAAGCAGTCAAACTGGAGCCAGAGAGGGCTGCCCAGGACCCAGGTCCTTGCTGTCCCCTCAAGAAGGAATTCAGGAGCATCGGAGAACAGCAAATGATGAGTGGCAAGCACCTTGTTGAGAAAGCAAAGATACACACTGCACAGACCCAGTGGGGCCTACTCGGTGGGACGTGGCCCCATCTCTGAACTGTGCTTAACACTGTGTAGCTGGGAAAAGGGAGGCACATTCCAATAAGGGGGAGGAATATTCATGGTTTTTCTGGGAAATGAATGAATATTCCTGGAATCTAGCTACTGCCTCTATTCAGTCTTTACATGGTCTGATGTTTCCTATCATGGTGGCTGGTAGGTGTGCCCTTTAGAATGGGAACATATTAACAACGTGTGTATATAATGAGCTATGGGTCATCTCAGGTCAGCCTAAACCCTAAACCCATTTGAGCCTGATCCAGGCAGGGGTCTGTTTACCTTCAGAGTGAGTGACTTCAAGTGGTTCTACTGCTTCTGCTATCTCCCTGTCTCAAAACAGGGGTGACAGCTGGTTGCAAAGTAGAGGCAAGACAGAATCGCCACTAGAGGGGCCCAGAGCCAGGGAGATGGGACCTGTAGTCCCTGATGGGGACTGTTGATGGCCCCAGCTTCACTGACAGGAGCGTAGTGTCTCAGGCCTGTGGACGCACCACAAGTCTGATTGTATTCCTCTAAGGTTTCAGCTTCCTGGTAGGACCCTTTCCCAGTAGATCAAGGAGGATCCTGAGAGATCCTATCCACCAAACCAGGCAGGAGAGAGGGAGGATTTTGTAGAGCAGCAACAGGGCAGGCGTCCAGCACACAGCGGTTCGCCTGCAGCCCTTGTCGGCATGCCTGGATTCAGCAGCAGGAATGGTTTGTCCCTGAGAAGCTTCTACATACAGGTGCTTTGGCTGTGTGAGGGTGGGGTGTGGGGCCTGCAGCATTGAGGCACACTTGAGCTAGGGCAGCAGGTCAAGAGCCGCCAAGATGGAACATCCCAAGCCGCTTGTCCTTTTCCCCAGCTCTCGCTCAGAGGTTCGCCTGGGCCGCTCTGAGAGCCTCAAGGGCCGGGAAGAGATGAAGCGGTCTCGAAAAGCCGAGAACGTGCCCCGCTCTCGCAGCGACGTCGACATGGATGCTGCTGCGGAGGCTACTCGCCTCCACCAGTCAGCTTCGTCCTCCGCCTCCAGCCTCTCCACCAGGTCAGCAGAGCTGGCGTGGCTCCACCCCATGATGCCCCGGGGCAGAGGCTGGGATCGAGGGTTGCTGAGAGTCTGCGTTCCCTCCACAGGTCTCTTGAGAACCCAACCCCTCCCTTCACCCCCAAAATGGGCCGCAGGTGAGTGATGGGACAGGGTGCCTCTGGTGGCTCTCTGCATCGTATCGTGTCTGGCTGCACTTCCCTCCTGAGCAGCTGGCTGGGTGTGCGGCTCTGCCTCGTGGCCTGCTGGCTTTCAGTGGGCGGAGGAGGAAGGGGTCGGGCTGCGTGTTGAGTTCTTCCCCTACTGAATCTAAGCTACTGGTTTTCCTTCAGAAGCATTGAGTCTCCCAGCTTGGGGTTCTGCACCGATGCCCTCCTTCCCCACCTCCTAGAAGATGATCTGGGCCAGCTCTCTGATCTGGAGCCAGAGCCAGACGCTCAGAACTGGCAGCACACGGTGGGCAAGGACGTGGTGGCTGGGCTGGCCCAGAGGGAGATTGATCGGCAGGAAGTCATCAACGGTGAGAACGCACTCCACTCGCACCTGTGTGGGAACAGCTCTGGGGCTTCTCCGACACAGAGGGTGGGAACCAGGTAAATAGGGCAGCACCCGGTCCATGGGGCCTGTTGCTGTAAGTCCACTTGAGTTATGGCCTTTGCTGTAATCAGAAACCAGCGCTCCAGGTCTCCCAAAAGGAGAGTGGTGTGGGGACCAGGGCAGTGACTAGAGGTACTCACGTTTGCACCTCCTTGTCACAACCACCACTTAGAGTTGTTTGTGACCGAGGCTTCCCACCTGCGCACACTGCGAGTTCTGGACCTCATCTTCTACCAACGGATGAAGAAGGAGAACCTCCTGCCGCGGGATGAGCTGGCCCGGCTCTTCCCTAACCTGCCTGAACTCATAGAGATTCACAGTAAGGAGCCTGTGCCCTCCCAGCTCCTCCCCTGCGTATCTTCAGCTTTCTGTCCTGTTTGATCCACCTGCCAAGGCCTCCCTGGCAGATAACCCTCCCCGTCCTCTTGGGTGAGAGAAAGTTTGGTGGGCAACCTGAAACCACTGCAGTTACCCCAAAATCCAATGGTTTCCACACCCTTCCCATGGCACTGCTGTCAAAGATCCTTTTGTCGTCATCACAACAGAGCCTGGCAGTGCAGCTCCACTCTCCTGACATTTCTGTTCCTTCTCTCCTCGCCCCAGATTGCTTGTGTGAGGCCATGAAGAGGCTCCGGGAGGAGGGTCCCATCATCAGAGGCATTGGTGACCTCATGCTGTCTCGGGTATGGCCCCAGCCTTTTCTACTTGGCCAGAGGAGACTGGAGGAGGCACAGTTCCATTACAAGGCTAGGGAATTTGGCCAAGGAAGGGGTGGGAAGGGACCGGTCCCAGGCAGGGGTGTGATGCTTGGGCTCGTGTCCATTCTACCTCCTCAGTTCGATGGAGCCGCCCGGGAGGAGCTCCAGCAGGTGGCTGCACAGTTCTGTTCCTATCAGTCCATAGCCCTGGAGCTGATCAAGACCAAGCAGCGCAAGGAGAGCCGGTTCCAGCTCTTCATGCAGGTGTGTCCTTGGCCTCACCTAAGCCTTTCCTCATCCCCGTCAAGCTCACGAAGGATCTCCTGAACTTCTCTCCTCTGGCCACCAGCCTCTTCCTTACACACGCAGGATTACCCAGCAGTGCACTCTCCCACATCCACCTCCTCCACTCCAGCTCTCCCAAGGCATTGACACCCTCGAGAGCTGGAGATGTTCACAGGAAGGAGTGCTGGGTTAGCCTTCAGAAGGCCTGGCTCACCTCCCAGTGCCTGTGTGCGCTTAGATGAGTCTCAGCATCCTTGTCTGCAGGATGGGAATGATACCTGCCCTCTGTTCTGGCCATAATCCCCGCCTTGGGTGTTGTCGCTCTGCTCACCAGCCCTCCCCTGAGTATTTAAGGAAGAAGTGCCTTCACTGTTGGCTAAGGGACCTGACTCGGGTTAGGGCCTATCTGACGTTTTCACATCCACCTTGGCCCTGAGCCCTGAAGCCAGCTCCCAGCTGCAGGTTAACACCTTCCTTGGTCTGTCCCGCCGTCCATCTAGGAGGCTGAGAGCCACCCTCAGTGCCGAAGGCTGCAGCTTCGAGACCTCATCATCTCGGAGATGCAGCGGCTCACCAAGTACCCCTTGCTGCTGGAGAGCGTCATCAAGCACACAGAGGGTAGGGGCTGGGGGGCTCGCGCGGAGGGGCTCCTCCAGGCTCTGTTCTGTGGCCTTAGCAAGTCGTGCCCTCTGTGGCCTTCAGTGTCTTCGTCCTTACCTGGTTGTTGTGCACCACAAAGGGAAAACGGTTGTTCTTGTGTTTGGAACGATGCAGGGTGCTGAGCTGGAGGAGTGGGAGCCACTGCTAGCCGTGTGAGAGCCCCGTGCACGTGAGGAGAGCACAGCATGGCTCCCGGGCTCCTCCGTTCCTCAGGGCCGTCACGGTCGTACGGCACGGGCCGTGGCAGGATTTTAGCCTCTGTTCAGTGCTCAGAAGACACAGCCATGGGTGGGACGGTAGAGGAGTAGGGAAGCAGGCTGGATGAGGGGGTCGAACCTAGGCTGTGCCCGTCCTCAAGAGCCTGAACATCTGCCCTCAGATTTGGATTCAGGTTGGAGAGGTGTTAGGAAGCTCCACCTGTTTTGCACAGGCTGTCCTAGAGGCATTGCAACACTTGCCCCATCCCCACCCCAGCCCCCCAGCTGTAAAGCTGGTTGTGCCTGGGGAGGAATTTTCAGGAATTCCCAAGGGTGCTCAGCAGACATTAACCTGCAGCTTTCCTCAGCTGGGCAAGGGTGGCTCTCCTATACCTTGGGTACAGCCGGTCACCATGGGCCTGGGGCAGGCAGGTAGTATCTGGCCCTGACATAGCCTTCTCAGGTAGGGACTTCTAGTTGCTACCTCTGCTCATTTGTAGGCGGCACCTCTGAGCATGAGAAGCTGTGCCGGGCCCGGGACCAGTGCCGGGAGATTCTCAAGTATGTGAATGAAGCAGTCAAGCAGACGGAGAACCGACACCGTTTAGAGGGCTACCAGAAACGCCTGGATGCCAGCGCCCTGGAGAGGGCCAGCAACCCCCTGGCAGCAGAGTTCAAGGTGGGCAGACTGCAGCACGGCCAGCCCTACACACACACACACACACACACACACACACACACTCTCTCTCTCTCTCTCTTCTCCTCTCTTCTCTCTTCTCTCTTCTCTCTTCTCTCTTCTCTCTTCTCTCTCTTACTTCCTGAGCACCCTTGGGAGCAGAGCCCCGGTCAGGCAGGGCCTGGAGAGTCTTCGAAGTGAGAGACATGGACCTTCTATTACAGGGTGGCACCTTGGGGCCTGGAAGACACACACAGCACATTAGCATTGTCAGCTCATCCCCAGAGGGACAGAAGAGACAGCCCCACCAAGTAAAGCTAGGTGTCAGGACTCAGCCTGAAGGGCAGGGGGCAGGGTAGGACTTGAGGCTAAGTTAGAGCTCCTTGGGAGAGAAGAAAACTGAAGGGGTGGGCAGGAAAAGCAGTCTTGGGAAGATCTTAGGAAGCGGGGAGCCCATGGCGGGACCCCAGCCGGAGTCGCAGTGTACTCCCAGTGTAGTGTGTGATGCTGCCTTGCCCCTTGTCCGTGTCCTCACAAGCTCTTCCCCATTCGTCACTGATTCCCAGCGCCTTCGTACTGGCGCAGGTGCAGGCAGTTCTCCACTGCTTGGTGAGCGAGCAAGTGATGTGTCTTCTCAACAGAGCCTGGACCTTACAACCAGGAAGATGATCCACGAGGGCCCCCTGACCTGGAGGATCAGCAAGGACAAGACCTTGGGTATGTGCCCAGGGCTGGGCATGGGAAGGGGTCTGTGGGGGATGGGGTCCCCCAGGTTCTCCTTTCTGTGTTCTGTGAGTCCTGGGCCCTGATGCTGTAAAGGGGATATAAGGCGACCAGAGAGAAAGGAGTTGGGTCCCTAGTCCCCCAGGGCCTAGCCTCTGGGGACAGGCATCAGAGACCCTCTAGACCCTGTGGTCCCCATTGTGCTGGTGAGGGCTGAGTGGACACCAGGGCCTACCTCACCACCACCCCCAGACCTGCACGTGCTGCTGCTGGAGGACCTCCTGGTGCTGCTGCAGAAACAGGACGAGAAGCTGCTGCTCAAGTGCCACAGCAAGACTGCCGCGGGCTCCGCAGACAGCAAGCAGACTTTCAGCCCCGTGCTCAAGCTCAACGCCGTGCTCATCCGCTCCGTGGCCACAGGTACCTGGGAGGAGGCAGGCCAGGACCACTGTCACTTGTGTCCAGTGGACCTGGACGATGGGGGCCGACCTGGGGCCTTACAGGACACACCTGTCCACCTGGGTGCCTTTCCCCCTATCCTGAACCAGTCTAAGCAGGAGGATGTGGTCTGAGATCTGGCAGGGTGAGGGGACGGAGGGACCAAGATGAAGACAGATGACCTGGAGCAGGGGAGGTGGGTTGTCGTCAGCCCTCAAGGACAGTGCTGGCTTGGATGGGAGGTGGACACCTGCGATGGCTCAGGGTGTTGCAGTGAGATTAGGCAAGATTAGTAGGACAAGCCGTCCTGCTCCAAGAGTGTCCGTGGCAGAGCTTGGGTACAGAAGGCTGCAGCACCCAGTCAAGGCCAAGTGTGGTAGAGAGAGGTGCTTCAGGGAAGTGGGGCATGGCTGAGAAGGGGCCCTGGTGCAGGCACCTCAGAGGAGCCGCCTACACCTAGGTTCCACCGCCTTATCCAGCCTGCCCCCCTGGAGCAGGAGTCAGGCAGCTAGATGGTGGGCGCTCCCTTTCTTCATCTTAGGGCGTGATGCCCACCTCCTCAGGAGGGGATCAGAAAGGGTGATGGCTGGGAAAAGGTTTCATAAACCCTGGCATACACATGAGCCATCACTGTTATTAAGGCAGCAGTGATGAGGTGGCCGTGACAGGCGACAGTAGTGGTCCTGGTTGCAGTGGGTTCCCAGTGGTTCTGATGACTCAGGCCTGTCTCGTGCGGCATTCACCTGTGTTGAGGGTCAGGCCTTCGAATCCACACTCTGTCGCCCTGGCCCAGACTGCAGGCACACGCGCCACTCCCAATTCAGACGTCCTGCCTTCCTTTCCTCACACAGATAAACGGGCCTTCTTCATCATCTGCACCTCCGAACTGGGCCCGCCCCAAATCTATGAGCTGGTTGCATTGACATCATCAGACAAGAACACGTGAGAATTGAGGGGTCCCGCGTAACTGCTGTTCCCTTGGGACCAGGGTGGTGTGTATGAGAATGATGTGTAGTGAGACCAGGGCTGGGCCCCACAATAGTCCCTACCAGTGAGCCAGGAAGGGAAGTGGGAGGTGGGACAGGCAGAGAGAAGCCATGAGGGGCTCGCCAGCCCGACCCTCCGAGCAGGCCTAGTACTGGGAGAGTGAGCTCCCAGAAGGCTGGCAGCCACCACGACTGCTTTCCTTTCTGGCCTCCTTCCTTTCCCATCAAGGCTGTAAAATCCACACATCCTTCTCAGACCTTTGTCTCCAGGCTGCTGCTCCCACCCCCCAGCCCCCATGTCCCCTGACAGCAGCCACCACAGGTGACGGGTGAAGGAAGGCAGGTTGAGTCAACAGTTTCTCACCCTCAGGGTTTTGGTCTATGGAATGTGGATAATGCTACCTCTTAGGGAATTATTTGGAGAGAGAAGACGTATAGAGGGCTTAGTACAGGCCCTAACAGAAGGCTGGTTCCCAGTCACTGGTCACTGCAAGCCATGTCACCCCAAGGGAGAAGCTAGTGAGCCCGGGAGGGGAGGTGGGAGTGTGCAGCGGGGTCTCGGGGCAGGGTGGAGAAGCCTTGAAGCTCTGGAGCAGCAGGCCTGCAGCAAAAGAGCTCTGTGCCTACTCGTTCTCACCACCAGTCCTCTCTGTTCCTGCCGCGCAACAGGTGGATGGAGCTCTTAGAAGAGGCCGTGCAGAATGCCACCAGGCACCCCGGGGCTGCCCCAACACCCATCCATGCCCCAGCCCCAGGCCCCCAGGAGCAAGCCCACCAGGGCCCCACACCCAGCAGGTGCAGTACCTACCCCTCCAGCCCGTGTGTGTGGCCCACACTCCAAGCCGCGTATCTCCTGCTGCTTCTAAGCCTTTCACCGCCGGGGGTAGACAGCCTCAGTGGGAAATGCTAGTGGGGCAGTGGACAGCTCCAAGATCCAACAGATGGAATGGAGGCCCAGGCCCCTTTCACTGTCTTCTGTCCCTCTCTGCTCTCTCCCCACAGCCTCCCACTTGGCTGTCAGAGACTGTCCTGGCTGGGGGTGGGGGTGAGACAGGGGACTAAAGAAGCTGAGTCAAGGCCCGTCTTCGCCAGGTTGCCAGCCAGACCAGGCAGGGGATGAGGCCTGGCACCTCCCTTCCTGGACCCTACTCCTTCATTGTCCCTTTTGTTGGGCAACCCAGGATGGAGTTTTACGACATTGTCTCACCTTTGGTTGGTTTGCCCCTCAGGTTAGACCTGGATGACTCTGAAGTGTTCCATAGTGAACCAGAAGCAGAGGAGCCACTGGAAGGTAAATCCCCGGGCTGTGTGGGAGCTGTGGGCACTGGCGGATCAGTGTAGAGGGGCGATGGAGGAGTCCATCATGTCTGGGGAAGACACTGGTATAGGGAAGAGAGAGCTTGGCGGCCCAACAGGCTTCAGAAAGTGAGTGTGCCCTCGCTCCCTCCCCTGGCCCTGCCTGTCTGGATGACAGGATTAGCAGTGGAGGAAAAGAACAGCGAGCCAGCCAAGGTTGGGGCTGCTGGCAGAAGGGGGGAGGAGGATGCAGAGACTCTGAGAACAGGAACGTCTTGAGGAGGGGAGCCGGGAGCTCAGGTTTAAGGCATAGTTACTGGGGTCAGGTAGAAGGGTGGTCCTCAGACAGAATTCTCATTGAGAACTTTTATGTGAAGTAACTCAGGGTCATGGGCCCCTGGCAGAGGTCTCTGTTCTGGTTGCCTCCTGTTTTTCCTCCTGGCTCCACACCTCCTTCCAGGCTTTGCTCCAGTGTCCCCTTTGCGGCGCTGCCTTCTCTGACCACCCCAGCCCCACCAGTCCCTGTCCCCTGCTCCATTTCCCATAGCCTTACCACCTTCTCACAAGTAACACAGTTTACTCATTTTTTATTTCTCTGCGTCCCTCCACTCGAGTTTAAGCCCCCCAAGGATAGAGGTCTTCATTTTGTTTAATGATGTATACAAAGGTCCTGGGCCAGTGCCTGGCCACAGGATGCCCAGTAAGCATTTGCAGAATGAATCAGAAGCCAGGCTCCTCCCTCCCATATGTGCCCTCTCCCTTCCTTGCCTGATACTCTTTTCTCATCCCCAGCAGGCCCTGGGCCCCCGCAGAGAGGCCAGGGGATGCAGCCAGTGCTGCTGGGGGATCCAGAGCAGAGGGGCCACGGAGAGGAGGAGCTGGGTGCCCTGCCCGACCCTCCTGCACCCCTGGGTGGAGAGAACAGCACCATCAGGACGAGGGACCCCTTCCACCTGGCCCTCCCAGGCCCTCTGTTCATGGAAGGACTCGCTGATTCAGCCCTGGAAGACGGTGAGTGCCTCAAGGAGCCACCATCAGCCCCTGGTCCCCAGTAGCTTGGCCAGGGTGAACTGGCAGACGCCATCACCCTCCACCTGCCGAAGGCGCTCCCTGCTGGTGCTTGAGGACACCATCGAGGCGGCCAGAGCCCTCCAGCCCTCCCCTGGGAGGAGGCAGGTTGACCACTTGGAGTGGGGGCAGCTGCAGTGCCTCACCCGTGCCGTGCTCTGCCCCTGCTGACGTGGCGAGCAGACCTGTGCAGGAGAAGCCAGCCCCCTCTTCCCGCTCCCCCTTGCAGTGGAGAACCTGCGGCACCTGATCCTGTGGAGCCTGCTGCCAGGTCACACCCCAGAGACACAGACTGCCAGGGAGCCCGAGGATGACCTGACACCCACGCCTTCTGTCATCAGCATCACCTCTCACCCCTGGGACCCAGGCTCCCCAGGGAGAGCTCCTGCTGCAGGTGAAGGGGACAGCACCCAGCTCCCGGGGCCAGAGCGGGGCCAGCCAGAGCAGGACACGGCGCTCTCTTCTCTGGAGCACCTGCCCCCACGGACCAGAAATTCTGGGATCTGGGAGTCTCCCGAGCTGGACAGGAATCCAGCTGAAGAGGCTTCGAGAACAGAAGGCACAGGAAATTACAAAGTTGTGAGAAAAGGTAAAGTGGGCGTGTCCCCTGGGGAGACAGAGGCCTGGTTTTACAAGAGTTGAGGTGGGTCTTCCCTCCCCATCTTGAGCTGGGGACCGTGTGAGCAGAGCTCACCCCCAGTGTGGGAGGAGGTGCAGATGTGTGAGGGCCCTGCGGTCAGTCAAGGTTCAGCGCCCAAGGCCGGCCACACCTAATTCTAAGGTACTCGCATGGAACATGTATTAAAACATACGGGTATCTGGGTGCCAAAAGATGGTGGAGTCCACACATGGTTTTTTCATAATATGCATTTTACATGAACTTTTTGATAAGCCCCCATATGTAGGTGGATTGCAAGCTTTTTGTACCAAAATAAACTTATCTTGTAATTTCATTTTCCAAGAGCTTTTTTCCCCTCATATCTGTGACCTTAGACAAAGCTTTGAATTCTCTCTGACCTTTGTTCTCTGATAAATGAGGACATTTCCTGTGCCAGTGAGGGCTCTGGTTGATTTCCTGGGACCTTCCAGGCCTGAGAACAGGATGTGGCTCTGCTCAGGCGCTCAACCCCGAAAGACAGTGCAGCCGCGTGCAGCCGGTCACTCCAGATAGCAGCCCTGAGGACCCAGATGGCTGCTGGGACTGGAGGGGCTATAGGACAAGGAGACAGAGGGGTGAGGCCGAGTGGACACACACCAGGGTAGGGGACTGTCATGGACAGCCGGGAGACCGCTGTAATGGAGGCGCCCTCCAGGAGGCTGAGGACAGGCTCATGTGGCCAGAGCAGCGAGCCCAGGGCAGCCAGGCTCGGGAAAGGCAAGGTGGCGACAAGGAAAGGCTGCCAGAGGCACGTGGCAGGGCAGAGGAACAAAGCCTGGGCCACTGCTCAGGGCTGGATGGGGTCCACGTTAGCGGCTCTGAGTCTCCTCTCCTCCCCTAGTGCTCTGCTCCACCTCCCATTCCAGTAGTGTTCTCCCTGCACCTGCCCGAGGTCTGCCCTCTCCGCTGGGTTTCTGGGACCTGACCTTCCTTCTCTCTGTTCTGGTGAACTGGTGCAGAGCTCTCTGAGCTCCCTGGGAGGTGACCGCGTGTGGCCTTGTGTTCACTTTGTTCTTCCCTTGTTCCTCCTCCCCTCCCCACCCCCACCCCCTCCTCTCTCCTTTCCCCCTCCCTTCCCTCTCTCGCCCTTCCCTTTCCCTATCTTTCGGACTCTGCTCTCCCTGGTGGTGGTGGTGGTGTCGGTGCAGCCGAGGTGGCAGGCGGCAAGGGTGTCCCTGCGCTACCAGAGAGTGGCCAGTCAGAGCCTGAGCCACCTGAAGCAGAAGGCGGAACAAAGGCTGCGGGTAATACACCTCTCCTGGGAGCCCAAGCCAGGCCAGGGCTGGAGCAGGGCGCTGTGGGGGCAGACCTGCGGTCACACACACCCCTCCACACTCCATGGGCCGCCGGGGATGGGTGAGGAGTAGGATGTGGGCCTGAGGACAGGGCACTAGACCCTGTGACATCAGGTCTTCACTCGTCAGGAGCTGTACAGGTCCCTTGTCCAGGCAGTAAGTCAAGCCACCTGTGTTGAATTGTGAGGTGAGGTGGGGCAAAAAGCGTGGCCTATGCCCAGGGCCCCAAGTCCTTTGCCTGACGCTCGGAGCTCCCACCCCCAACTCAACCACCACGCATGTCACTGTAGAGTAGGCTTCTGTGGCCTCCCGGGTTCCTTGGTGCTCACTGCCCTGTCAGGACCCTCCACGTCCTTCCCCAGCTGTCTCTGACCCCCCTCTGACGGGTCATGGTATGTCCATAGGAGGGGGACACAGGTGGCAGTTGGGGCAGGAGGTAGCGCTGAAGTTCATCAGCAGAGCTTGAGGTGAGGCAGGTGAGAGGCTGCTGCCTGCTTCTCTTCCGGAGGCTGAAGCAGCCCAGCGTCCCCACCCTTCCCTCCAGCCCCGTGTCCCTGCGTGAAGCACTGCGCCTGCCACTTCTCCCTTCACTTCCACCAGTCAGTATCCCGCCCTGCATTCGCAAAGTGGCCATCCAAGGAGGCTCTCTGGAGGAGGAGGGCTTTTAGGTGATATGGGCAGCACAAAGCCAGCATCTCCACGTTCAACTGGGGAGGGCTTCCCTGGCCCTGTTCTGCCCATCAGTTGAGGGGGTGGGAAGATGGACTTGGACAGCTGTGTCCACGCCTGCTAACCACTTCCTCTTGCCGTGGGCACAGGGAACTGTTTTTACGTCAGCATGCCAGCAGGACCCCTGGACTCAAGCACCGACCTTCCAGAGGCACCTGCAAGCCCCTGCCAGCCTGATGGCCTCCCTGCCTGGCAGACAGAGCCTCGGCCCCAGCTGCAGGGAGGCAGTGAGGACCCGAGACGCCCCAGCTGCTCCGCCCCCAGCCTGGCCCTCAGGGACGTGGGCATGATCTTCCAGACCATCGAGCAGCTCACCCTCAAGCTCAACAGGCTCAAGGTGAGGGACACAGGGCTCAGCTCCCTGGAGGCCTTCCGTCTGGGGCCCTTCCCCAGGAGGGAGGGCTGTGTCTGTGGGCGCGCTGCATCCCCCAGCCTGCTCGGCCACCCTGAAACCATAGCCCTGTCTCAACATGCGTCGGTCAGAGGCTGTGACCCCCTCCCCTAAGGGCCTTGTGACAAGAACACCGGGCACACACCTCCCTATGACTCTTGCAGGACATGGAGCTGGCCCACAGGGAGCTGCTCAAGTCGCTTGGGGGAGAGTCATCAGGGGGCACCACGCCGGTGGGCAGTTTCCACACAGAGCCGGCCAGATGGACAGACAGCTCCCTCTCGCCTCCAGCCAAGGAGCCCCTGGACCCGGACTCCGGGAACAGCCGTGAGCTAGGGCCCTGCCCTGAGGATGGTGAGCACAGCAGGTACCCCTTGTCCCTCCCAGGGGAAAGGGCTGCCCACTCAGGACGTGTCACCATGCGGTGGCTCTCGCTCCCCTCGAGTGGGGCTAACAGCTCTTTATAGAGCCGCACCTCAGCAGTGCCCTGAGAAGTGGGAGCTGAGACTTGACGCCGTCTTGTCCTTGTGCTACAGAGCTCACGAGCCCCGGGGCACCTGCGGGCACTTCTGAGCCCTGCTCTCATGAAGTGGTTCCGAGCCAGCGTGTGCAGGCCAGAGCAGTTCTGGGACCTGGCGCAGGAGGGCAGAGCACAGCCCTGCCTGACCTGGGGGCTCTGGGCACGGACAAAGCACAGGCCCCACAAAAGCAGGCTTCCTGGGAGACAGCCAGGTGCCACCGAAGGAGCTGCTCTCACGAGCTTGAAAGGACCTTGTGGACAGAACACACAGGGAGGGTCCCCTCGGGCCCCGGCGGGGTTCCTCACCGTGTCATCCTCCCGCAGGCCCTGACACAGCCCTGGAATACGGTGCAGCAGATGCCGCCACGTCACCAGGACTGTAACCCAGACCGCCAAACCCTCCGCGAACCCATTCCTTCAGGGACTGGCCTGAGGCAGGGGCAGAGGGTGGAGGGGGCAGCTGGGGAGACTGGGATCCAGCCGAGGCCGGGGGAGACCCGCATGTCGCTTGGTCGCTCAGATCTGAGTCAAGTTTCAGTGTCTTTGCCCCCCCTTCAGCCAGCCCTCCAAGGTCTCGGCTCTCCTAAGTAAGCATGCCGACTGCACCAGAAAGGCCGCCCAGCGCTCTGCCCCTCCCGCCACACACACGCACAGGTGTGCGCCTGTGCGGGAGAGGAGGAGGCTGCTGTGTAAATGCACTTTCTTCCTCCCCCTCTCCACAGGCCCCCGGGTGGAGGTGGGTGCTGCCCTCCCCTTTGTCACTTTGGTTCCTATAAATATGTATGTATTGTATGTGCATCTTTGCTATTGTACATAACTTTGACCTTTTTTGTTTCTGTTCCTGGAGTGCTGAGGCAGTTACAAAAGGGATAGCCGAGGGAAGAGGGGATTCACGTGTGTCTCCTGGTCAGCAGCCCAGCTCTGGGGTCGGGACCTGCGGTGGAGTGGGTCACTGCCCCTGGCCCCGCGGGTGGGAGGTCGCCCGGCATCCAGCTCCACCTGGCGCCAGAGCCCACCTCCACAGACTGGTGCTGAGCCCCTCCCCCTAGGACTTCTCGTCCTCACCAGACGGGGCCGTGGGGACTCTCACCCCACCTGTGTCCACCCTTCCCCACCTGGTCCTTACAGAGAACCAGAGTAGCAGGTACGGAGCTGAAAACTGGGCCCCAGGAGGTGGGAGTAGGGGATTTGAATCCTGGAGCCGCTGGGTTCACCCAGGACCATCCCCAGGGGCCACGGCCACCCTGGCCCCATCGCCATGCCTGCTCCACTCCTCTGATGAATATACACACTGTGCTAGGTGTATATATACATATATATATATATAAATATATATAATATATAAAGTATAGATATGGAAATGACTGTTTTGCTGTTAAGATAATGTATACTCTTTTATTTTCTTCCTTTCATGGTTAAGATTTTTTTTTTAAAGAAAAGTTAAATATTCTTCCATTGTGGTGATGTGTGTGTGATTCCTGGGACTGCTAGGGTAGGGTGCTGTGGCAGTTGCGAAACTGTAAACTGGCTGGGACTGAGCAGAGCCAGGCAGAGGAGCCCTCGCCCCTGGTACCAAACCCGAGGTCTCGCCACGCGGGCGCCCAAGTTTCAGGCATGTGCTGCAGAGCTAATTCCAGCACACACATGGCAGCAGCAGACCCAGGGGCAGGGACCTCGTGAGCTGCTCTCTGTAAAGGCAAACTGAGGAGGGGGTTGTCTCAGGCCTGGCCAGATCCTCGCTGCCATCACGCCTCTGCGCTCCTGCAGGTGCAGCTGCGTCACCACGACCAGAGCCATCCAGATTAAGGGCTGGATTCTTTCAGCACCAAGTACTGGATACTCTTGACTCCTGCAGCTCGCAGTGAGCGAACAGTCTCACTGGGCATCAGAACTGACAGCAGCATCCTTAGTGACAATGTATGGGACTAAGGACAGGGCTGTCCTGTCACCGAAGCCTTAGAGGCCTTGGGCTGGAGAAGCCAAGATGAGCCATCGTCGTCAAGCTTCTTTATGTGCCAGGGTTGGCAGTTCACAGAAATGAGGGCTTTTTCCTGGGGCAGCTCAGCGGCCAGAGCCACCGAGGGCCTGGGAGAGCCCCTGAGCTGCCGAGAGCACGCTGGGCAAGGCAGGCGCGCCCTGGGTGGGCACGGACATTGAACGAGTGGCATGGAGGCTGAGTGGATTGTGCACTCGTTCCTGCCTGCACCTTCACAAGACGCTGCCTGTGGACTGCTCGTGGCCCCCAGGCCTGTGCACGCTGGGCACCGGTGGAGGCAGCACTGAATGGCAAAGATGCAGGGTCACCTGCCCTGCCAGCTCCTCAGGCCCTCGCGCCATCTGGGTGCCTCTGGTTCCACATTGCTGACACGTGCAGGCTGTGTCCTGACGTTTGTGTTTAATGCTTTGCCAGCTCCGCCTGGATGTTGACATGTGCAGCACCCTCTGCAGGGTGGCCTGCCAAGGCGCTGTGCATTTTCTTCAGCTGAGCCCACCCCTCCCTCAAAACCAGTGAGACCCCTGGGCTGGGCAAGACAAGGCAAAGCAGGTGGGGCCTGTGCTCGATTCCTCCACCTCCTCTGTCTACTCGGTCCCATGGCTTGTGCCTATCAGGTTGCAATCCCAGTCCCAAACCTTCCCCTTCAGCCTCTGAGGCCAAAGGCTTAAATGCAAACACTGGCAAAGCACACATCCTCTAGGAAACACCGTGCAGAGGGTAAGGAGCAATACGCTGGGGCAGTGTGGTGGTGTGGCTGACTAAGCCACCACCCAGGATGCCTGCATCCCAGGGCGCTAGATCAAGTCCCGACTACTCTGCTTCCAAGCCAGCGCCCTGCTAATGCACGTGGGAAAGCTGCAGATTGTACTTGGGCCCCTGTCACCCATGTGGTAGACCCTGGTGGAGTTCTAGGCTCCTGGCTTTGGCCTGGCTTGGAGAATGAAGCAGTGGGTGGAAGATCTCCTGTCACTCCACCCTTCAAACAACTAAATAGATTTTTAAATGAATGAAAAAGCAGTGCCCCTGGCCAGCTGTTGCCTCGCAGAAACCATAAAGTGCATCGGACCGTCGCTCTCCTGCCGCTGCTGGCCCTGTAAGGTGAACAGACTGAGGCCAAATGGTCCAGGTAGTTCCGGAGCAACGTTTTTCAGACAACCGCAAAGGAGAAGTACAGCAATAGGCTGCGTAAGTTCTCCTGCTGGGCTCTCCCCCAGGGAGCTCAGCCCACACACGGAGAAGTGCTTGGGGCTCAGTTTCAGGCGAGAAGGGGCGGGGCTAGGAGGGGAAAGCTGCGGCCTCCTCCTCCCTGAGCTTGGCCTTGATGGGGTCCCTTGGCAGCATCAGCTCCTGGATCATGGTATACGTGGGGCACTGCGGGGCAAAGCAGTTCTTCTGAAAGGTAAAGGAAGCCTGACAGTTGGCAAGGAGGAGGGAGACTGGGCCTGTGGGAAGCAGCAACCCCGGGGCAGGCTGTCAGGGGCCCTGCAGGCATGGCCAAAGGGCAGACTGGTTAAGCAATGGGAAACTCCACAACTCTGGCAAGGAGAGACAAGCCGCCCTCAGCGACAGGCGCGTGCCCCGGACTCACCGCTAGGGACAGCCACAGCAGCCCCATCGGGCCCTTGGAGGAGCTCTTGGGCTTGGAGATCTGTACCTGGTACTGCACTGCAGCCAGGAAGCCCTCCAGCCCCACTTCGGTGATGCGGTTTCCTGGTGGGAGGCAGAGACGGGGCGGCCTCTCGCGCCAGCAGGCCCCCTCACGCCCAGCACCCTCCCCGCCACCCTCAGCAGCCGCCTCCTTGTGTAACTTCCCTTCTCCCACCTGTCTCTGCCCTCAGCACTCAACCTGCCGTTGGCTCCCTCCCTGCAGGTCCCGTGCGGGCAAGCCTCTTTCTGGCAATAGGATGCCCAGCCAGGGGAGACTCAGGCACACTCCGTGCACGGAGTGGGGGGTGGCACCCGTGTGGCCAGGTGGAGCCCAGGTGGCAGGAGTGTCCAGGGGTTGGCGAACATACGGAGGAGGTTGAGGTGCAGGAGGACCCTGTTCCCAGGCATGAAAACTTTGCCATCTCGGTGCTCCACGGGCTCCAGCAGAGGGTTGACCATCTCAGTAGCTTCGGCAACCAGCTGCTACAGCAGAATCACGACAGCGGGGGGTGAACTGGTGGCCGGCCGGGCCGTTCCTTTTTCCCTTCACTATACGTGATTTGTATGCCAGCTTTGTGTGGCTGCTGGAGACACAGGGACATAAGCCCGTACCCTCAAGGAGTGCCTGTTGGCAGGGAGATTGCGGGGCGGGGGGAGATCAGGGTGAAAAAGCCACGCGGGCCAGCACAGCACCAGACAGAGGCAGGTTCACAGTACCCTGCGAGCACAGAGGAACAAAACAGCCCGGTCTGGGAGCCAGGAGCAGTCTCCCGGAGGCAGTTCCTGTGAGCCGTTTGGGGCTGGTGTACTGAGGCAGTGGGTTAAGCCACCACTTGTGACACTGGCATCCCCTATCAGAGTGCTGGTTCAAGTCCTGGCTGCTCTGCTTCTGGCCCAGCTCCCTGCTCATGAGCCTGAGAAAGTAGCAGAGGATGGCCCAAGTACATGGTCTCTGCACCCACTTGGGAGACTTGGATGGAGTTCCTGGCTTCTGGCTTCAGCCTGGCCCAACCCCAGCTACTCTGGCCATTTAGGGAGTAAACCAGCAGATAAAAGATAGTCTCTCTCTCTCTCTTTTCACTCTCCCTTTCAAATAAATCTTTCTATAGTGGGTAAAGCCACCACCTGCAATACCAGCAGCCCATATGGGCACTGGCTCAAGTCTTGGCAGCTCCACTTCTAGTCCAGCTCCCTGCTAATGGCCTGGGAACAGCAGCAGAGGGTGGCTCAAGTGCTTGGGGCTCTGTCACCCACATGGGAGACTTGGATGAAGCTCCTGGCTCTTGGTTTTGGCCTGGCCCAGTCCCAGCCATTATGGCCATCTGGGAAATGAACCAGCAGATGGAAGATTCTCTCTCTCTCACTCTCTCTCTAATACAAAAATCAATTTTCTAAGAAATGGGAAGGTTTCTGGCCACCATCAGATGAAGATGAGGGGCGTGGGGTTCTCCACAAAGTGAGTTGCAGGTGCAAAGGCCCTGCAGACGTGCAACAAGTGCACTTGGGTTCCCTCCTGCCTTGCATAATGAGGAGTGAACGGGCACAGATGACACTGCAGGCCGGGTGAAAAGAATCATGATAGCCCAGGAGCACGGCAGCCCCATCAAGACAGGGCACAGGCCGGCGCCGCGGCTCACTAGGCTAATCCTCCGCCTAGCGGCGCCGGCACACCGGGTTCTAGTCCCGGTCAGGGCGCCGGATTCTGTCCCGGTTGCCCCTCTTCCAGTCCAGCTCTCTGCTGTGGCCCGGGAGTGCAGTGGAGGATGGCCCAGGTGCTTGGGCCCTGCACCCTCATGGGAGACCGGGAGAAGCACCTGGCTCCTGGCTTCGGATCAGCGCGGTGCACCAGCCGCAGCATACCGGCCGCAGCGGCCATTGGAGGGTGAACCAATGGAAAAGGAAGACCTTTCTGTCTCTCTCACTGTCCACTCTGCCTTTCAAAAAATTTAAAAAAGAAAAAAAAGGCACACATAGAAGTAGAAGCTGAAAGGCAGCCACACCCCCTTCTTCCATCCAAGCTTTTCACACGATCTTGTCTTGGATGCCAGAGACGACTCCGAAAAAGTGAGGGGACTCTTCCATGCCGCCAGGGTATGTGGAGGAAGGGTGGAAAGAAAGACTCCCGGGCGGCTGGGGGAAGGAGGAGGGCAGGGAGCTATGGAGCTGGAGGCCCGGGAAGACTCCCGGAGCAAGGAGCAAGTTGGTCCCAGTTGAGAGGGGGAAGGGAGGCTCCAGGGGCAGAGGAGAGAGTCAGTGAAGGAGCCTGCTGGGGGAGCTGTGGAGCGCACAATGCTTTGTTCCCTGATCCAAGAAGGCGATGCCAGCGGTGATGCAGAACCGAGGGCCGCTGGGGCAGCAGCCTCCATGGAGATGCCCGACACGTGGGCTAGCACTGGACAAGGAAAGGGTGCTGGCACCTGCCCAGGTCCCCGTGGGGAGGAGCACACGGAGCTCCAGGCACCCCAGAGTGGGCCTAGACCAGGCTGGAGGCGGAGTCTCGGGGGAATCTGGCACGGGCATGGAGGGGAGTGACTGCGGGCACCGCACAGGGCTTGGGGACTGCATCGCAGCGGATAGGGGTCAGCAGCACTCCCCCGGGCACGCACCTCGGACTCCAGGAGGATGCTGCGTTTCTCCTTGCTCCCGGTCTTCGTGCCTTTTCCCTTGCTTGACTTCTGATCGGGGATGGTTACCTCTGGGGCAGGCAGAGAAGCCAAATGCACTGAGCAAGCCTCAGACACCGCCCCAGGCTCTCCAGGGAGCAAGTGCTAGGCAAGGCGAGAGGCTGCCCTGCCTGGAGGCTGACAGCCCTGGGCTTGGGTGGAACAGAAGCAGCTGGAGGGGCCCCTGCCAGATGTGTGCGTTCCCTGCCTGAGGACAGCCAGGATGTCCGGGCCAGGTGTGACAAGGAACGAGCTCCGGGTGTGGCCACCGCAAGAGACGCTGCAGGCCACGGCCAGCCTCGGGCTCACTGCCCAGCTCTCCGCTTCCAGTCCACGGGGAAGGTGTGGGCAGAGGGCTGCAGGCACTTACTCCCCTTGCTTGACTTCGAAGCGTCTTCCTTCTTGGGGGTTCCCTGGGTGGGCGACTGCCCAGACCCTGACTTCTCCTCTTTCTTGACCACTTCCTGTGGAGGAGATGAGGACAGAGAGGAAAGCCCTCCCTCCCGGGATGGGGGGGAGGGGGGGGTGATGGGCCGCAGGTGTGGGAAGGAGCCAGGGGTAGGACCGCCCCCCCACCTTCCTCCCTCCACCCAGGCTTGCCCCACCGAGGCCGACTCCCGCCCGTCCAGCGCACCTACACCTACCCCCGGCTTCTCCTTTTTCTTGCCCAGGCCCTTGGGGATTTTCCCTGTCTGCGACTTTTCCGGCCTGTCCACTAGCGCGATGTTGCTGATCCCCGCCATCTGAGATTTCTCTCTTTCGGCTTTGGAGTCCCCGTGACGGGAGGAGGAAGGCTGTGCTCAAACGGGAGGGGGTGGAGGAAGGAGCCAGAGCCTCAGCTTGGGGGACCAGGGGCAGCCCCTACCCGGGTGGCAGCCAGGCTGCTCCACCCTGCTCCCCCTTCCCTGATAAATGCTAACGTAATTGGTATATGACTCCTCTGGGTGGAGGGACTGAGCGGGGATGAGCCCCAGGGGGTGGGGGGTGGCGGTGAGGGGCTCAGATTCATACTGAGGGAGAAAACAGTGGCTAACTTTGAGCGAAGTGCCATAAATTAACTAATCTAAGCCTCTCAACAACCCTACCAGCATGATTATAGCCTTTTTTTTTTTTTTTTTTTTGACAGGCAGAGTGGACAGTAAGAGAGAGAGACAGAGAGAAAGGTCTTCCTTTGCCATTAGTTCACCCTCCAATGGCCGGCGCACCGTGCTGATCCGATGGCAGGAGCCAGGTACTTCTCCTGGTCTCCCATGTGGGTGCAGGACCCAAGGACTTGGGCCATCCTCCACTGCACTCCTGGGCCACAGCAGAGAGCTGGCCTGGAAGAGGAGCAACCGGGACAGAATCCGGCGCCCTGACCGGGACTAGAACCCGGTGTGCCGGCGCCGCAAGGTGGAGGATTAGCCTAGTGAGCCGCAGCGCCGGCCTAGCCATTTTACAGATGGCGAAACTGAGGCACGGGGATGTTAAGTCACACGCTGAAGGTCACAGCTGGTATGAGGGTGAGCCAGAGTTCAAGGTCAGGAAGTGTAAATCTTGGGTCCTTTCTCTTCACCAAGATGCTCCACCGCCCATGCAGGGGTTCCACGATTAGGGCCCACGGAGGCGGGGCCTAGCAAACTATGTGCCAGAGGAGAGGCCGACCCGGGAACCCAGCGCGGCTCCTCACCGATCGCGAGCGCTCCTGCGACCCTTTCTCCAGGAGCAGGCGCCGGCGCTCCACCACCTCCGTGTGTGTCAGCTCGAAGGGGCGCAGGACCTGGGATGAGGCCAGCACCTCGCCATCTGCCGCCCGGGAAGACAGGGTACACCCCGCCCCGCCCCTGGCCCGTCGGCACACGCACCTCTGCCAGCTTCAGGGCGCCCTTGTCCTGGATGCGGTTGTGCGCCAGTGACAGCCAAAGCAGGGAGCGGTTCAGCCGGAGACCCTGTGGAGTGGGCGGAGTGGGCGTGTGAGCAGGCCTCGGGGCGCCCCTGCCTGCAGGGGTCCCTCCCAGTCATGCACGCGCACGTCAGCGATGTAGCCCGCGCCCTCGTCGCCGATGTGGTTGAAGCCCAGGTTGAGCGAGACGAGAGTCCGGTTGCAGCTGTGTAGCGTGGACAGCGCCCGGGCCAGCAGGTGCGCTCCGTGGTCGTCGATCTTGTTGTTCCGCAGAGACAAGTGCGCGATCCTGGGCCAGCGAGAGGGCGGCCAGGGCTCACTGGAAGCACAGGCTACCCCTGCACCTTCGCAGGACCTGGGACACGTGGGGGCGTGGACGAGGCCAGGGCTGGGTGGAGGGGGTATGGGGGAGCAGCCACTGTGGGTGCCTGGGGAGACGCTGGAACGCAGAGGGAATGACCGGGACTACAGAGGGCTTGGAACGGGACAGGCGCAGAGAAGCGGGGTGAAGAGGAGTCTCACGTGCTGTCCAGCCCCATGAGCTTGTGGTAGGACTGCTCCGGCAGCGGGTTCCCCTCCAGAGACACCTTCCTAAGGCGGGGGACCACGGAGGCCAGTGAGCACCCCCCCCGGGGCCAAAAGGAAGCGGGGCTGTGTGGTGGGCAGCTAGGAACCAAAGAATAACCCTCCAGTATAGGGGCTGCATGTGACCGCTCCCCTGACTGGGAGTCCAGATGGGCGGCCATGCGAGAGGGCCAGCGCCCAAAGGTGGTGACCCGAGGTGGCCTCTGGGGCAGCCCTCAGTCACCTCCACCTGCAGGCATCCGTGCCCTCGTGTACTCCCCTCCTCCCAGCCCCCCGAGTGTGAACCGAGCCTAGTGACTCACTGCCTGGAGGCCCAGCCAGCCTACGCCTGGCTCACACAGACACCATGAGACAGCGCTTCCTGTCCGGGCTGCTACCCGTGCAGGTGACTTGTCACCGTCACCCAGCAAGAGATAACCGCTATGCGTCCTCCCAAAAGGCAGCGGCCTCTCCAGCAGTACTGAGGAGACCGAGGGCACGTTCCAAGTCACTGCAAAGGCGGACCCGGCGGTCGGACGTGTCCTGCAAACTCCTCCCAGGACTGTGGTTTCTGCTCAGCCTTCAGGCAGCCTCGCTGGCCACACTAGCCCGCTGACGTTCCCCTCAAACGACTTGCGTTTCCGTAATGAATTCAGAGCGTCGCTTCCTGGCATTCCCTGGCTGCAGTGAAACGTGTGCTTCCTGGGACCCCCCTGGGAGCAGGAACAGGGGGCAGGCGGCCAGCCTGTGTGTGGCACCGAGTGGCGCGTTCTGCGACATAAGGAGGGCACCACGGGGGCCCACGGGGGGCCAGCAGCCAGACCAGCCTTGCTCTTTACACAGCCAACTACATCCGCAACCTCACACCGTGCTGTTCCTTCCCTGCCTCGCCTGTTCCTACTCCTCCTTCAAGGCTCAGTGCTCCACCTCCTCCTCCTCCAGGCAGCCCTCCCAGCTTCCTGCCCTCCCCCCAATGGCGCATTCCTCCTCAGGCCCACACTGCTCTAAGTCCTTCTTCCTCCCTCGCTGGACTAGGATAAGAACTGTCTTACCAGCCCCTAGTGCGGGACCAGGGCCCCCAGGCAGCCAGGAGACAGGGAGAGGGGCTCCAGAGGGGAGAGTCTGATGGAGAGGAGAGGGCATGAGGCCCCACAGGTGGGGCTCTGTGTGCTGTGTGTGCAGACAGGAGCTCCTGACCCAACAGATACCGACTGTGCCCTGCTTCCGCCAGCTCAGGCCCACAGGAGCTGCCACTGGCCACCTGTGTCCCAGCCCACTCCCCTGCACACGATCCCTCCGCCACCCCCCTACTCCCGTTGCGTCCCCCCCCCCCCGCTGACCTGAGCGTGGGCGAGCAGAGAGGCAGCAGGGCTATGAAAGTGGTCAGGGTCCTGTCCGTCATCCCCACCTTCCACAAGCTGGGGCCATGTGGGGAACAGACAGAGCTGGTCACCTGCTACCGCAAACCCCGCATCCCCACCGTGCCCAGGGCCTTCAAGGACCCCCGTGGTCTGGCCCCCAAGCCGCCCGGAGCCTCCCGCGCATGCTCCCCCCACCCCTCACCCCCGGCCCTCACTTGATGGCTTGCAGCTGGCTGAGGGAGGGCAGACATTTGGAGAAGATGCCCAGAATCCGATCCTCCACCTTCCAACCTGCGCGGAGAAGAGGAGGAGGGGAGGAAGGCGCTCGAGGCCGGGGCGAGGGGGCAGGGGGCAGGCAGGCCGGGCCGCGCTCCCCGCTCACCGCGGATGTAGATTTCCTTCACTGCCTTGCTGTCCTCCTGCTCCAGCTCCACCTGGATGGTGGGCCGAAAGAACACGTACTTGCTCTCCAGGCTGGTGAGGCTGCAGGACGCCGACAGCAGCCGCTGGTCGTCTAGGAGACAGAGCCCCCTGCCCACAGGTGCCCGGGCGCCGGGGGGGGGCTGCAGTGGACCAGGCGGGACCGCAAGCCACTCACACCCCCGCACCGCGTCCCCGCCCTGCAGCCCCCCTGAGGGGTGGCGCAGCGGACGGCCAGGCCACTCACCGAGCGTGGCCTTTTCTGACATGGAGGAGGAGGGGACGAAGTTCGGGTGGGGGCGAGGCCGGGTGACGACTTTGGGGAAGTCCGTGTAGCCCGAGCGGGTGCACAGCTCGGCGAAGTCGGTCTCCAGCACACCGGTGCACTGGTACTCCTCTGCGGGGCGGGCGGCCGCGTGAAAAAGGGCCGCGGCGGCCGCCAGGGGGCAGCAGAGACCCCCGCGACGCCGCCGACGCCCGCGCCAACCCGCCTTCCCACGCGCCCCAGCAGAGACCCGAGTCTTCACGACCATTTGAAAGGGTGCCATGCGGTGTGAAACACTCGAGAGGAAGCAGAGGAGGGAAGCGGACGCTCGGGGGAAGGGCCGTGAAGGACGTCCCGTGTGCACCGAGCTGGCTCCCCTGCACCGCGCTGCGGGCCAAGGCCATTTCCACCCCTGCTGTCCATTCCCTGCCTGAGCCTCCGCCCGCCACAGATACCCCCAGCCCACCTTCTCCCGCGCCCCCTCCCTCTGTTGGGACTGCCTGGGCCCGAAGCGAACCCCTCTCTGCTACCAGTGCAAGCCTGCCGCCTCACGCCCTGGTCTTTTCGGCTCCCCACGCGCATCCCAAGGAGAAGCGGTTCTGGCGATGGGAAGGGGAGCCAGTCCTCGCCAAGGGCCAAGCAGCCTGGAGCTCCTCCGCCACACCACCCAGGCCCCCCGAGGCAGGAGCGCCTGGGGCTGAGCAGAGGGAGGCTGCCCCAGGGTGTATGGGATTGGAAAAACCTGTGCCCAGGCCGTGTCGGGGTGCAGGGCACAGAGGGGGGTTTGTGGGGAGAAGGGTGGGTGAGAGACCCCTTCCTCCTCCATCCAGCCTGGGTACCCAGGGTGGTAGCCCAAGCAGATCCTAGGGAGGGAGGCTGGCTCCCCTCTGCCTGCCCAGGCGTCTCCCTCCGCCGGGAGAGCCCGTGCACTCACACCTCCCGTCTCAGGACAGACAGCCTTGCGCAGCCCTAAGAATGGCCTGGCCGGCCTCTTCAGTTTCCCGGGCGCCTCTCCAGAGCCCCGAATCCACGGGAGAATTTGCATTTCTAACTGGCTCACGACCTGACCGCGCAGTTTCAGAACTAGCCGCCATCGGCTGGGATGTCCTCTAAGCCTATACATTTTCCGATAGCGGCCATCACGCCCTAACCCACGTGAGCCCCACCTGTGCCCCTGCCACCGCACACAGCAGCCACTAGAGTCCCTGGACCTCCGCGTACCCCTCCACCCACCCCTCCACCCCAGGGCTCAGGCGCCCCCGCCAGCCCCTTCCCTCCGGCCCTAGGTCCTGAGCCCTCTTCTCTTGTCCACTCACGCTCCCTGCCCCACTCCCCAGGGGGTGGCTCTCATTCTCAGGGCTGGGATACGCCAGAACACCCCCACTTTGCCACTGCAGACGCCTGTCAGCCCTGGGAGGTGCCCCCTTAGCTGCTCCTCCCTCAAGCTCTCCCATCTCCACGAACAGCCCCGCCCAGGGAGCAGTCTTGAACCTGGGGGTCTTTCTTGCTATGCCCCCTCCCTCCCCACCCATCCAGCCCTTCAACAGCCTCTTTCCCACCTCCAAGTACTTCTCCAAGGAACCCAGCCCATCCACCCATTGCCACTCTCACTGCCCTATCCCACCTACCACTGCCCCTGGGTTGTAGAAACACCTGCAGAACTCAAGTGTCTGCCTCCACTCTCCCCTCTTCCACTCCAGTTTCCATACGGCAGCCATGGTGATGTGTGCATGTGCATGTGTGTAATGCCACTGAGTTCGTACCCAGAGGGGATTCTAACTTGTCTTGCCTTGCCTTGCCTTCTGGAAGACACTCTCTCTAGCCGCCGTGACCTTTCACCCTGCACCAGCACCGATGGGCGGATGCCACCAGCCAGGGCTGGACCACCAAAGCCATTTTCCAAGTCGCTTTTCTTTGAGTCCAGAGATGGGAAGTTCCTGTCCCTCTCTGACTAGCAGGTTTACATCAAGCAGCCATCCCATAAAATGCCTCTTTGTGCTCAGTTTGGGCTGGGGTTCTAGCACTTGCAAGAAACACAGCCCTATCCCTGCTGAGGGAATTCTAGTGGTTTCCTTTCCCGGAGAATGCAAATCCCACGAGGGCAGGACTGCCTCCGTCTCACTCCCTTCTGAACCACTCCTGGTGGAGCAGCCCGCGTTCAGAGAGTAATTGTTGGATAAACGAACGAATATCTACGACCTCCTGGCTGCCTCCCTCGTGTTCTTAATCTGATCAGACCTTGCTGTTATCTGTCAGCATCCCAAGCCAGAGCTCAAGTTCAAGTCCAACATCTACCCAGCGGAGATTCAGGAACTCAAGCCGGCTACCGAGCCACGCGCGGCGGTGGGAAGGCGGAGCCGCAGCCTGGAGGCTCGACCCCCCCCAAACCAGCCGCCCGCGTACCGGGGTTTTTGGGCTCCTCCTCGCCCACTGGCGTCAGGGCGGCCGCCGGTTTCTCCTTAACCGCGCGCTCCCCTTTCTTGGTCACGGCACCGGATGTCTTCTGGGCCCCGGGTCGCTGGGCCCTGGGGGAGGTCCCCGACGCGCTCGGCTCGCTCGACATGCTGGGGCCTTCCGCAGACGCTCCGGGACCCTCGTGGGAGCGGGCAGGCACAAACGGACTCCGGGGCGCTCCCCTCGGGGGTGGCTTTGTCTGGACGTTTCTGTCCTGCCTCCTCTCGGCGGAGCCGCGGCGCCGGCGGCGGTGGGCGGTGATGCCCGCGCGTCCCTCTCCAAGGCAACCGCACGAGGAGGTGGGGCTGCGAAGGGGCCTCTGCATAGCACCGAGAGGCCGACAGGGGGCGCCACAGGGAGCCTGGGAGGCGGGACTAGGGCGGCGCGAGGTTGCTAGTGAAGGGAGATCGGCCAGGGCGGCCGAGGGTGAGGCCACGGTGGGAGGAGACGGCGGGTACCAGGCGGGACCAGAGCGCAGGGAGCGGGCGCCCGGTAAACTTCCATCGCCTGGGACCTGGGGCGGAGCGGCGGGAGTGGTAGGAACCCTGGCAAGTAGGGGGACGCTGGGGCAAGCCCAGGTGCGGCAGGTCCACTCTCAGGGCCACCCCCTGTGCTGTGAGGAGACAGCGCCTGATGGCCAGGGCCCAGAGTCCCACCCCGTTGGTTTCTGTCCCCCGCCCCATCCTTCTGCCTCCTGGGAGTCTGGGGGGCCTGAATCCATGGCTGGGTTCATGAGGGCTCCGGCTTTTTGCAAATCTGGGATTCGAAGTCGGCATCTGAAGCCCAGTCTAGACCGCATAGGCTGTGCCGTGCTCTCTGCTGCCAGCCTTCCCGCCTCCAACCTCGAACCCTGCTGGATCCCACCCCTGCCCTGGTGTCCTCCTGCCTCTGAGCCGTCTAAACACTCTGAGTACACGTGTGCCAGTCTTAGCACCCACCAGTGCTCCTGGGCAATTCATCAGCCACTCAGCCTTTTGGGGAACATTTATTGAGTGCCTACTGTGTGCCAAGGAGAACCAGTATGGAGTATAAACAGAGTCCTGCCTTCAGGACTCGTGGAGAAGACTAGGCAAACAGTCACATAAAAAAATACTGCAGAGGGAGGTGGCTGTTCCCCGAAAGGCAGGCAGCTGCCATGGGTGCCGTCACATAAGCGGCCTGCAGGGTGCGCTGTTGCCCTGGGAGGAGGAGGCGCAGGCGGTAACAGGTGAGTGGGAGAGGGGGGCGCACTGCAGACGTCCAAGTCCCTGGGGGAGGACCTAGAGGCCAGCGGGACTGGAGAGGAGTGACAGGAAACACACCTCAGGGTGAGGCTGGACAGACAGGCCAGGCCAGCAGGGCCTCGGAGACCTCCGAAAATGCTGGCCTTTGCCCAAGAGCCAAGGGGGCCCTCGGAGGGTTTCAGGCAGGGAGGAACCGAGCCACCTTGCAGCTGAGCCCTGTGGTGGAGAGGTGACCGAGAGGATGCAGGGACTCCAGCTGGCGGCCACCTCCCGACCCAAGGGGGAGTGTCCGAGGACAGGACACACCTGTGCCCAGTGCCCCTCTGAAAGCACGCGTGCACACACGGCCCAGCATATGTGCACACACTTAAAAACCCACCTGAAATCAGTTACCCAGCAACACTCAAAACCCGCCAGTTTCTGTCCACAGGGCCCTGGGGGCCTTGGGGAGCCGTGGGGTGAGGACAGGGGGACCAGCTCTCCTGCTGACCCATGTCTCCCCTGCAGGGACGCGGGAGCCAGGCTCCCTCTCCCCGCGCACATTCTCCATTCAGCAAGTTCATGTTCACAGTCTGCGGCCCACTCCCTGCACCTGGCAGGGTGCATCAGGCCCCATCCTCAGCCCCAGCAGCAAGGGGCAGCTGTGCTGGCCTTGGCTGCACCCTCGTGGCTCCTCAACGGTCCTGGTGCCGAAATGGGGGCGACGGGGGGTGCCGGACTGGTGGCAGGTCGTAGTGGCCGGGGATGTGGCTGTTCTTGGGTGAGTCGTAGTGGCCGGGGGGCAGGCCTGGAGGCAGCGGGGGCTGGGAGCCCACGGAGTCTCGGTCTGGAGACAGAGGGGACAGGACAATGGAGAGGTGACTCTCCCCCTCCCCCACTCTCCTCCCCTCCTCAGACCCTTCTGTCCACAGAGGAGCGGATGGGGCCTGGATCCCACCAGCTGTCTGGGCAGCTCTGGGCAGGGCCTCCCGGCTCCTCCCTGTCTCGATCTCACAGGACACAGGATGCTGCCACCCGCCTTGTTCCCCGCCCTCCTGGGTACCAGTCGTGCCACTCAGCAGCAGCACCCACCATTCGAGTGCTCAGCCCCGCGAGCAGGTACCCCAGTGGCTTCTGCAAACCTGGACAGGCTCTGAGGGGCAACGTGGCTCCCCGCCGTCATCGCTGCGGCTTGCTCAGGCCGCCACATCCCGCCTCCTCCTCCTCCCCTCTTGTCCCAGGCCCCTTCAGCCCGTGCCCCAGCGCGCAGCGCGGGGCTCACCGTGGAGCAGAGGGCTGGGCTGCTCGTAGGTGCTGCTGTCTCTCTCTGGCTGGCGGGGCCGCCGCCTCTGGCTGTCGCGCAGCTGAACAGGCTGCCTGGGGGGAGACCCCGAGGGAGGGCCTTTCATCTCCACATAGCTGCTCTCCCGGAGACCCCCTGGCAGGCTGGGCAGGTCCCGGATGGTGGCATATGGGTTCTCACTGCTCAGGGAAGCCACGCTGGCCCCCAGCCCCTCTTCAGAGAGGAGCCCTAAGGACACAAAGAAAAAGTCAGGCCTGGCGGACACCCTGGCTCCCCGGCCCGTCGCGCCCAGGCCAGCACCTTTATTATAGTGTGGGCCAGGGCCGTTACTGTTGCTGTAGCTGTAGCTCCGGTCCAGGCGGCTGCTCCCTGCAGAGGAAGGGGCGGCATGTCGCTCACGGCTGAGCCCCCAGGCCTCCCCCCAGGCTGCCGCCTCTCCTGGAGCTGCCCACGGCCCCGCCCCCCCCCCCCCCCCCACACACACACACACTGCGAAGGAGCAGGATGCTGGGCTGCACACCCCCGCCCTCACTGGGGGCCAGGCCTGCAGGCACCTACCCCTGTCCAGAGACCCAGGAAGGGGCTCCCGGCGATGCTTCCAGTCGGCAGGCAGGGTGGCATGGTTCTCATGCCCGTGGGCCCCGCCTGGCCGCTCAGGGGCCTGGAGGCTGGCAAAGAGCTGACTGCCCGGAACCTGCCAGGGGCCGGTGCCGCGGGAAGAGGACACAAGGATGTGCTTTCCAGAGTGTAGGTGCACGCCCATCCCCCCACAGAGCATCCACCCCAACCCCCAGGACCAACCTTGTTAGGGGGCGGGGGGTTGGGCGAGCACTGTGACAGGGTGTGGTAGCTGGGGTTTGAGTAGTAGTGACTGTAGCTCGGAGGAACATCTGTAGGACAGGAACAGGGACAAGGTGAGTTCAGGCAGACCAGGGGGCCCCGAAACTTTTTATTCTGTCTCAGGAGCTCACTGACCTGGTCTCCCTGACCTCCCCCTCCCCCACCAGCTGCCATCTCCCCCTGGGGTCTGCACCTGTGCCCACACACTGGCCACCCATTTGTGCCCCGTGTGCACCCACACCGGCTCACCTGGCATGACGTACTCGGAGCCATCTAGTCGCCCACTGGTGTAGGCCACTGCCAGGTGCTGGTGCTCCTTGCCCTTCTGCCAGTGGCGGTAGCCAATGAACAGTGCTATCAGGATCACCACGAGGGAGCCCAGCACGGCAATGCCCACCACAGCGCCCAGCGAGTTATAGGCCACCGGAGAGGTGGGCATCACGGTGAAGGGCTCCTGGCTTCCTGTGTGAGGAGAGGTGGTCACTCGGGATGGCACCTTGGCTCTACTGGTGAGCCCAGGGTGCAGACATGGGAGACGGGCCCAGAAGGGAGACAGGCATGGCTGGAGGGGGCATGGTCCTAATTCCCTGGGGGACCACGGGAGGCACTACGCACTCACCTATCCTGCAGGGTGCACCGCTGTGCCCAGGGGGACACACACAGGCCCCGGTCTCTGGGTGGCACTTCTCTCCAGGGCCACATTGGCATGGCTGGGAGCAGTTGGCACCGAATATCCCCGGAGGGCAGCCTGGAGACAGAGGGCCAGGGAAGCAGGTAGCGATCAAAGGGGCTGGAAAACCATCGTCTCTGCTCTTTGGCACAGGGCTAAGTCAGGGACCAGGGCATGGCGCCCCCATATGTTGGTACCTTCTAAGCAGTGGGGTCCAGTCCAGCCTGGAGGGCACACACAGCTCCCATCCTGGGGGTGGCAGGTGCCACCATGGTGACACTGGCAGGGCTGGGCACAGTTGGCTCCCCAGTGTCCTGGAGGACATGCTAAGGAGACAAGGGCCTGTGTGGCCGGGCAGAGCCACCCCTCCTGGCCAAACCCTCAGCCCCAGCATCAGTAAAGTCTTCGGTGTAGCCTCTGTCTCCCCGAGCCGGGGAGGGCCCACCGCTGATTCACGCTTCCCCCCAGTCCGTCGCTCCCACTCTGCAGACCTGCGTGACCATCTGCCTCCTCAGCATCTGCACTTGGCCTTCTGACAGCCATTTCAAAAGCACACAGCCCGTGCCAGACAACCAAAGCCTTCCAAAGCACCCTGAACTCCTTAACGCTAGACTTTTTCTTTTCTTTCTTTCTTTTTTTTTACATAAAAGAGAACTAAACACCTGTTCTATTTGAGGTATTATTTTTGTGTGTCTGACATTAGCAAGTAATTTCTTTATATATATTTTTACTTGAGAGACAGAGAGAGTTCCCACCCACTGGTTCACTACCCAAATGTCCACAATGGCCTAGAGGCCTCGGGGGTTGAGGGGAGCAGACCAAAGCCAGGAGCAGGGAACAGAATCCAGGTCTCCCATGTCAGTGACAGGTACCCCAAGTACTAGAGGCAGCACCTGCTGCCTCCCAGGGGTGCACATTAACAGGAAGCTAGACTCTGGAGCCAGAGTTAGGACCGGAAGCCCTACGGGATGTGGGCGTACCTAGCAGTGTCTTCACCACTAGGCCGAGGGCCTGTCCCTAGCAAACCGCTCAGCAGGCGTCGTTAGCGGTGTCTGCGTCTATGGAAAAACCCTCCGCTGGGCTCTCTGCCCTCTTTGCCCTGGCTGTTGGGAAAACAGCTTCCGTCCTGGTAACAGCCTCTCCCCTTCTCTTTGGAAAATGTACTTAACTCAGGTTTGTTTGTTTGTTTTTTCAGACTAATCTTTGCCATGCTCATCTTCAGATATTTATGTGAGAAAGAAGCCATGTATACATAAATAAGAATAAATTGAAATATGCAAAAGAAAAAAAAAAAACACATGCACACCGAGCTCGTGACCTCCCCCACGCCCAAAAAGCGGTGGACGGTGGGTTCCTGGCCCGCCCTCTGCTGCTCTGCCAGCACCTGGCACACGACCCAGCATGCAGGTGACGCCACCCAAGGATGCACTGAGAGAAGGGGCTCCATCGAGCAGGACGGGGGTGGCGTGGGTCTGGAGACTTCCAAAGCCGGGGCAGGAAAACAGGCCTTCTGTCGCCAGCCCCTCCCACCCACCCCCACCCCCCAGCAGGCTCACACGCTCAGACACACAAGCCACCACGTACGCTGGGAGCAGTCCGAGCCCGTCCAGCCAGCCAGGCAATAGCAGGTCCCGTCCGAGGGGTGGCAGGAGGAGTGGTTACTGCACTTGCAGGGCACACAGCGCTTGCCGTAGCGGCCTGGCTGACAGGCTGGTGGGGAGGGTACAAGGGATGAGTGGCAGAGGCCAGCCCTCAACCAGCCCTTGGCCCCCATGGTCTGCCCTCCCCCCCCAGCCTGAAGACTGGAGTCGGGAGGAGACCAGGAGGGATAGAGTGGGGGCTTCTGGCACGTGCCACGGCACTGCACCCCGTCCAGGCAGGTGGGGCCGGGGATGGGAGGGAGGCTCACGTTTCTGGCAGGAGGGGCCTCGGAAGCCAGGTGCACACACACAGTTGCCGTTCTCGGGGATGCAGGTGCCCCCATTCTTGCAGGTGCAGGGGTTGCTGCAGTTGGCTCCCCAGAAGCCCTCGGGGCAGGGCAGGTGGCAGCGAGTGCCTGCAGGAGAGGGCGGGAGAGTGAGCCTGGCCTGGGCCCTGTCCTTGGCCATGGCGGCCTTTACCAACACATTTCCTGTGGGATGCAGCCCCCAGCAAGGGCCTGGGGCCTGGACCCCCAGAATGCTCACCCATCCAGCCAGCCTGGCACAGGCAGTGTCCATGAACAGGGTCGCAGCCATCAGAATGGTCACAGTCACAGTGACTGGCACAAGCTTTGCCGAACTGCCCCTTCTTGGAGAGGGAGTGGAGGAGGGGGGAATCAGTGGGCCAGGGCTGCGGTACCCTCCCCCTCCCAGGGCCAAGGCAAACAGCCTATAAGCACTCACCGGGCAGGGCAGCTGGCAGTGGGCTCCATGCCACCCAGGGGTGCAGGTGCAGGCTCCAGTTTGGGGGCTACAGACTCCCTCATGGGCACACTGGCATCTGGCATTGCAACCAAAGCCCCAGGTTCCAGGCGGGCAGGGCACAGAGCAGTTACCAGGCTGCCAACCTGGAGGAGGAGCCTTGTAGGTAGGCACGGGACCCAGTTCCCCTGCTGAGCAAGCTCGCACTGGGTGTTGGCTCTGCCCGGCTCTATGCTAGGAGCTGGGGTGCTGATGGCACCATCCAAGACAGGCATCTAAACTCTCTATTGGACGCTGAGCAGAAGGCCAGATGACTCACGGCGACACCACCACCCATCCCGGGCCTTGGCTGCCTCTTCTGTGAACTGAACTGGGTTGGCAGCAAACCCGAATGGGAAAAGGGTCCTCCCATCAGGTAACTCAGTGAGCACAGTGTTTATGTGTAAGACAACAGGGAGTAGAGGGGACTGGAGACTTGAGGGCTGTTAACTACAGAGCCACAATGTTAGCTACAAAGCACAACTCTATCAGGATTCAGTCTCAAGGTTGCCTGTGTGGAGCCCCTGGCAGGGCTGGGAGGCCCTTCCTGGAGCTGCCATTGCCTGTTTCCGTAGGGCTGGCGGTGCGGCATGGCCACCACTGAGGCCCATTCCAGCTGGGCCTTTAAGGACCAGTAGGATCTTTGTGGTTGGAGCGAAGCAAAATGGATATTCCAGGAAGGAAACAGCCTGGACAGCTTCCCACCTCCCAGCTGCTGCCCAGTAAGCTCCTCCCTCATCCTTCAGCCTCTCCCCTGCCCTTGGCCGACCCCCACCCGCGGCCCCGCCCGGAGCCCGAGGCCCACTACCTTCCTTGCAGGCACACGTGCCGTCGATGGGCGAGCAGGCGATGGCATTCTCGCATGAGCAGTGTGCCGAGCAGTTGACCCCGTAAGTGTCAGGGGGGCAGAGGCTAGCGCAGTGAGGGCCCTGGAGGCGGGAGGGCGCACCGGTGAGAAGGGGCGGGCTGGCCTCCCGCGTCGCCGCCCCAGCCCCATCCCCGGCAGCGGGGCGCTCCTCACCGTGTAGCCGGGTGCGCACCGGCAGAGGCCGCTGTCGGCCAGGCAGACGCCGCCGTGCAGGCAGAGACAGTGTTCCTGACAGCCAGGTCCGTACGTGTCCCGCGGGCAGCTCTCGTTGCAGTGCAGGCCCGCCCAGCCCGGCAGGCACGAGCACTCCCCGTTCATCGGGTGACAGCTGTGGGACGAGGCGCGGCGCTGAGCGGACTGAGCCGGGGCGCGCAGGCCGGCCTCCCTGGCCCCTCCGTGCCGGGTGAGCCGGGCAGTGCAGCAAGGAGCCTGCCAGGGAGCTCGGAGCCAGGTAAGTACAAGTACGGGAACCCAGACCCCTCCCCGTTCCCGAAGCTCCTCCCTTTCCCCCTTCTGTAACACCGTGCCGCCCTTGAGTACTCCGGTGGCTTCTCCGCCCCGACGGCCACCACCACCACCAAGATTTCGGCCCCTGGCCTCCTGACCCCTTGGCGCCGGGTCCCGCGGCACACCTGACACTGTGCTCCGGGTGGCAGGTGCAGGACGTCTGGCAGTTGATGCCGTAGAGGCCGTCGGGGCAGAGGCGCTCGTCGCAGCGGTCCCCGGTGAAGCCGTGCTCGCACAGACACCCGCCATTGGGCGGGAAGCAGCGGGCTCCGGGCGCGCAGTCGCACGTCTCGGCGCAGTCCTGCCCGAAGCGGCCCACCGGGCATTCCTCGCGGCACCTGGGTGCGCTTGGTTGAGTGAGTCCGAGTGCATCCTCCCTCCTCCCGGCTGGGCCCCTGCCGCTCCCGCCGGCGCCACCACCGCCACTCACCGGTCCCCGGTGTAACCCGGAGCACAGCGGCACTGCCCACTGAAGGGGTCACAGAGGCCGCCATTGTGGCAGTGACATTCCTGGGAGCAGTTGCGGCCATGGAAACCCTCTGGGCAGGGCAGGGAGCAGATGGCACCCTGCAGAAGGGAGAGGTGGACAGAGCCCCAGGGGTCCAGCCCCCAGCCCATGGCCACAGGACTGCTTGAGGCCCGGCCCCACCTAGCCCCCCAACCTCCCTCTCCAGGGTCCACTGCACCCATGCCTCGTCCCTCCTCCCCTCCCCAGAGCCCTGTCTTGCACTAGGGACCCCCAGGCTTCTCCCCGGCCTCCCACCCACTGCCCCTCCATACCATCCAGCCAGGTGGGCAGCTGCAGGTGCGCTCCTGAGCCTGGTAGATGCCCTCATTGTGGCAGGGAGAGGTCTTGGGGCATAAGTAGCCATCAGTGCCCCAGAGACAGGGCACATCACAGCTGCAGAATAGAGGGGCTGAGGTCAGTGTGTGAGCAAGCAGTTCCCGCCTCCCCCCAGCCTCCAAGGGCTGGCCACCTGCACATTGCTCTCCCTGGGATGACAGCCTGAGCTCAGGCCCCGGGCACCGACACCTGCCCTGTCTGCTGGCGAACGCACAAGGCAGACTGCCAAGGAGACCGCACAGGCCCTGCCAAGGCCTGGGAACGGCAGGGATGCTCCAGCACCAGCAGGCTGGGGAGAGCCGCGGGCCGTGTAGGTTTCTCAGGCAGCCCCGGCTCCACCTCCTCAGCCTTGCCCGGGCTGTCCCCTCTGGGAGCTGCCCCAGGAAGCGTGCACCGTCTTCCTCCTGCGACTCCCTCCCCAGCTCTCCCTGCACCCTCACCTGACAAGCGGCTTTCACACACACGCTCCCGTCACCTTGCAGCAAGCCCTCCAGCTCGACAAGCTCATAGAGGGTCGGTGCGATCCGCAAGGGAGTGTGGAGCTGGGATCAGGGCATTGCGTGCATGCCACGGCGGGGACACGGCCTGCATCCCTGCATAGCCCATGCCTGTAACCTCACGACCTCGGTGTGCTGTCCACACACACACACACACACACACACACCCATTACGCACCTGGGCCCAGTTCTCTCTGGGGGGCAGAAGCAGGCTCCGGTCTGGGGATCACAGGGCGCCCCGTGGCACTGGCAGCTTAACTGGCAGGCAGGGCCATAGCGGCCGGAGGGGCAGGACTGAAGGCAGTTCGGGGGCTGCAGGCCAGGGGGGCAAGAGCACGCTCCGCTCTTGGGGTCACAGGAGCTGCTGTTCCCGCAGCTGCAGGGTTTGTCACACTGCGGCCCCCACACTCCCGGGGCACACGCTGCGGGACAAGGAGGGTGGGAGACGGTCATCAGGGGTCTACTGAGCACAGTCTCTGTCCCACAGCCCCACAACCCCCTCCCCTCTGCCACACCGGGATGGGGGGCTCCCGTGGGTCACTGCCTTGGGGTCCTCAGCCCCTGTGCCCTGGCAAGGAGGTCGCTCCCTGGGGTCACCGGCCACTCACCACTGGAGCAGTCGTCGCCCCGCCAGCCTGGCACACACTGGCAGTGATTGGGGGCTACGCAGCGGCCATGGACACACTCCCGGGCACAGACCGCTGGGGCAGACACAGGTGTGAGTGAGGAGGCACTTCTGCCACAGCCCAGCCCCCACTCATCCCCCAGAGCAGAACTGATAACGGAGAGGGGGGTGCTGACCAGGATGGGGGGAGGGGAGGGGGAAAGGGGAGGGGGAGGGGGACCCAAAGGAGCCCGGTAGCCCCACCTGGTGGGGGCAAGGAGGACCCAGCAGGGGGCTGGCCTCTCCCACCGCAGGCCCTGGCCCCCTACAGGACTCACGGACACACGCCCCGTTGCTCTCATAGTAGCCCCAGCAGCACTTGAGGCGCTGACGGTGGTTCGTCCTCACCGCCTGCCGGTACACGGTCCGGTAGACAACCCTGGACACACCCGGAAGGCGGCCCTTGGTCCTCCACGCCCAGGCCCGACTGCCCCTCCGCACACACTCCGCTGGGGGCCCAGATGACTTCCCGCCTGGCCCCCCAGCACCCCTCACGCACACACATACAATGCATCACACATGCACGCCCACACACCCACATCCCCCCACATACAACATACCCCATACATACAAGCACGCACATAAAACATACCCCACGCGCACACACACATATGCATCACACTCACAACACACATGCACACTCACATACCCACACATGCCCCCACATACAATGCACACAACAAACCCCGCACACACACACATGCAACATACCTCACGTGCACACCCACACAAGACACACATGCACGCACATCCCCCCACACAACACACATAACATACCCCACACACAACACACACACAGCATACCCCACGTGCACAATGACATGCTCACACATACACATCACACACACATACAGTACACATGCACACCCCACGTGCATACATACACCCACTTGACACACACACACATCCCACACACATACACACACAACATACTCCACATGCACACCCACACTCACATCACACACAACACACATGTGCACAGACATATCCTACACACACAAACACATCCATGGGCACGCCCACAAACACACATGCACATGCATCCCCACACATGCAACACGCACACACATGCAATATACCTCATACATCACACACGTGCGTGCACATACATCCCTGACACATATACAACACACACAACATATTTCATGTGCACACCCACATAACATGTACACACATACAACACACCACACATGCATGCATCCCACATACAACACACATGTGCACAACCACATGCAGACACATACCCACGTGCAAGACACGTACAACATGTGACACACCTGCACAGACATCCCCACACACATACAACACACACAACATACCCCATGTGCACACACACACATGACACATGTGCACACATATCCCACACATACACAACGCAGATACAATACACCACACATCCCACATATATACATCACACACACACATACAACATGCCCCATGCAACATACAACACTGCGCACAGGCATCCTGAACACACACACAAGCCACGTGTCCACAGCCCCCACACACACATCCCGGACACGCACCACACACAGCCACACCACACCCTGCAGGAGTGAGCACCCTGAGGCCAGACGTTTCAACGGGAAAGGTTCTCAGAGGAGGAGGGTGCAGAGGGCCAGGGCCAGGCTGAGGAAGCAGCTGGGGCTGCCCCGTGCCCAGGGAGGGGATGGGGCACTCACGTGGGCCGGGGGCAGGAGTGGGGGCCCTCTGAGGCCTCGTCGCAGGGCTCTGAGGGGAGCAGGCTGAAGGGTCGGCTGTAGGACTCCTTGATAGTAGTGGTGAAGCTGTGAAGACAGGAACAGGGTCAGGGACCAAGGGGGGGCCGAGATGGTGGCGAGCACAGCAGGAGGCAGGGGCCTGAGAACAGGCCATGGGGGGTAATCACCACCCCACGAGACGGGCACGCTCCCCTACGCCTGGGGTGGAGCTCCCTCCCGGGATGGAGCTCCCTCCCACCCCCGCCACGCCTGAAGGGCTCCTCCCAGGACTTCGAGCTCCCTGGGACCCCTCCCATCAAGCCCCCTCTCCATTTTTCTCTCCTCCACCTCCCTGGTGACTAGAACTGACTCCCGGGCCCAACCATGGAGATGAAGCTCACAGCTGGTCTTTTTTTTTATTATTATTATTGTTTTATTTTATTTTATTTTATTTTATTTATTTGATAGAGTTACAGACAGTGAGAGAGAGAGAGAGAGAGAGAGAAAGGTCTTCCTTCCGTTGGTTCACCCCCCAAATGGCCGCTACAGCTGGAACTGTGCCAATCTGAAGCCAGGAGCCAGGTGCTTCCTCCCGGTCTCCCACGCAGGTGCAAGTGAGCCATGGCACCGGCCCCCTCTTTGTTTAATTTTTTTTTTTTTTTGACAGGCAGAGTGGACAGTGAGAGAGAGAGACAGAGAGAAAGGTCTTCCTTTACCGTTTGTTCACCCTCCAATGGCCGCTGTGGCCGGTGCACTGCGGCCGGCGCACCGCGCTGATCCGAAGCCAGGAGCCAGGTTCTTCTCCTGGTCTCCCATGTGGGTGCAGGGCCCAAGGACCTGGGCCATCCTCCACTGCACTCCCGGGCCACAGCAGAGAGCTGGCCTGGAAGAGGGGCAACCGGGACAGAATCCGGCACCCCGATCGGGACTAGAATCCAGTGTGCTGGCGCCGCAGGTGGAGGATTAGCCTAGTGAGCCGCGGCGCCGGCCAATTCTTAAAAACATTTGAGAATCCAGTGCTGTGATGCTATGCCACAGGTAAAGTCACCACCTGCAACACCAGCTTCCCATAAGGGTATCAGTACAAGTCCCGGCTGCTCCACTTGCAATCCAGCTCTCTGCTATGGCCTGGGCAAGCAGTGGAAGATGGCCCAAGTGCTTGGGCCCCTATACCCATGTGGGAGGCCTAGAAGAAGCTCCTGGCTCCTGGCTTCAGCTTGGTCCAACCCCACCCATTGTGGCTATCTGGGGAGTAAACCAGTGGATGGAAGACCTCTCTCTCTCTCTCTCTCTCTCTGTCACTTTTTCAAATTAATAAATCTTTAAAAATACTTATTTATTTGAAAGGCAGAGAAATCTTCTATCCATCCACCAGTTTACTCTCCAAATGCCTGCAACAGCCAGGGTGGCAGGGACCCAAGCACTTGAGCCATCATCTGCTGCCTCCCAAGCAGATTAACAGGAAGCTGGACTAGAAGTGGAGGAGTCAGGCTTTGAACCAGGCACTTCCCTGTGATATGCGGGCATCTTAACCCACGGCACCACGACACCTGCCCGAGTGAAGCATTTCTGGGAGATTCTGCCCTGGGGTTCGTTATCTAGTTCTGTCCCTGTACTCCACCTCCCTCCCTGCAGCCAGCCCCCCCCCCCCCCCCCCCCGCTTGCTCCACAATGAATGGCTCCTACCCTGCCCACGGGGAAAAGGACGGGGGTGGGGGGGAGACGAGGTCAGAGACAGAGTCAGGAAGGGAGGCAGAGAAGGAACCAGGGAGGGAGCCCCGGGAGGGACACCCTGGGGGGCTGGGGCTTGGTGTCCTCACCAAGGGGCCTCCTCACCTCTCCCAGAAGCTGCAGACATTGGGATCAGTGGGACTGAGAGTTGTGGCTGGCCCCAGGCCCAGGCCCAGGAGAAGGAGGCGAATCAGCGGTGGTGACATTCAGCACGCGGCCACAGGGCCAGGGGCAGAGCAGGTGAGGGACACCGTAGGCAGCAGCCTGGAGGACCACATCTGTGCAGATGGAGGCAGTGGGGGTGCAGAAGGGATAAGGCTGCTCCCAGGGCCCCAGCTCCCCTGGGATCTCAGTGCCCACACCTCTGCGTCTTTGTGTTCCGATACCTGCAGCGCTCATCTCTCAGCAGCGACCTCAAGGTCCACCCCCTCTTCTCTGCTCGGCTCCCTGCCCCAGCCATTCCTTCCGGGACCTCTGGCACCAGTGCCCCGTACGCCACTATTCTCTTGCCTGTTCCCTGGTCATGACCTCCAGGGGCCCAAACCCAGTGCCTTTTATCTCCACCCAGCCCCCAGCCCAAGGTGTGAAACCAGAACCAACGAGCAGAAGTTACGAGGGAAGCCGACTTGGGCTCCATTAAAGGGATTTTCAGGAATGGCATCAGCCACTACAGGTGGCGAGCTCCCCGTCGCTAGATATATGCAAGCAGAAGCCAAACCCACCCTGAGGAAATGCTGTCAAGAGTTTTGTTGCTCTGTGGGGATGCCACACTAAATGAGGCCACGAGGGAAGCTTGCAATTGCCACAGGAAACAGCTGGCAGAGGTGCAGGAGGTGCAGGTGGTGCGGTTCCCCAGCGGTCAGAGGGGCAGTGAGCAGTTAGATCTAGTCAGTACACCGCAAGGGAGCGGTGGGCAGGCAGGAAGAGCCAGGCGCTAACTGGCCGCTGCCCGGAGACCACCCCCCGGGAGATGGAAGGTAGCCTGCCGTGGCTGGGGGCCTCTGTTTACTGCTACGGATTTCCTCCAGGGACTTCCTCCTGCCAGGTGCCCAGGTGGCGTCCCTGGAACTCGGCCGTGGGAGGCTTCTCCCCACGCCCAGGGCCGGTTGCTAGATATTTGCCGCCCACTTCCGGTGCTGTCACCTGAGCAGGTGCCCAACCTGGCGCGGATGTAAAGAGAAGCCCCCTCCTTCCTCTGCCCACCAGCTGTGTCTCCACAGCCCTGGCCTCACCCACCCGTGGGTGGGCAGGCCTGGCCCTGCAGGCCACTCCACAGCATTCCTGAAACCCGGCCCGGCTCCCGCTCTCTACTTCCCTGAGGCGCCGACATCTGCTTATAATTTCTCCAAGAAGAAAGGTCATGCGTGCTGGCCCCTTATCCCCATAAGGATCTCTGGAATGCCTGCTCCCGGCCCCACCCCGCCCCCCACCCCCGCACTCCCAGGGTCGCCACAGCCCCCTCCGCTTCCCTGCAGGCCTGGGAGTGAGAGAGGGGCTCCCTAGCTTAACCTCATCTCACCCGCTGCGCCCCTACCCTTCCTCCAGCCCGAGCACAGCTGCCTCCCCCTCCCTGCAGCCTCAGACCTGCCGAGCTGCGGTGCCCCCAGGCCACCCAGGCCACCCTGCCCGAGTCACCCTCTCCAGGGCAAGCCTCCACCTCCCCCCCACCCCAGCCCCTGAGAACTCACCAGCAGGGCCCTGAGGGATTCAGGTGCACCAAGGGTTGGCAGGGGCCTGGGAGGCTGAGAGTGTCCCGGAGGTCCCCGCGCTCAGGACATAGAGCCTGCAAACAGGAAAGAGGGCCTGGCTAGGGATGCGGGGACGGCAGGGATTGTGACCCAGGACAGTGGCAGTGCCATCCTCCCACCATCCTGAACACAGCAGGCGGGAGGCCTTCTTTCTAGTGCCCACTCTGGGTGGGGGGCACTCAGTCCTGTCCCCAAGGAGCCAGGCCACAGTCAGGCGTGCCCTCCCTTGCCCCCATAGTCTCTCCCAGTGCAAGACATCCACACACACACACCCCCCCACATCACCGTTCCCAGCTGGTTGCTTGTCCCAGCGTCCTCAGATAGTCCCCTCCCACCACTGCCCCGCTCTAGCCCCCTCATCTAGCCCAGTGCCCACCTGCAGAGCTCGCCCTGTCCCATCCCAGCTTTCTCCCCACCCTACCTCAAGTGTGCCTGCCAGCCAAGGCCACGGCCAGGCTCCCCTCTTCCTGCACCCCGACTTCTGGCCCCGGCCCGGGAGCCGTGTCCTCGGCTTGCAGCTCAGCCTGTCTGCAGCCGGGGCCATGGCCCTTGTCGCTGCATGAGCCGCATCTCCTAAGCCACACAGCGCGTGCCCAGGCTTCCCCCTGCCTGGCTCTGTCCCATACCTGCCCCTGGCCGCGGGGAGGCTGACAAACCGATGGCTGGAGGGTCTTGAGGCTCAGGGAGGCCTCCTGACCCAGCCCTGACCAAGCCCTTCTTCCCTCTCACACCACTCCCTGCCCCTAGGCCCTGAGTGGGCGCCCAGGTCCCTGTCACCCCTGGCAAACACCTAAAGGAGGTATTCTCCTGGGGGGCTCTGGGAAGGACCTGAAGAAGGACTCGCGCCCCTCCCCCAAATCCCTGGCCCCTGCCAGCTGGGGGGCGGGGGGCTTCATTGTTTTCTGAGGTCCTCAGGGTGGGGCTGCAGTGCGGAGGAGGCGTCAGCTGGCCAGGCTGGGGCTGGAAGCCAAGGCAGGGTCAGGCGAGACCAGTAGGTGGTCAGCAGGGAAGGGAGAGAGGGGATGGGGCCGGGGCAGGGGAGCGGGGGCCTTGAAGCCTGGCCCTTCTCATCTCCTGGTCTCAGAGGCTGGACACCTGCGGCTGTAGCCCGAGCTCCCCCAGCCCACACCCACCCCAGCAGCGGCCCCTGTGATGACACGCCTCAAAGGGGTGTCAGATGACTCCTGGCTTCCCCACACTGACTGGGGGGCCCCTGAGCTCCCCACTGCAGCTTGCTCCTCCTCCTTTTCATACCAAGACCCCCTCTTCCCACACTCAACCCCGTTTCTGGCTTGAGAGACCCACACGCCTTCTCTCACAGCAGGAACAAGGGCACGCGGCCAGGCCCGCTCCCCACGCTGGGACAGGCAGGGTGCGGGGCCACTGACAAGCGTCATCTTATCAAGTTGTCTCTGGCCCTCTGCGGTAGTGAGAGCCAAGCACCGAGCACCAAGCACCAAGCACCAAGCACCGAGCACCGTCCACACTGCCCAGGAGGGAGCAGGCGCAGCCGTCAGCAACCTGCCCGTGGCCACAGAGCCAGTCATATTGGATACGGGGGTCCAAATCCAGGCGGCTGGCAGGGGACTCCCAGCCCAGAGGGGAAGCCTGAGTACAGGCTCTGTGGTAGCCTAAGTTATGGTGCTGCAGAGTTGAGAGGGGGCTGGGCAAGGGCAGGGGAAGAACCGTCAGAGGCGTGGGAACCCAGATGCCTTTGCATCCTGACCGAGCCTGCTGCCTCTCTCCCCTCCACCTCCGAGGCGCAGATGGCCCCAGCATCCCTGCCCTGGGGCCCTCCCCGCCTACACAGCGCCCAACCCAGCTCTCCCTCCCTGCTCATCTCCACACTCTGGCATGGGGCCCCAGGCACCCCCCAGGAGGCCAGGAAGGAGTCCAGGGCCTCCAGGAGTAGGGGCAGAGTCCCCACTGGATATAAGAGGACCTGCCGCGATGGAACGTGGAGTACGAGTGGGGCTGATGAAAGTGAGACAGCAGGAGGGACTTCCCTCCGGCTCCTGTCCAGCTCCTCTGCAAGTCATGAGGGTGGCCCTCGAGCCCTGGGCCCCGACCCTGCCAGAGTTCAAGGCTCAGTGTGAATCCCAGTTGGGCTCCTCTGTCTCCAAAAGGGGGGTGGAGTTTGTACTTCCATCCTAGCACAGTTGTGGGGATTAAATGAATGAAGACAGATAATGTGTTCAGCACCACTAAGGTGCTTAGAGGTAATTGAGCCAAAAGCTTAATTAATCTTCGCTGTCTCCATGACAACCTCTCAGCCTCACCCCTCCTCCTCCTGCACCCACCCCGGCCCCTCCCACTCGCCTTGGCACTGCCGCGCCTTTTGGGTATTCATTCCAGGAAAAACTGTCTCTCTTTTCTCTGTAGAACCCCCAGGATGATCCGGGAATGGGAAAGGAGCAGCAAAATGCTGACAGAGAAAAGAGGAAGCGGGGGTGGGAAGGGGCCGTGCTCCCCTGAGAACCTGATCCCCCCGAAGGATGGGCTGCCGGCCAGGTGCATCTTCAAGCCAGCAGCGGTTGACGAGGCAGGAGGCCCGGATTCTGCTGCCCCAGCCCTCAGCCTCAGCACCAACCCGCTCCCACTGCCCCGCCTCTGTTCTCCACCTCCCCCCCCCCACTTCCCATCTTGGAGTCCAAAAGCTCTAGTTGTGTCTCTGTCACTTACAAGCCGTGTGATCCGTTATGTCACGCGATCCACCTCCAGCTACAGCCTGCTCGTTCAATGTGCGTGATTCACACACAGAACCGCCCAAGCCCCACGCTCTCTTCCTTGTCCTTTTTGACTTTTGTTCTTCGTCAGAAACTCTCTATCTGCCTTTTCCCCTCTTCCTCCAGCAGTTTCTTCTCTTTCCTGTTCTGTTTCAGAAACTGCTACGTACAGTTGTGTAGTGTGTTCACTGCACGCGGACCTCCACCGTCCAGGGGGATGTGGAAATCGGACTCCAGCCACAATCCACTTACCAAGCTGTGTATCTTAGCTTGACGCTACCGCTAGCTTGCCCTGCAGCTCATCTTTCTTGTTCCCTGTCTGTGTGGCCATTTCTCTGTGCCCCTGGCCCTTTCCCAACCTATCTTTGCCCTGGAGACCAGATCCCTTAGCCCTGCCCACTCTGCAGTGAGATCCTGGTTTAAAGACTCTTCCCAGGCATCCCCATAGGGGGCGCCACCAGCAGCTTGGGCCACATGCCACACAGTACGCACATGTGCACGTTCACACACACAAGCACAGAGCCCCTCCTACAGCCAGCCACGCCAGGCCCTCGGCACGCCAGGCATGTCTGCCGGATGGAGGAACAGGAAGCCTGCGTGTGTGCCAGAGGCTGGGCGGGAAGGGGACAGGGGTGAGGGGCCAGCCTGTGCTCTCTGTGGATCAGGAAACAGAAGCTGGAGGGTCCTCGCTCCGACCTGTTTACTCATCAGGAAGCAGGGATTCTGATTCACCCAGCGTCCACCGTGCACCTCCCCAAGGCTGACGCCACTGCCAGTCTCGTGCTCACAACCAACCACCGTGGGCCGTACAAGTGGTTGCAAGCCCCATTTCCCAGGTGAGGCAAGGCAAGGCAAGGCCTCAGGTAGCATGACTTGCTCAGATACCACCGAGCCACCAGAGGCAGTAGAGGACAAAGCAGGGGGCAGGGGGAAACCCCTGAGGTGTGTGGCCAGGAAACAGCTCCCCCTCTGGCCACCTTGTTCACCTCCACCCCTATATTACCTTCAGGAGGTGCAGCTCTGCTCTGGCCATTTCCCGGCTCCAGCACCCTCTGTGGCTCCCCGTACCATACAGGAAAGGGCACCCAGGGGCTGGCCCCGCCAGGAGTCCAGATTCGGGCCCGCCAAACTCCCTGCTCGCATCACACTGGACGGGCAGCTTGCTGCCCCACTTGCCTCTCACCACAGCGCCACCTCTGGCCAGGCCTCTTCCACACAGCCGGCTGGCTCAGTGGCTCCAGCCTCGACACAGGCACTCAGCAGTCGCCAGGTGCCCCCCTCCACCCAAAGGAAGCCTGGCTGGTGCAGACTGGACACGGACACACCTCCAAGGCCTGGCACCTCCCCAAGCCCCAGCCGGAGTCCAGGCCAACCCAGGAGTTCCCGGCTCTTGACTGGGCAGGCTGGAGGACACCCCCATCTTGGGGCTGCTGGTTCCCGCCAGGCCACAGCCCCCCCATCTCCCTCTCTCCCAGGCCCTGGTATTGGCCTGCATGTCTCCTCCAGGCTCCCATCCTAGGAGCTGTGTTTTCATGAGGTCTGTCTGCTTCATGGGCCAGGGCTCCATGGGGGCAGGCACCCCTCTGTTTTCCTCTCGGGAGCCTGGGAGCCCCTGCAGCCTTCGTGAGCCGTGGCTGCACTGATCCACTCCGAAACCCTCCCTGGCTCCGCCAGGCCTCAACTGCACTTTGCGGGGGGCGGGGGGGAGGCAGGGATGCTCAGAGCCAGTGGCCCCTCCCCAGCTCACTCCCAGCCCCAGACCCTCCAGACACGGGACACGTCACGGAGGGTGAACTCCCCGGCTGGACAACGCCACGGCAGCTGCAGAGCTGGCCGCCAAACTCCTCTGGGATGCATGCAGGGAGATGCAAGGTGCCCTCAGCCGGGGCCGCCCAGTCTGGGGACAACACTTCCCCTCACTGCCCACTCCACACGCCCCCTCCTCACCTGAGCGGCTGCCCCTCACCCCACCCCTCAGCAGGAGCCCGAGTGAGCCTGGTGCTGCTTCTCAGGCCCTGCACCTTGCCACGGTGGGTGCCGTGAACACGTGGGCACCCTCGTGACAGCTGCGCGGGAGGCTGGCTCCTGGCTGGCCGTTCTCTCCGCCGTGCCACCAAGTCAGAGCATTGTGCCTCCCGTGGTCTGGGTGAACAAAGGGCCGGGGAAGAAGGATCCAGGATTTGTCTCAGGCCACAGAGCCGGCCTCTGGCAGGGCAGCGGCTGGGACCAGATCTGTCCAGCACCGCAGCCTGGCTGCCCCTCTGCTCTCTCCTCCTTGGTTTCTGACTCGCCCTCTCCCCCTCCCTCTCTCCCCCTCCCTCTCCCTCACCTGCCTTGCCTTCTCCCTCGAGGTCTCTACTCTGCCGTCCCACCTCCCCACCCCCGCCCCGGGTCATCTTGTTTCAATGTCTGTGTGCCCCTGCCAGTCTGTTTCTGTATCCATCTCTTTCTCTCCTCCCCTGCCTTCTCTCCCCCTTCCTGCTGGCTTCTCCCCGTGGGTCAGGGGCCAGGAGCCACGTGAGCCCCAGCAGCCCGGGGCACAGCAGAGGCCCTGCCTGGCTGCGGCAGGGGGAAGAGGAGGCAGAGGCGGCCCAGGACCCCTATCTCTCTCCAGGTTTCCCACTGGTGCATGGGGCTGCCTGGGGAGTAAGCTTCCCCTTCTGGGAGAGCCTGATAGGGAATGCTGGTGGGGGGGAGGGGTGGGGGGCTGGAGAAAGATGCCAGTGTTTGGCACTGCCTCCCAGCGAAGAGAGGAAGCAGAGAGGCGGGCCTGGCCAGCTCAGCTCCCACCAGCAAGCAGGGAATATGACAGCAGACTGGAGAGGCCCTGGAGGTGGGAGAGGTGCAGCAGGCAGGGGCACTGTCCCCCAAGCCCTGCTCCCTACGCCCACACACAGGTCCCACACCCTTCACCCCAACCCCAGGCCCAGAACTGACTCCTGGCCCGATCCCGGCTGGAGCTCAAGGTCTGGCCGAGCCTGGGAACCTCGGGCCAGCACAAGTTGTTCCTGTCCCTGGGGACTGAGGCCACAGCCCAGCCCCGGGAGAGGCCACTCCTAAATGGCCCCAACAGGGGGGCAAGAATCCACTGGTAGAGGCAGGCGTCCGGGGCAGGGAGCAAGGGACAGCCCTGGGGGTGGAGGAAACCTGGGTTCCTGGGCCCCCCGGCCAGGGCCTGGCTGTTGGTGCTGCCTCTGGTCATTGCCCAGGGAGCTTTCTGAACTCTCAGATGCCAGAGACCTTGAGCCAACCTCCTGGCCCGCACCACCGTGCAGCACGCTGCATGAGGCAGGAGACAGGCTGCCGCCCCTCCTGGCCTCCCCGGGGCCTCTTGGGTACCCTGCTTTTAGAAATAGGATGCCACCAGGGCCCCACAGCAGAGAGTGGCAGAGGCCAGGTGGGTGCCCAGCAGCCTCCCGGCCAAAGTGGGTGCTCTTGGCACTGCCCTGCCCCCAAGCAAGGAGAGGACCCACTGTCCCCTCCTCTCAGCAGCCCTGAGAAGGGGCAGGCAGTCAGAGGCTACCCTAGGCTCCCAAAGTCGCTTCCAGGCCACCAGGTGTCACCAGGAGGGAACTCCTCCCCCAGGTCACCCCCTTGGGCCCCTCTCTGGACTACAGCCTGGGAGAGGACCTGCCCGACCCGCGGCGGGGCCGTGGAGGGGACACTCACCTGTCCGGGCCCCTTGAATCCGCAGGCTTGGGGTGGGGACCGCCGGCCTAGAGGGGCCGAGGACTACAGCGAGGGCCCCCGCACGGAGCCCCAGCCCGACTGCGAGAGCCGCAGCGCAGAGGCCGAAGGACGCGGATCGCAGGACGGGGAGGGGCGCGGAGGGGCGGGGGGGCAGGAAGGGGGTGGGAACTCGGGCCCTGGCCAAGGCAGGAAGTTTTGACAAGGAAACCGGGAGCGGGGGAGGGGAGATCCAGAGCTCCCGGGAGGGAAAACTGTGCTGGGGGTGGGACCCCAGAGTGCGGGCGCGGGGCGGGACGCGAGCAGAGCCGGTGAAGAGGGGAAGGGAAGGGCAGGGGCCCTGGCCGCGTTCCCCCGCGGCTGCCCGCGCCCTGTGCGTCTGGGTCATTGAACCTCTGGGCCTCAGCTTTCCTATCCGTGAAGTGGGGCTGTGGGGAGGGTACACGTCAGACACCCTCTAGTGCGCTCGACACCGTGGTCTTATCAAGGACGCACCCTGGGGCCGACGGCCGCATCCTAGTCTGGGAGCGGCCTCCTGCTCGCTCCCGCCGGCCGGGTGTGACCCCGGGAAGCGGTGTCCGCCTCTGCCCGCCCCTGCGGGCTCCGCGCCGGGTGCCTCCGTCCGCGGCGGCTCGGGCGCCGAGCGAGTCCGGCGGGCGCCACCTCGCGGCCAGCGGCCACCCCCGCCGGCCCGCAGAGCGCCCCGGGCGCCTTTCCCTATCAGTGTGATAGCGGCCAGCTTTCGCTTTCGCCCCTTTAGCCCTTCCGGCGAGTTGACTCACGTCGTCCTCAGCTCCAGGCTCGTGGCATCCCCGGGCGCACGCTGGCGCCTGTGAGGAAGCCGACGTCCCGAGGGCTGAGCGCCCGGCAGGCGCACGCTTGGAGCAGACGGCCGTGGTCCGTGGGTTGCAGGGCAGGCGCCCCAGAACCGGTGCAGCGGACACAGCGGCAGGAGCCCCCGGAGAGCCGCGCGCTCATCTCTCCCGGGACACTTTTAACTGTGGTGTCATTGACACACAGCTTTTCAAACGGACCCACTTAAAGTGAACAATTTGATGCATTTTCGTTTTCTTGGATTTTTCTTTTTCTTAGCGAAATCCACATAACACAAGGGTATCATTTTTGGCATTTTGAGTGCACAGCTCAGGGGCATTCAACACATGCCACGCGTGCAGCCGTCAGCCCAATCCTTCCCAGAACTTTCTCACAGTCCCAGCTGAAACTCGACTCACCCAACAGTAACTCCCCACTCCTTCCGGCCCCTCCCCCTGGGAACCACTCTACTCTGCGTCTCTGTGAATTTCACTGTTCTAGGTAACTCAAATAAGTGGAACTGTTCAGCATTTATCCTTTTGTGCCTGCTTAGCTACTTAGCATGTCTGGTACAGTCTGACAAAAGTGTTTATCTGCATAACCACCAATAAAAATCCCAATGAAAACATTTTAATGTCCATTTCCTCTCGAAGTTTAATATTTCCAAGATTTTTAAAAGGCAAAGTGACAGAGAGGGAGGGATCTCCCATCTGCTGGTTCACTCCTCACATGCTACAATGGTCGGCTGTGGTGCAGACTGAAGCCAGGAGCTCCAAACTCTATCTGGGTCTCCCACATGGGTGCAGGGGCCCAAGGACTTGAGCCATCTTCTGCTGCTTTCCCAGGCCATAGCAGAGAGCTGGATCGGAAGTGGAGCAGCTGGGACTTGACCTGGTGCTCAAATGGGATGTCAGCAGGACAAGTGGCTGCTTAACCGGCTGCACCACAGCGCCAGCGCCCAAAGTCTGCCTGTTCCGCTCTGCAGACAATGCCCCGAACTCCATTCTCATGCCCAGCTCACCGGAGATTCGTTTGTTCTAGAATTCCCACATAAATGGAAGGATACTGCGCGTGCTCACTTACGCCTGGCTTCTTGAACTCACACAAAGCTCATCCGTGGCTCCAGGCTCTTTTTCGTGAGCAGTGTCCCACCGTAGGGAGGCTGAGCCTTATCTTCAAGCTACCCGATGGGCCCTGGGGCTTCTGCACCCCGGGGAGCATTGTGATTAAAGCTCCTGTTCACATTCGTGTACTAGTCTTTGGATAGCAGTTAGGAACTCTGTATTCCAGTCTCGAGTCCTTTGCTTACTATGGGTACTAATAAGCACCGCGATCTGAGGTACACACAGTGTTTAGTTGGTGCTTGGAAGGCTGGGGTGGGGTGTGCGCGCGTGCGTACAGGGCACGAGACTGGAAGGGCGGCTGTGTCTGAGCTAGCGAAGACAGCAAGGTCCAAGGTTGACTTCCGTGCCTTCAAGACTGTCCAGCAGGGGGCAGCAGAAACCAGAGCGCAGCTCGAGGGCCGGCGGCCAAAGACCATAGAGTTGCAGCCTGTCAGAGGCCAGAAGGGCCTTTAGAGTCATGGATCAGCACCTTGGAGGAGGCGGATGGGAACACCGAGGCCCAGAGAGGCCGGAGGTCGGGCCCTCTTCCCTCCGGTACTCAGCTCATCGGACGCCTTCGCAGGCCTCGTCCCCGCTCCCCACCCCATCTCAGTCCTGTTTAAACCTACTTCCCTCCCGTGGGTGGAAAGCATCTTTGTGCTGCGGGGACTGGCACGAAGCAGGTGCTCAGTAAACACGAGTGCGCCTCACTGTCGCGCTGGGCCTCTCTCGGCGGCTCCGTGGCCCCCGCTGTGCCGTGCAGAGGATGGGCGTCGCGGGAAGGCGTCCCACGTGCTCACTCATCCCTCTGTCCCTCCAGCGCTGCGCCCGGGACTCAGAGCAAATGGCCGAGATCTGACAGCCACCGCTTTTATTAAAGGAACGCCCACAGATGCCCAGCCCCTCCGTTCCGACGTTCAAGTGTAGTAACGTACTTCGGTGATAAAAGCCCCTTGTCCTCAAAGAGCCCACACACTAATCGGCAAGAGTCAAATACGCGTTTGTTCTTTCAATAAAGAGCTACACGCAGGCACTTGGGGCTACAACTGTGAACGAAATAGACCAGACTTCCTGTCTAAATATGGAAAGAAAAAAATAAATGAAGCTTACATTCTGGTGGTGGTGGTGGTGAAGGGATGATAAAGGGACGAAATCAGTAAAGTGATGAAAAGGAAAACCAGGCCAGAAAAATAGTACAGGAGAGGGGTTAGGGGGTGCTGGGGGTGTGGGTTTTTGGAAAGGTAACCTCTAGGTGAAGGAGGGAGCCAAGCAGATTTCTGGAGGGAGAGCATTCCAGGCAGGCAGAACAACAAATACCACAAGTACAAAGGCCCTGAGGCCACAGCAGGGTTCAGCCCAAAAAACCGTGTGGGTGGGGTTGTAAGACAGCTGCAGCAGGGGTCATATCCCACAGGGCCTGTTAGGCTGTGGGAAGGGGAGAGGGTGGAGGGGCTGCTCGCATGAGGTGGGGAACCATGGGGGGATTTGGAGCAGAGGAGGGATGCACTCCAACTCGGGTTTTCAGAGAATGTGGCGAAGTAGGTAAAACCACTGCCTGCAGTGCCGGCATCCCATATGGGCTCCAGTCCAAGTCCCGGGTGCTCTACTTCTAATCCATTTCCCTGCTAATGCGCCTGGGAAAGCAGCAGAGGATGGCCCAAGTGCCTGAGCCCCTGCACCGACATGGGAGACCCGGAGGAAGCTCCTGGCTCCTGGCTTCCCGCCTCAGTTGTAGCCATTTGGGGAGTGAACCAGTGGATGGAAGATTCTCTCTCTCTCTCTCACACTCTCTCTCTCTCTCTCTAACTTTCAAATAAATAAATCTTAATTTAAAAAAAAAGAATGTGGTGTTGAGAACAGGCAGAGGAAGAAGAAGCAGGGGTGGACACAGGGGGCCACTTAGGCTGCTGGCGAGCTGTTGTAAGTGGCGGTGGTGGCTGGGCTGGTGGAGGTGCCGAGGCGTGGACACTGCAGCAAGGGCCAAGGGAAGGGGTGGGAGGAGTCCTAGAGGCCGCCGCCCGGGGGGGGGGGGGGGCAACGGCCCAGAGCGGCTGGCTCCCAGGAGAGGGCCAGAGCTGCTCTCCCCTCCACAGGCTGAATGCCAAGGCACTCCCTGCACACCCCAAAGAGACGCACTGGCCTGAACACACAGACAGAGCCAGGGCGGCCTGTGCCCACACGGCACAGGGTGGGGTGCGGGGTGGCTGGCCAGGGGCCAGGCTGCCAGGAGCAGGAAAGCCCCACGGGGATAGCGCATTCTTGTGGCTCCCCTTCCCCTCCAGCCAGGCTGGTGAGCCTTCCCTGGGCGCTGCACCCCTCTGGCCCCTCCCTCACTCTCCCAGGTCTTACTGTATGTAGGGGTCCCTGAAGATAAGCCAGGACCCCCAGCTGCCCACCCTTTAGCCAGACGCCCCAGCCCCTGCTCCTGGGTGGTCCCTGGTCTGAAGCTGCCCACAGGCCCCCCAGCCCCCGTGCCTCCCCCTCCCCCACCCCAGCCTGCCTGGCACTCCCGCTCCCATTCCTCACCCCCCCACACACACACACACTCTAGCTGTAATCACAGCTCAGCCCAGTCCTCCCTCCTGTGAATAATTGGGGCTGATTTAGGGGCTATCAGGGGAGGGGGGCTAATGGAGTTCGTGGGGGGCCGCCCTGGTGATGAGGGGAAGGTTGAGAGGCAATTAGCGGGCTGACAGCCTCGGGAGTCACCTAATGCGCCTGTCTGTCCACAGGAAGGGCTAGCGAGGGGCCGCCCGCCCCACCCCCACACCTAGGGATGCACTTGAACTTGAGGAGGTCCTGCCCCTCCCTCGGCGGCGTAGGTTGGAGGCTGCATGGCAGGAGAGCCTTCCAGGAAAACAGGGCAGGGGCAGGAGAACTGGAGAAGGCGGCTGGGGGCACTTTGGGGCTAAGTCGGGAGCTCCTGGGCCCCCACAGCCACGCACCCCAACACACACACACATGCACACACACACACACACACACACACGCACGTGGCTCCAGCTGAATCCTGTCCCTCGCTGGGGACCAGCTCTGATTAATACCAACATTAGCCCTGAACCCACGCCCCTCCTGGCCTGCCCGTCATTAATTACCTCCTCTCCCAGCCCAGCAGAGGGATGCCGGCTCCTCTGGGGCCAAAGGACCGGAGCTTCTGCCCCCTCCCCAAGAGGCCCCCTGCCCCCTCCTCGCTGCTTCTGAAGAAGGGAAGACAAGAGAAAGAAAAGGGGGTG